GATGTGTCTTTAAATGTTTTCGAAAAGTTGGTAGACTTGGGGCGGATTTTAGCGACATAGGGAGGTTGTTCCATAGCATGGGAGCTGCACATTCAAAGCAGCGGTCCCCGTATTTGGTCCTGGATGGTCTGGTGATAAGCAGATCTTTATCTTGTGATCTAAGAGTTCTTGTTGGTCTATGGTTGTTGAGAAGAGATGACAAGTAAGATGGAGCAGTGTTGGTCTTCAGGCACTTGTAGATAATGGTAAGCACCTTGAATTTTATGCGTCTGGCAACGGGGTAGCCAATGCAGTTCTCTTAACCTGGGGGTGATGTGGTCTCTTCGAGGACAACGAGTTATTATCCTGGCGGCTGTGTTTTGTATAACCTGGAGTCGATGAACCAGGGAAGCTGCTATCCCAAACAAAAGTGAATTGGCATAGTCAAGGCGAGATATGACTGTTGCTTGAGTGAGAGTTTTGGCGGTTTCATCTGAAAGATATCGTCTTAGTTTACCAATCTGATGAAGATGATAGTGAGAAGACTGGCACATTTGGGTGACCTGCTTGTTCATGGTCATGTGGGAGTCAAAAACAACTCCTAGATTCTTCACTTGGGAAGAGGCAGGCACATTCACAGGTCCAATATTGACTGAGAATTCTGTCATACGTTCCTGTAAGTGCTTTGGCCCAGCAATGAATACTTCCGTTTTGTTGTCATTTAGTTTGAAAGTTAATTCTCATCCAAGTTCTGATGTCACTGATGCAGCTTTCCAGCTTCGTTATCTTGTCCTGAAGTGATACAATCCTGGAGGCGATACAGCTCTGGGTGTCATCTGCAAAGCACTGAAAGTCAATGCAGTGGTTCGGGAAAACATCACCTAGTGGCAACATATAGATGGTAAACAAGAGTGGTCCAAGGACTGAACCCTGTGGGCGCCATATGATAACCACCTTTCTTCCGACACGGCCTCACCCACTTTCACTGACTGAGTTCTGTTTTTAAGATATGACTCAAGCCACATCAATGCTGGTCCGGTGATACCAACAGTCTTCTCAAGTCGAGACAGAAGGATACTGTGGTCTATTGTATCGAAGGCTGCTGACAGGTCTAGAAGAACAAGAAGTACTACTCTCTGATTGTCGAGATGAGAAAGGATGTCATTTTGCACACGAAAGGAGTGCTGTTTCTGTACTGTGGTGTTCTCTATAGGCAGACTGGAACTCTTCCATCAGGTTGTTTTTTTCCAGATGTTCTTTGATTTGGATTGCTACAATCTTCTCAAGTACCTTTGATAGAAATGGTAGGTTAGACACCGGCCTATAATTTCTAATGTCATTTGGATCAAGTGAAGTTTTCTTGATAAGTGGGACGAATAAGAGCCATTTTGAAAGTGCTTGGTACTTCAGATGCAGCCAGCGATGTATTGAACATGGCCACTAACGTTAGGTGAGATAGAGTCCAATGCAGATTGTAAGATCCATGTTGGGATCGGATCTAATTCACATGACTTTGATGGACTCTTCTTTATTATGCGTGCTATCTCACTTTCTGATGTTGGTCTGATGGTACTAAGGCACTGTCCATTGAACTTTTATCTGGAGTTATTATGTTCGGTTGGTTCTGTTGTAGGTCGACACGGATGTTCTCAATCTTGGTAGTGAAGAAATCAGCAAAGCGATTCAAAGATCCAGTTCACTGGTATGATTAGGCAGAATGTCTGTCTTTTATGTAACAGATTATTCAACTCTTTGAACAGAGCCTTCGGATTGGAAGAAGATTGAGCTATCGCGGAGTTAATATGTTGCGTACGAGTTTGAACTAGGAGGGCATTGTGTTTATCTCTGGCTGCCTTGTACATCTGACGATGTATTTCCAAGCGCTTTTCTCCAGAGTTTCTCAGCGTGTCTTTTCTCTCGCTTGGTAGCTCGAACTTCATTTGTATACCAGCTTGTATCAGGTCGAATGGTAACAACCCTTTTCTGTACAGGTGCATGTGCTTCAATCGTTTCTGAGAGAATTTGGTTGAACTCATTTGTTTGATCATTAATGGTCCCCGTTTGAACAACATCGTTTTCAGTAAAAGCGTTTTAAGTAGGTCACAATTTAGGCGATGTAGGTCAATATTTTTCGTTTTTCTGTATTTAATCATTTTTCTCATAGGGGCAGCTCTTGGGAGGTTAAGTTCACAAAATACTGAATAATGGTCAGAGATCATATGGTTTTTCACAGTGACTGTTTTGACTGTCTGCTCAGCCTGTCTTGAGATGACTAAATCAAGAGCGTGACCACTTCTATGGGTTGGTTCACTTATGTGCTGTTGAAGGTTTAGACTGTCCAATACTTCCTTGAAATTGCAAGCATCGGTACAATTCGGATCTTCCATGTGAATGTTGAAGTCTCCGACAATCATAAAATCATGACATAGAGACAATTTTGTCTCGGCGACAGACACGAATTCTTGCTGAAAATCCTTGTAAGTGGTCTGATTTTTACTTGACTTTGGGGGCCGGTAGATAACGGTAAGAGTTAGTGATTTCAATCCACCGGAGAATGTGGCTTCAACTACCTCCATCGTCGTGTATATAGTGTAAAGGATATTCTAAAAGTCACATTCCGTGATTAAAATTGAACAAAAGTTTGCAAAATAGCAATAAAAACACAAAAACGTACTCGTAGTTCCGCCTATTAGGGAAACACTCGACAGTTAATGAGCAGAGGGGGTATCACGTGACATGACGTCATATGTGCCTGTTGCTGATGCTTCCTCTTTGATTTTACCTCACAACTTAACAGTGTCCGTGGATTCTGAAGCAGTAAAAGATGTTCCTGGTGTCATTTCAGAAATGGATGTTAGACCGTATCAATACGATCCGATTTTACATCTTGCAAGACAATCTTCCACTGAAGATGAAGAAGAAGAATCAAGCGAAATGGAGGCACCGCTTGAGGTCAAAATAAATTTAAAAATAGACCATATCATTAACAAGATTACTATTTGTCAGTAAAATGTCATACAGTTCCAGCCAGCAAACTCACCCCTATAAATATATGACCAGTCACTAAGAATTTTTTTTTTTTAAATGTGATTACAGTTCATTTTGTGTCAAATGGGTGACTGTAGGGTGTCTGGGATTTAAAAACAAAATAATTATGCTTCAGACGAGGGAAAATAAAATTATCTCCTTCAAAAATTACACTGGAATTATTTTGTTGATAAAAATTAGGATCCTAGTTCTCAATAATAAAGTATCAAGTCAGAGATAATATTCGCAACACAGATAAGTTATTCCAGCGAAAACTGGTTAATTATAAAATACAAGTCATGACAACGTATGTTTCCCCATTGTTTGGTTATGGAAATAGTTATTGTACGCTGTCATAGCCTTAGAATGACATCTTGTCAGCCAATGAGAATACAGAACAACTTTCACGGCACACACTACTGATAAATAGTGAGTCTGATGACGACGTGCGTAACTGGACAAAATGGAAAACAATGAAAGCAACAAGTACTTCATGATTTGCCGGGGTGGTGGGGTAGCCTAGTGGTTAAAGAGTTGGCTCGTCACGCCGAAGACCCGGGTTCGAATCCCCACATCGGTACAATGTGTGAAGCCCACTTCTGGTGTCCCCCGCCGTGATGTTGCTGGAATATTGCTAAATGCGGCGTAAAACCAAACTCAGTCAGTCAGTCATGATTTGCCGTTGTATTTGGTAATGTTTCGAGTAGACTGCATCATATAGGGCTCCAAACCGAAAAGAACGTTATAGCGAAACATTTTCAAGCTCATGTGAAATCTCTTACTGATTTTGATAATATATATCTCATGTGTACCAGTCGAACTGCCCCAACTACAAAATGCCCCAGCAAATTTGGTCATTCATTCTAATTTGTTCAAATCTACTTACAATGATTGAATATATGCCGTAAATGCATAGTTTTTGTCAACTTATTATGATATTATGTTCTTCATATAAAAGTTATTAGGAAGTAATATTTCTGATAAATGTTTCATTAGTAAACTCATAACTATGCATATACTTATATATATGAAGAACATAATATCAAAGTTGACAAAACTATTCATTTATGGCCTATATTTATTCATTTTAAATAAATTGGGGCATTCTGACTACCCCACTGGGGCAATTTGACCAAATTTTGTAGCGGGGGCAATTCGACTGACAATCGGACTTGATTTTTATTTATGTTAAAAATACCACTGACAGTAAGTTGTTACAGGGAATGGTGGAGTATAAATGAATCTCGTGGGTCATTTTTCCTTCTTCAGCCTAGCTTGGGGATTTCCATACCCCATGCGTGCATGTCTCTTTCATATGCATCCAACTCGGAATGATCGGCACATTTCTCCTGCCGAAATCTGTCATTTAACTTGGAAAACGGAAGAAATGGTGGTTCTTTCCCATGTTCGATGATGCCGTGCATCCCAAGGCAACGCAATACACCATCGTACCATTTAAAAACCACAGAAACAACACGATTTGTACTACTGTAGCGCTTGGTCTTTGGCAATATGGCGGACTCCAGGCACATTTGACGTCACGAGCGGAAAGGTCACGTGGGTTCCAGCTAAATATGCATAATGGCCGAAGCTGAGATTTACTGAAACTGTTTTCGCGATTAAAACATAATTATACATAATTTTTAATTGAATATTTGGGAATATGTTTCTGATGACTTTATCTTTCACCCAGCAAATTATTGCAATTCACTCGTATTCTCCTTTAAAAATTTACCTTTTACATCACATTAGAATAGTCTCTAGCAGAGCATCAGAATCGTCTTTTATGCTGCATTAAAATAGCCTTTACAGAGTATTATAATCATCTACAGCAAATCCTTGAAATTCCTTCGTGCTGTATATCCTGAATATTCTAATTTCACTTGACCAGTGTCTGCAAAATATCGTAATGTCACTCAAATATATTCATTATTGCTTAAATAAATGCCAGCTATTTACAAAATGCAAACAATATTCGACAACATACAAAGATATTGGCTTGGCGTGCTAACAGAAAATATCTGACAACACATCTATAACTTAAATATACACATTCAGTTGATACACAACATGTGATACACATGACTAAAGAACTCTGACTCACATTCAGAAGACAACCACCAAAATATGCTCATATATTACAATTCTGATTCTTAACTATGCTACAAACATGACACTATTATATGGTAGCATGGGGATGAATTAAATAGCAAAATAATGAATATTATAATGTTAATAACAAAGTTATCACACAAGTAGTAATAATAAACAAAAATAGTGTCTGTATCCTATAGACTGAAAAGCAAACAAGGCAATTCTGCTGTGGATTCTTAAAAGTGAAATATTTTCTCCTTAAAAGAAAATGCCTGCCCTGTTCATAATTAAAAGAAATTAACAAAAACATTTTTATAGAGAACTGACTGAAAACATTCTTAATTTTAACATCTTTCCATTTGTACATTTGTTGAAACCTTTCTTCAAGTATTAACTGCGAATGTGAGATGATAGCACTTTATCTCATACCTATTGACAAATACATAACAAACACACCAAGAAATGAAAGTTACAAATCTACAGAAAATAGCAATACTTTCATGCAGGGTTTTTATTTTTATAATAGCTGATGTGAATTGTGAACTATGATATTCTTAGCCTTAAACAATAAGAAAGGAGAAGAAATCTGCAATAAAATTCTGGCATACATAATTTTCCTCAAAGCGTCAAGGCTATCGCTGTTGCTGCAAAAAATGGCACACTGAAAGAAGTTACTTTGTGAAGCCTCTCATCCAGTAAGCACAACTGATAAACCGATACAAAGTAACTCCTTCCATTGTATTCCCACAAATCTAACAAATTACACCTGAGCTGAAGTAAGGTATATAAACTCCTCCTAAAATTGTTGGGGTTCCCCCATGTTCAAAAACACCAGAGTTATAAAATGAAAATGCATCAAATAAAGGATGCATAGAGGTTTACTTTTGAGTATGTGAAATATGGGGTATTTGTTCATTTATAGCATATATACTCATTAAGTATGTACACAGACGCTGATGTGAGTAGTATTATCACACACAGTTCCATGCATAATTAGGGGTGAAATGATACAGCCAGATATGATAAGTATAATAATACATAAGTCATGATACGATACAGTGCATATCACAATATGCATATTTACGTCAAATTGTGGAGACTTCTTTTTGATAGTTAATATTTCAGAACACGTTCAAAAGGAAAGGGTTCGTCAAGAACCATGTTTTATAACACATTTTCAAAATATTTGACTGACAAAAGCACTGGAGTGGTCATTACAACTGTTGCATATTATTTATTCAAGCAAGTGTATCACTACATATAGATACAGAAAAAACATACCCTGTACCACAATGCATTGAATCAGTGATGTCATTTCACCCCTTTGCATAGTATGGAGGGAGATAAACATAGGATATTATGATATATTCATAATGCATAGTTCCATTCACATTATAATTTTTGCTGTTATAGGTTATATTAATAAATATACATATATATATATCTATGATGATCCAACCAATTATTTTTGCTGTTTCATCACACTACTGTAAGGTATGGCTGTAATGTTGCATTTTTTAAAAATCAAAAACATTATCAGTTCAATGTCATGTCAATGAACTTAAAAGTAAATTGAATTAATCAAATTAATGCAGTTAATCAGCTGGAACAAACAGGAATATATTTCAGACATCTCTTAAATAATTTACTAAACTTCTTTGTGAAATTGTATTTCATGTGTGGATTTGGATGCAAATCTGCATGACAAAACTGTCTTCTTTAACACACTACTTAACAGGAGTGTTTGTTATACACCCATGTCAACGATATACACAATCTGACAGAAATCATATCTTCATGCTCACCATAGTTTGTAACTATCATTCGGAATGCCTTGGCTAACCTTTTAGAGGTTGCAAGAGTACAAAAAATTTCCGACATACATTTAACGATCTTGTAATAAATATTCTGACTACATTTTTAGGCTTTTTTATGAATAAATTGCAATCCTGATTCATTTCAATGGCTAACTAAGCAAAATTGTTTGCACATAAACCCAAAAGACATTAAGCCATGCCCACTAAGAAACTACTGTTTTCTCATAATATGAAAATAGAGTACGAGGTTCTTGAGTTGCATTATTGTGCTCAACAGTGTCACTGATTCCTTGGGGTTGTCTACAGTTTTGTGGTTTTCAGCACTCAGTTGGCATGTTGTGGAGTTATGCGTAGTCGGACACATTTATGTATCATACTTTCCTTCAAATGTATTTGCATTTATGAAGGTATTAATGTAACAACCAGTGTGCACACTCTGCATGTGCCTCTTAATGGATTTAAACAGTTTGCAGTCCTTTTTTCAAATTTATCCCTTCATAACAGCATAAACACTGAAGTCAGTTCTTAAAACGTTCTGATAACTGTATCTAACTTGAAACTGAGTCAAATATTGTGTGACTCCATCTTGTTATTGGTATGAGAATAGATCAATATGGATCTCATCACCGGTCAAGAAGTCAAATCTGCTCATTGGAAGTGAGTCCAGGAACAGTTCCTCCAAGTCGGGGAGTTCTCCGATGCATGTCCGGACCATGGACTGGTGGAACATCCGGAACTGACTGCAAGAGGGCGAAGAGTGGGACATATAGAGTTTTTCATAACATAACATAACATAATAATGGATTTATATAGCGCCTAGTATCCATCAATTGGTGCTCCTGGCGCTTTGACAAAATCAGAAAAAGTCAAGGTCATGACAATGCTGTCTATATTAGGTCAATGGCGTTATGTATGACATCAACAATGGCTTCTGCAATTTGTCAACAAAAAGTCTGAATTTTATCATCAAAGATGTCAATAATGGTGTCTTCATTACAATAACTTGCATTACATCATTTTTTAACCTCGCACTTTGTCAAATCTTAAACAATTCTTAGGTACCTGTATTCTTTTCAAAATTGAAATAGTGATCATTACAAATTAATTATAGTTGCCTCACCGCTTGTGCACACCCAACTTGTCGGCCACAAACTTGCGCAGCTTCCCTACAGGTCCCACAACATGGATCTTTTCCTTAAATGCCACTTTCCCACAGAGGATGAAGGTCAAGGTTGGCCTTTCCTCGTACCTTGCACCCAGGTCAATGTCAACTATCTGTGTCAGTTTGCCTGTACCAATAAAACATACAGGAATGTGTAAAGATGGTAAAAAATGTTGTATTGTTGTACAGTTCCAAATTAAGCTTAGACATTGTGTCATAAGGAACTGGTTATCTTTCATAAGGTGAGTGAGTGAGGTATGGATGGGGATGAAACAATGATACAGCAAAAGACAACATTTGCCAAAATGTATGACAACTATAGTGGGTAGGAGGGTGGGGATCAGAAAACATATATCTGAATAACAAGAATGTTTTTGTTGGTAATTTCATCCTTTTGGAAACTATCATGAGTTTCTGTACACTCTATGCTCAGGTCTTATTACACTCTGGTTACCCTCTCAAAGGTATCAGGTCGTTTGTATTACAGAGTGAGTGAGTATGGTTTTGAGCCGCGCTTAGCAATATTCCAGCAACATCACAGCAGAGGACACCAGAAATGGGATTATGTGGGGAACAGAACCCGGACCTTCGGTGTGACGAGTGAAAGAATTAACCACTAGACTACCCCACCGTCCATTTGAGTTATTGGTTAGGAATAACTCCATTGAACTGTGGTAATGTATATTCCAAGTGATTGTGGAAAGTATATTAAAACATATGAGGAACTGTAGTGGTGACTGACTGAAAGACACAGGTTTGAGATAATAAAATGTTTATGTTAAGCCATTAATCAGTTCATGAAATTTAAATAGTTTTGTCCAAAGAAACATTGACAAAACATTATTGCTATACCATCAATACAGAAACAAAATATTTTCATCCTGTCCCTTTCAATTGCTCGTACCATGTTTCCTTTCCAGTTCAGCAAATCTTGCTGGCCGATCGCTCTCAGCAGTGTTAAGAAAGTGTCGTAGGAAGAACCGCTCTGACTTCTCTCTCTCTGTGTTCGTGATATCGCTGCCGTTCAGAAGCTTGATGTTCGGTAAGCTGTTGAAACAGAGTCCCATTATACACAAACTTCAAGATAGTGTGAAAGAGAAAGAAAAAGGTATTGATTAAATGGAGCAACAAAACCCTTAAGTACAAGATACATTGTGTAAAAATATTATCAATAAAAGCGTCAGTATTGCTAAAGTGACATAAGTTATCTAATGACAAGATCTGATAACACCTGATGACATGTTAGAAATATACTTGATATAAGTTGTAAGGTCACTATGATATTGTCAGGGAGAACTGCCAAAATTCTTGTCCCTTATTTTGAAACCATGTGTCAAGACAACCATCACCATTTGGGTCTTTGAATGGCATTTATAAGTGATACACATAATGTTAAAGGAGTACAGATATGCTCCGAAACGTGTTCCTCATAATAAAGAAGTTCACATCCATAAAACTCTCTTCCTCATCACCATTTGCTTTAACCTTTATCGTGTAGGATTCATTTCAAAACTTGGTCAAGCATATAATTATCATGTTGAACTTATTTTTCAACACAACTCAGTAGTGTTCAAACTGTGACATACCTAGCTATGTACAACATCCATCGGTCGTCCTGCTCCATCTGTGCAACAAGTGGGATCCCCTGCAATGATACATCCTTTCTAAAGTACTGGTTCACAATTAAACACTGAACTGAAGATAAATACCGGTTCAATCACCAGGTACAGTCTACCAAAATGAAGTTGACCAAATAAATAGTTGCAATAATAGCAATTAGTTTTTGTAAATCAATGGTTTTAAATATAACCAGTGCTTGAAATAGCATATTTGTTCATGGCTAACTCGGCAATATTCCAGCTATTAGTCCAAAGAGTCAGCTAAATGGACAGCACAGTCTGGTTCAGTGACTTGATTGCTTGTCACCATACCCCATGTTGAATGCTGCATATAATATCAATCACTGGTTTGTCTGGTCCAGACTAAAAGTTTGATAATCTGTCATCCAACTCACCGTGAGCCTCACTGATGAAAGGGAAGGGAACTGAGACAATGCCTGCAGGTGCTCCCAGTCGCTGATGCTAGTCTTGCTCAAACACAATGTGTGCAGCTGCTGGAAAGGTGTGCTGGTTTCATTATTATCACCCTTTCCCGAATCAGGAGTCTCAGAGTTGTCCCCTTCACTTGATCTGATTTGGCATTGGGTTTTACAGAATTTTCTGGTATGCAACTTTTCTTTGGTTGGAAAGTATCTGAAGTATTGCTTTCATTTGTCTTAGGGTTGCATGAGTCACAAGCTATATAACAAGCCTCATTGAACAGCTCATCAACAATGCTCCAGCATTTCTCATTCACGGAGTTATCTCCAGACTGACAAGCTTCTGACACAAGGGCATCAATGATGGCATTGCAGTCTTGCACAGAGGTTATTTTTGGCTTGAGGTCACATGGAAGGTTGCCTTGACAACTGGGATCATAATGAACATCCTGTAAAGGGTTGCCAGAGAGTATGAGGTTTTTTAGATTTTGGAGGTCACGTAGTTTCCACACTTCTGACCAGCTGAAATAGAGCATTCAGAATGTCACATCACATTTTCAACAATACAGGATGCAATACAATGCAAAATGCCAGCATATTCATTTTATTCATTTGCATACTGGGATACAAATATTTACAGCTATCACAAATTGTTAGCAATAAGAAGTTGAGGACGACTTGGAGGTTCCAGGTCGTGGATCCAGTTTTAGAAGGTAATACAATCTTTGAAGACACTTGGCTTTTGGCCAAAGTAGACTTGTAGACTAAAATTGTGCCATTTTGTCATTATTTTAGCTTCTACTACTTAAACATTTCTATAAAGTCATGAATTTGAACTTTTAACCATTTTTTATGCTATTGCAATATGTGTTTTCTAACAAGTCAAGTACTATTCTGTGTTCTGAATATGAAAGGTTGCATGGACTTTTTTAGATCAGATCTGAGAAGATAATTGCAACAAATAGTACAACAAGAAACGGATGAAACTTCTACATATTTATTTTAGAAAATGACAGTGGAACTGAGCATGGAACCCTTGGTTTGTAAAACCAACATTATTAAGCACAGACAGTGATACCTAAGTTGAAAACTTCTAATAAAATTTGAAACAAAAATATACATGCAATACATCCAGCCATAATCTCACGCTACAGATCAGCACAAAGTATCGTTATATGAACCTGTATAGTGATAAACATTATAATGAAATGTATGAACCTTAAGTAACAGAAGTAACAGACAAAGCAGGAGTGATTATTTTTAGTTTCGTGTCACTGGGCTGTGCTTATAACTACTGATCTTGTTCTTGAATAATATGGGGCGTTGGGGTAGCCCAGTGGTTAAAGCGTTGGCTCGTCACGCTGAAGACCCGGGTTCGAATCCCCACATGGGTACAATGTGTGAAGCTTATTTCTGGTGTCCCCCACCGTGATGTTGCTGGAATATTGCTAAAAGCAGCGTAAAACCAAAACTCAGTCAGTCAGTCTTGAATAATAAACACAAACATTTGTCTATTCAGAAAATTCACCTCTTGATAGCATTGTTGTTGAGTCGTAAACATTCCACTTTCGAAAAGTGCTTCCACTCGCATTCAAGGTCATCAAAATCTGAAGAAGAAATGATTTTATCAATCCATTTTTAAACTTAAATAAGGAAGAAAATCAGGTTTGTTTGTTTGTCATTCAACATCACATCTAAGCAAAATTCCTGCAATATTACAGTGGCCTGTAAGCATATTCAGTCTGGACCAGACAGTCCAGTGATTGTTATTATAAGGATTTGATTTTTTGTTGTTTCACTTTTCACCTGACTATATGGATCGCATGGATTTGGTCACTGAGCCTTACAACTCAATCCATTGAGCCAACTCTTACAACAAGCCTGAATCCCTGAGCACCTAATTTCCTACCCATCATACCCATCGATAGATGGTAATTATGAGAAACTTTCAACACCCTATCACCAAATCCACTTAGTCAAACCTTAAAAACATGCATAGACTCCCATGTACATTACCTAACCAGGAATCCTTAAAACTGTTCTGTTTGCCAAATTTTCATATTAATCAGATTTCAAGGAGAAGTACTACGAAATACATCCATAAACATTTTCAAAATAATAATAATACGAACACCAAAATCTACATATCCCCACCAATACCACACTGATAAACTAATGAATACACAGAGAAACATTTCACATACAGACATAGCCAGACATTTTGCAGAATTTCTGTGTCAATGCACTTAGAAATGGAAGCAAATTGATCCCAGAATTCCATAGCTCCAAGCCTTGATTAATGTATACAGGCTTCAGGACATACCATTCCCACAGACATGCAGTTCTCTCAAAGTAGGCAGTCGTTGTGCTAGTGTCTCCACCTCCGGCCAGGTGATGGCAGTCTTGTTCAAAACTAGGTTCTCCACGCCTGGTAGTTGCTGAGGCCAGTCACGAAGCAATTCCTGTTTAAAAGGCGTTTGTTGACTTTAATATCATATTTTATATATTTGTGGTTAATTTAATATACAAAATCTGTGTAGCAATACATTTTGTGCATAAAAACATAGAAATCTATAAAGAGAATGTACTTTAAGTCTTGGGAACAGCAGAGAGCTTGAATGTTGGTGCTTTGCCACATGAGACTGTGACATCACAATGAGCAATTTGACAGAGGAATAGTGATGTGCAAAGTAGACCAAAATCTTGCAAATATTGTTGAGGTTTTTTTAAGGCTGCCCACTTATATCAATGTTCCACTTGCTACCTTCTACAATACAGTTCTACATGCATCCAATGCCTATCACATGTTTGTATAACTAATGGAACATGTACTGCTTAGAGTTGTTGTAAGAGATTCTGTAGTTCATTACTGAACAACTTACCTCATCTCTCATGAGTTTGTTGCCACTGAGATTGAGAAACTTGAGCTTGGGAAGTTTTGAAATTATCTGCAGTATTTCTGGCCAGTTGTCAATGTTGTTACATGCAAGGTCAAGGTCAACCACATTAGGGCAGATGGAAGTGAGTCCCTCCTGTGGAAGTCCAGCATGGGATATGTTTTGTCGGTCTAACACCTGAAATACATCACAGTACATGTATACATCAATGCAAATATTTGACAAACTAGAGTTTGAAATTAAGCATGGAAATAAAGGATTCCTTGTCTTAACCCAATTTATGGGGACTCAACTATTATAAGGACAACCCTCAAACACATCAGGACTTTCCTTAATTCAAAACCACTGTACAAGATGACAGATTTATGGCATACTAGATATGAAATGTACCACCAGTACTCAAGAAGAAGTAAAAGAACACTAAAAGTTTTCATGTGATGTATTTGGTCATGGCATGACAGTTTAACTAAGTTCATATGAAAATATCAGGTGTTTCAGTATTGCTTTTTGTGAGCATTATACAAATATGAAAACTGACATTTTAACCTGCGACATAGTGTCATGATATACACATTCTTAAACCAAATCACAGAAAGAAACTAATTGCCAGGTTGAATGGTATTAACATATATATCTGTTGTGTATGAAATACAAATGTGGGTATATCTAATATACAATTTGATGAGTTGCATTAAGTATTCAAATGCCATAGGCATGATAATATTTTCCTAATGTGGTATATTATTTTCAGTGACTACCTATGTTGGGTTCGGAAATTATCCACAATCATATCCGATAACGGTCTATTTCATTCATGACATGAAACTAGCAACAGTCTGTCAATATTGGTCTGAGGGATTTAGATCATGTTTTTATTTCTTACTGAACACAGAATGGTTGACTGAGACATAAAAATAACACTCCCAATGACAATATGACAAAAGTACATAATGCAATTTTCAAAGGTATTGTAGTAAAGTGATTTTATTACAAGTCACAATGCAAGAAATCGTAATTCCTTTGCAATGAAAACAAATTATGTTTCCACCTAAGCCTTGTCCTTATAATCAGTTCACAACACAATAGGTGAACCCAAGCAATCTGAAATACCTACTTTTCTTACAGCATTAAACAACTTAATATACTACATACACAAATATGTCATAGGGTTAGTGGATTAAGTTACGATCTCTACTGAGTAGGGTTCTCCATCCTGCACATGTGGTAACCCATGCGAAAATGCTTATTATTGCTTTGAGTGTTCATACAAACAGCATAAAAATTGTGTTAAATGTATTCAAGACATCCGAGACTACATTATCTACTCTTCTAAAAGGTATTGCAGACCTGGCTAATAATAAAAATGAAATTGTATTGAAACTTTACATCTGTATATTGGCAAATCAAAACAATTACAGTAGTTTTGTTACTCAGTACATTTTCTATTATAATATTTCCCCTTTACTGTCAATCTTCCTCTGTGTCTGTTTCTAATAGTTGCTTGTGATGCATTTTGCTATTGTAAATATTCTTGGAGAGGAGTTTTTTAAGTAGTACAGTGTTCACGAATAGCGTCTGACCCTCTGACAAATCCGGCAGATTCGCCAACGGTCTGATAGTGGTCTACAACCCACCGGCCCCAGTGTCTGACTGTATGTTTCACAATGACTTTGACTGAAGTTGTTATATGTGGCATGTAACACTTGTTTCCTGTTTATAAATCTTATGTTTGTTAATAATTTCAATGCCAATTATAAGAAATGTTAAATCTGAAATGTGTGTTTAATTTTATTCTATGGGTCCTTTGAATTTTCAATGGGTCAGACAGACATCTGAAACTTACAGGACCCAATGTCCTGTTACTTTGAAACACCATTAGTGAACACTGGTAGTAAGAACTTGTCCCTGACCCTTTTCACCTTGTGAATAAACTATATTTAAACTTAACAAAGTACCCAAACAGAGCTGAATCTAAGGGTCCAATTAACAGTTATGCTGAAAAACATGGGTGAACATCCCCCCTCTGTATCCACCAGTGCTAAAAAACACTTTCTTTAAAATTTTCAGATGAAAAAGAGAGAGCGATAAATGGGTATCAGAATTATGTATTGCAATTTGCAAAACATATGTCGGGACACTGGAGCCTTTGTGTGCTATGATGATGACAAGTGATTACCGAGCTGAGGTAAACATGGCAAGGGTCATGACTCATACTTCGTTGTTTACACATGTATTTGTGACAATTGTCTGTTTCAACCCATCTTCAATTATGTCTTTCTACCTCTACAGCAAACACAAATCTGAACATAAAGACTGTTTCAAAAAAGGATTGTGTGAACAGAGCTCCCAACACTGATCCTTCTCCTGGTATTCGACCAGCTGGTCATCACTGACACATATCTCATCAGCTGTTACTAAACAGCTGTCTCCTTACACATGTTGTCCCCAGTTGGATGCTGACACAAGTTAACATAAGCAGCAATAACAGCCTTTCAAACAGTTCTTGCTTCACCAGTCATACAGTCAGCAGAATGTTTCTACACAATGTTCGTGCTTGAGATTTACACATCAGTGCTTATGACTCCGGCAATTTGCCAGCATTGTATTAAACTGGTACAAAGAATAAACATGACCTTATCTAGCCTGTATGTATAACAGGATTACACATCAACAACAGGCACAAGCTGGAAGCTGTAATACATTATAATTTTCGTAATACAAGAGCTGGGAGCAAGCATGACTATACAATCAAGTGACATACATGTATTTAGATTTTTCTATAGGCATTCACATTTCAAAGGGATGGTTTTACTTGAATCTTATTCTAATACAGTAAACTATGGTTATAGCAAACTCTTAATTACCACTAATCAAATATTTCGTAGACCTGTTGTTGTCATCTGAATTTCAGCTGATATTATGCAGCATGTGGACAGAACCAAAGAAACTGTACTGGCTAGCGAACAGTTATCGCCACATAACAGTTATCGCCAATACATCAGTATCACACGTGCACAGTTCCAGTCAATTACAATTCCTGTATTTTTTCCTATGGTATTTGACAACAGTACAGGGCAGCAAAAGAAAATTCTTCACGGTAAGTAACATAAGAGAAAACTTAAAGATAAAGTTATGAACCCTATAAAATATTTTAACTTAGTCGGGGGGATGTCCCACGACCTATATAATAGCAAGTTCATGTTCACAAGTCATTAGTATGAACATAGATTTTTTCTGGGTTACATCTTCTTTTTATGTAACCCAGAAAAAATCTCTATGTTCATCAAATATCATCTTCTAAATGCCAATCAAGCATCTAAGTCATTAGTAGTTTCATTCCCTAGCCATCTACTGTAAAAGAAACACTCAAATAGTCACACAATCAATTATTCGAGGTGACTGTATGATATGAATATATATTCTTTCATGAATGGCATGAGAAATTCTGAATGGCGATAACTGTTACAGTTAGTTGTGAGAAAACACCTATTTATACCGCCATGATTCACTTCCGCAGCGTTATATAAAAACATGATCGGTGGCAGTGAACGGGCTGGACACATCGGTGAATAGCTAATTAAGTATCATAATTGATTCTGTTTCATTAATTTAACATTGGCGAAGTAATTTTGTAAAAACTGCTAAAATATGGCGATAATTGTTTGCTAGCCAGTAGTGAGTTTGTTATGCCTGTCAGTTTGTCATAAGTGTGTTGATTATAACCATAGTTTACAGCAGTTCAAGTTCTGAACTGTTCCAGGTATCATTTTTCCACGGGTGACTGACTGTTGGCAGATCCTAAACAAGGAACTGATATTATACAGAAGAATAATGAATCTCAAGATACACCAATTGTAATTATTTTTCAGTAATTACTTTTTCATAACACCTCTAGTCAATAAGGAAAAGTGTGCAGGGAGGAGTCATAAATCATTCAATGCATTATGATCAACTAATCAACACAAGTCTTCCAAACAAAGACTTTCTCTTGTTAATTGATTAATGAGATTATCAACAATCAGTTCACTCCAAAACTCTCAATTACTCCAGCTCATTATTAGTTTCTTTGTGTTTCAATCTTTGTGATCTATTCCCCATAAGTTACAGCAGGCTTAAAGTTGTGTATGCCTAAATTTATAGAAGATTAAATATAACACATCGAAGTACAACTTATCATATGACATATGACCTAATAACAACTATAGCTGATTTTTTACACATGATCTTCACCTTACGTCAGGTTTATATTCGATAACATGCTAATGAATAGTACTTTTAATGTGGATAGGTAAAATAATTTGTGTGAGATAATTTTTGTTAGGTGCTGTTAGTTACAAACATACTATAATTTTAGGTCTGTCCTGTTTATTTCAGTACTTATGTTACCCGCAATGACGTGGTGTTGTTACAAATGTTTGATTTCATGGATCCTAATTAGTGTTTCCATGTTTAGAATGTCAAATGGATTTTAAATGGTGTTCCCTGAATAAACAAATGGGATCAACTTGGATTGCAGAGCTGGGTTGGTCGTCTGACAGTTGACTAAATTACCCTTGATTGCACAAGGTGTCGTGTTAGGACAACATGCAATCATCTACCAGCAGTACAGATACACAGGCTATAGCAATTAAATCCCTGCGTACCTCTCTCAACAGCTTGCTCCCACAAATCAATACCATAATAGACTCAGTAACAGCTCGAATACCTGGAAAGCCTGCGTGGAGAATGCAATTCACACACCAGATATGCTGGTGTTCCAGCACATGATTATTTATTCATCTCATCAACTTCATAGCATTCTAACTCTACATCTGGAGACTAGCAGTGCTCTTGAGACAGATCACAGCTATAATAACGCATAATGGCTAATATTTTCAATTTGTTTGTGTATAATAATGCTGAGTCATAAAGTCCAAGAGATGAAGTTTTAGTTATATTTAAATACATTGTACACCAAAGCGACATGTCATGGAATACATTTTAAGGCACAGGTGGTTCACACCACTACATGAATCATATACTTTCATGCATGCAGTATTCATATTTATAGAGAGTTAATGATAAAAATCATTTTCTCCAACTCACATCTTAAATGAAATCAATCATTTATTATAATGGTGATAATAATATGCGTATTGTTGATTACCATTCATTTTCACAAACCATCTGAAATAAAATATTCAGTGACGCAAACGATCGCACCACATTGCATTTGAGTTTTTCCGATAGACCATTATGGACCAAAAAAGATGACTCTTCTACCGACAGGAAATAACCCACAAGTGGTACTGATGGCAAACATACAGCCTTCATCAGTATTTGTGCCATCTCGACATGGCAGTAACAATTTTCTGTTGGCACATGATGTTAAGTTATATTCATAAGTAAAAATTCTACTTACGACATTTCTTAAATGTGCGAGTTCCGCGTCCGTTCCATTGTTGCGTGGTTTACCCGTGATCACAATGTGCACGAACTCATAATTATCATCGTTCATATTTACACAGTATTTCTCTCTAAGGGCATCAAGGAATGACCTTTTTCTGACCAACCGTTTGCGGCTGACATTTCTTGAGTTGTTGTTATTCTGCTCCATGCTCTCAGAGATTACCTGTGTCTCAGGTATGTGGTCCATTTTGAGTTTGAAACACCTGAGCTAAAGCATATATATAGTAAATGTCATCACAATGTTGACGCCACGCCAACTTGTTTTTGTTTTGGTAGTCGTGATGTCCTCCTCGTATTTTATGATAATGCTGTTTTTTAAGAGAAGACATGCAGGACATGATAGCATTTTTTACATGATAAGTATCTCTCATATATTATTTGGGTCAATACTGTTTGTCCATTTTAATGTACATCTTTTGATAATTAAAATTTTCGCTATTAAATATGTTGTTGAACATCAAGTTAGTTCTAAAAATAACGACCAATCGAAAAAATAGTTTTGCGAAGCTGCTTGTCACGCACTTCCCTTCTGACGTCATTGCCGGGTTGCAAGTGGGAGAGAGAGAAAGATGGCAGATTTTGACAATTTCGAGGGTGCTAATACCGCAGAGGAAGATCCTGCAGCGGAATTTCTAGCGAGAGAACAGACAGAACTTGCAGGATTGGAAGATGATAACTTCGGAGGAGATAGTGCTGGGCAGCAAGCGGGAGGTATACAATGAAAGGGTTATTTCTTAATCGAAACCACCCATATTTTCTCCACGCCCCCAGTCTTGGGCTTAGTATTTTCTAAAGTCGATGCTATTATCATGATTATATAAATTGTTCATGATCATTAATGATAATTGACGATACTGTTTCCATACTCAATTCTTTTTTACGAATGATTATTTCGTTGTTGATGACAGCATTGACTAATAAGTATCTGTTACGTACATTTGAATCAATTGTTTGGTCTCTGTGTATGGTAATTATCATCTTGAGAGCATGATCATATTTTCTTATGGTAGATTTGCTGAAGCCAGTAAAGGGTCTTCATGCTAGTTACTATCAGGGACCATGCAGGTTCACGTATTGTCAGGGTTAGGGTACGTTACCCCAAACTCTTAGCCCATGAATCCCTTCCCTATCCCTTTATGATCATTAATGACTTCATGGTTAGGTGCCCCCTTCGGATAAACACTCCATTATGAACCTTAAGGTAGAGCACCCGGTGTCCGCCCGGGAAAGCCACATTTGAAAAATACCAATTGCCGCTAAAGCCACATTTCAAGTACAAACCTCGGTGCCGTGAATCGCCGCGAAAGTGACATTGAGTAAGGGAATCAATATATATAATATATAATTTATATATTTTTTTATTATAGAATATTTATATAGCGCACATATCCACGCACTAGTGCATGCTCAAGGCGCTGGTATTATATTACCGTTTTTTTCAAATAAGCGTCACAAATTGTTTTAGTGACTTGTCCTTTGTTTGTTTAGTTAACATATGATGGGCGGCTTGTTTATTCTGGTTGAAGTTTTTGGTTAACATATGATAACATATGTTCTGAGATAAAATGATACATGCTAATGGGTCATTCTATGGAAAAGGGCAATTTCAGCTTTTTCTATTAAAAAATTTTTTATTCGTATTTTTTTATGTCTTCATGTAAACTACTTTGGTTTGTATGATTGGTATATCGTATCAGCAGAGAAGTTTGGACAAGAATTTAGCTTGAAAACAGTTATGAAATGGAAAGAGTTATGCGTCACATATGTGCCTGTTTATAAGTACATTTCTGGTGTCCCCCGCCGTGATGTTGCTGGAATATTGCTAAAAGCGGCGTAAAACCAAACTCAGTCAGTCAGTCAGTTTATAAGTATATTTGTGCAATAAATGGTCATTCTTCTAAAATAGTTTTTATTTTATTTTATTTTTTTTAGAGTTCTTAGCATGAATGTAAACATAATAACTGAGGCAACCATGGCTAATTCGTAAAAGGAATCTGTGTATACCTACTCTAGGCGCTAGTTTGCATGATCTGAACTTTTTTATTAAATGTAATGCTTAACGAGCATGTCCACTGTTACACTGACTCATCCTTGCATTATGCTAAGAAATCGGTTTTCAACATTTTCCCACCCTTTTAAACTATTTTTTTTATCTCCTTCCCTCTTCTCTGTCTGTCATGTTTATGATAGTTACACTGGTGCACTTACAAATATGATGGTAATACATGTCCCAGATGAAGTTGTCAACAAATCTTACCAATATTTTTGGAAACACATTAACAACTGAACTACGTACTTTTCTGTCAACTTTGGAAAATTTTAAATTTGTTGTTGTTGATTGTTGTTTTCAACTCATGTTATTGTTCCAGGTGACTTTGATGCTTTTGGCAGTCAAGCCACAGAGCCTGCAGCTCAGGTAATACTAAAAATTTGTTTTGATGTGCATTTGTAATTATTTTTGTGATTTACTAACATGAAGTAAAAATTTAAAGAAAGGTTAAAAATTAACATAGATAATGTTATAAACCTTTGCTAGGTTTAAACTCTCTTGGCATTCTGTGTAAGAATTGCTCCCTAGCATTCTGTGCAGGTCATAAGAGGCTGACGTATTGAATCGAGCTGAGACACGCTGACTTCTTTGAGTGTCAACCTGAACAACATGGATTCTTGCTCACAGTAATGATCAAAGATCTTGAAAAGAGTCGTGATTATTTTCTGGCTGATTTCATCATATAGCTGGAAAATTGCTGAGAGTGGTCAACACAAGACTTGGAGGAAAACCATGTCAGTTGTTGCCTTCATCAGTTATTCTTATGTTGGCATAGTTTGAAGCAGCAGGAAAATTCAATTTCTGTGTTCAGTGACTGTAAAAATCTGAAATTATCATGGTATGGTATTGATGATATGGAAGTACATTGACCACAATGCATGGTGCACCAATATGTAAAACTATTGTATTGATGATATGGAAGTACATTGACCACAATGCATGGTGCACCAATATGTAAAACTATTGTATTGATGATATGGAAGTACATTGACCACAATGCATGGTGCACCAATATGTAACACTATTGTATTGGATATTGTAATGTGTGCTGCATGCTGAATCATGGTAGAAACATAGCTTCTGCATGGTTATGATTGTTGTGAAATATGCCATGCTTCACTTTGTTATTTGTCATGCTATAGGAAGAAGATGATGATGATGATGATGATGTTGATGTTGATGAGTTTGCAGTGAGTTGGTTTAGTTTTACACTGTAGTATGTTTCCTGTAGTTTCTGTCCTGTAGTTCTACACATATGGAAGACTAATGGGATGTTCTAACTGTGTTTGTTTTGTTTGCAAAGCATGTACTGCTGATTTGTGATCTGGGGGAAGGATTACAAACACATAGTACTGACTTGAGGGACTGACTTTAAACACATGGTACTGATTTGACGGAGTGAGTGCAAACACATACTGATTTGAAGGAATGAGTGGAAACACATGGAACTTATTTTTAGAGTAAGAAATATGCTGATTTTGTCAAAGTATTGCAAAATGAATAATCAAAATTGTGATAGTTACAAATGAAGATATTAGTAGAAAGTGCTGTCAAGAACTTTTTATTTTTGATAAAATTCTTATGTATTGTGAAGATAGAATTGAGTTCCAGCGAAACTCTCTGAGTTTTTCCCTTAGGAAACAGCCATGATTACTTTGGGGAGCATCCATATAAAATTATTGTTGTATATCCAGGGCTTGTTCCTGAGGTTGTTATGATACTGATAAATAACTGGAATTTTACACTATTCAGTAGAAAACACTACTAGTCAGTAGAAATCAGTCTCATTAAAATCAGATATTTCACTCTGATACTATGGTTGGCTAAAATGATTGATCATAGAAAGTATCATTGATGGGAAGAATTTTTAATGGTTATCGAGACGAAAATTGTGTCATTGATATTATCATATATACACTATTGTGATGAAATACAGTAATAATTTATTCATGGTTACACAAAGTTAAGTCCTTGTTCATGATCAGTTTATGAATTTTGTTCCAGACTTTTTTTGTGTTAATAATCCATGCAGAAATGTGGTGCCAGTGCCTACCACTCCACATGATCACTAGAGATGTGAAATATGTTGATTTCTTTCAGATGTTTTTACATTATTGTTCAAAATTAAATGTCTTTTATTTGTAAATAATCAATTGATATTTTGGAAATGATTATCAATCTCTTTGATCTATGTCAAAGCAGAGGGCAGATTTATCAGAGTGAAAGATGTGGTATTTTTATGAGATGGTAGAAATTAGCTTATTCAAAATATGCATCAGTATTGATTTTGGCCTTACTTGTTTCTTGTTTTTTTCAAACATTTTTTTGTCTTTCAACCATACAGACAAAGTTTATGCAGCTTATTAGAGCAGAATCTGAAGGCTTGTTTCTTGACATGCAATTATATACAAGGTCCTGTCTATCCTTGTGGGAAAAGGTTAGCTGTATAGTGACATCTCTTGAGACATACAACATTGTGCAGACACATCACCATCATCCAACGGACCCCTTTCCCAGGTCAGAAAGTACAAACACAGTAGATGTAAGACATGAACTGGTTGTTTCAGAATGATCTGTTTGGTGGCGGTCTAGGTGGTGGGTTTGACATGTTAGGGGGAGACAACTCCTCGGGAGACGGACTCCTTGATATGGGGTCAGTACCGCCTTCTGGGGGACTGCTGGATATGGATGCGGCTCCTCCATTGGTCATTGAACAGTCAGCTCCTGAACAATTTGTACCGGCAGTGAGCAGTTTGTATTACATCCCTGCCACCTCAATCCCTATGTTTCCATTGCATTAAAAATTAAACGGGTATTTCATTTGTTGAACAGTTGGTAGTGATCTTTCCCAAAGTTGCCCGAGTGATTGTATTTTTGCCAGTATTCTGATGGAAATCTTCAAACTCATTTAGAATATTTTTGAAGGTATATGATCAAGAAGGATTATAGAGGAAATTTGGAAGGAAGGCAATATGCATGCCATAAGTACAGTGTTATTAATTGTTTAACTGAAATTATTAACAAAGATATGCCGAGCCTGATTACAAGCCTGACTTCTAGCTTTGGGAAGTTGGTTATAGCACAGACTAATGACAGCTTTGTCAAACTAATAAGTGTGAGTTTGGTCCTTACCTTTGTTTAGGATATCCATGCTAAAAAAACAATAATGTTCAAAACACTTTATGGTGGAGTGCATATGGAAACACCACACTTCAATCTTCCGTCCCTTTCCTCTACAGTTCAAATATAATCTTACCCTAAAGTTCACAGGGCTCCAGATGTTTTTAAGTTTACTCATGTCATCATTCACATTGAATATTGATAAGTTTTAGGTATTCAGTATGTTTTTACACCCTTTTGTTTCTCCTTCATATGAATTTACAAATAAAGGGTATTTTTTAAAGACAATTCTGCTTAAACTGCTGTTTATGTGTCATCATTAACTCACAACAGTGATATACATGTCTAATGAACAAGAAGTGAGACCTTTTCCATGGATTATTCTCTGCTTTAGAAGTCATGTATGAGGTGTAAGGCCTGTAAATAATTATCGCTAAAGAAATATGAGAATGCAAGTTTAAAAAGATGCATTGGGTATTTACACAGAACCACATATTTTTGTCATGCTTTTCTATTTTTCATTTATTATTAGGTGTATTTATATGTAAACCATGCAAAAGTTATTCAGAAGTGGTGATTTATCTAACATATTTTGTATAAAGTATCTGGAGCCCTGATGATCAGAACAATATGAAATTAATGAAAGCTTCCATTTATTGTCAACACTTCATGATAGAAGGAAGTAGTATTTACAAGATCTTGAAGTATCAACAGTATTTCTCCACTGCGCAGGAACATGGCATTGAAGATGTTATAATCAAAGACTAGTTTTGTTGTAAAGTGTTATAACCTCTACAAACCAAATGGCAAGATAGCTTTGATTGGATCTATTGTTTAGAGTCCCTAAGTCATTCCAGGGGCAGTGGGGTAGCCAAGTGGTTAAAGTGTTCTCTCATCAAGCCCCAAACCCAGGATTGATACCCACATGGGTATGATATGTCAGAACCTTCTAAGGTAACAACTGCTGTTATATTGCTGGTATAATGCTAAAAGCAGCATAAAGTCATACTCGGTGACCCTAAATTGTTCCAACTATACATGTTACCATCCCCATAGATGTAGTGAACTTGACTATAAGCTGAACTTGAACTCTAACACTGAAGCCCTATACAAAAAGTGTCAACAACGTCTTCACCTCATGTAAACTGAGATCTTTTAATGTTAACCCATCTGTGATGTCATCTTTTTATGCAGCATTTATTCAGAGTATTTTAACATTTTCCTTCCATTGTTGGTATGGGTCTCTCTCAGTTCATCTCAAATCTAAAATAGACAAAATTGTTAACACTGCAATTAAAATTGCTGGAGTCAGATTTGAATGTTTATCATCAGTATATGAGCGGCAAATCGTGAATCAAGCTGTCAAAATTATATCTGACCGTACTCACTACTTAAATTTTCGAATACAACTTCCTCCCTTCAGGCCGCCGCTACAAAGTTCCAATTGTGAAAACAAATGTGAAGATACCTAAATCAATGAATTTATGTAATTATGTTTGTATCTCTCTAATGTGTCGGTAGCTCTGCTGATGTAACACAAATTCCTGAAAAGGCATTAAAGTATTATTCTATTCTATTCCCATTATGTTGTCAACACTCTGCCATGTGTGTGTGCACTGCTTGAACTTTTGAACAGATTGCTATTGGTCAAGTTTGGAGGTCATGTAATTGTGATGACTATGGCACAACAAACGTACTCACACCCTATCTTGACAACACATCAACAGCCTTAGAAATTTGTTATTTTTTAAGACCAAATTTATGTGAATATTATTTCAGGTTTACTGAAAGTTTCTTACTAGTATGGCTTGTAAAAAGATAAAAACAGTTACTAGTAGAACATTTTTACGTCAGTTTTAATCAGTTCCACTTTGTGGCAAAACTGAATCATTAACAACTGGTTCAGAATTATAGCAATCAGCTGCTGCTAGTCAATGTCGAATACCATCTGTAGATTTTTACTTGTACACAACACATGTTAGTATAGTCAGTCAAGCAAACAAGTTAGTGTATATTTTAAAGGCTGATCGATGTGTAAACACTTCCACCATGTCCATGCCTCTTTCCTTGTTTATGTTCTGTGCTCTTTGTTTTTCCGTTTGCTGCAAACTTGTTGTTGACAGTCTGTGCTTATTTATAGCTTTTCGTTAATTGTATTATTTATGGTGTAACTGCTTTACATCATGTGTAGAAATGTTCACTAAGAAGTGTTACTAACTTACTTGATGTAACATTATGTCATGCCTTCCATCAGTCGTTGATTCTTATGAATGGAGACAAACCATCACATCCTTGTCCTGATCCTGATGTTGAAATTACCATTGCCCAATATCTCAAGGATGCAGGAACCTCCATTGATAGCTTTCAAGATGTTGGCTTTGTGGAACCGGAAGATCATGTCGACAGTGCAACACTGAACTGTATTGATACTCCGAGCAAGCCAAAAAGTGAATCACTGTTTAATGAGAAACTGGCTGCAGGCACATCATGAGCACAGTGTCCTGTGTACCATGCCGTAACACTGCTGTTGAAAGACATCTTCTGCTGAGAAGTAACTGTAAACTGTAAAGAATTGCTGTGTAAGGATGCTTGTATTGTTGCCTCTGCCACACTTGGACTAATGGATAATTGTTTGCTATTGTTGATTTTACAGACCAATGGTCCGACGGATGCATATTCTGCCATCTCACAGGTAGACACAGAAAGAGCTGAGCCTGAACAAATCAAAATTTGGAGAGAGGAACAGAAAAATAGATTAGAGAAAAAAGGTGTGTCTTTTTTCAAGCCATTTGTTGAAAATGTGAAACTTCTACTTGTTTAGAAAGGGCTCTGGGTAGCCTAGTGGTAAGACTTTGACTAAGTTCTATTTCCGACATGTAAAAGGAAGCCCATTTTCAGTCTCCCGTGCTGTGATTTGGCTGAAATATTAATAAAAATATGACTGGCTCAGTTGCCTGTGTTATGCCTTTATTGCAGCAAAGACTGCTGCAGGCAACATTATTTCCTATTACCCTGTATGCAGATGTGGTTTATTTTGCAATGAAAATAACTTCACCGTGTTGACATTCAGATAAGGAAGAGGAGCAGAAGAAGGGGGAGTGGAATGAGGTTGCCAGGAAGGAACTGGAAGACTGGTACAAGCATCATGCTGAACAGCTGGAGAAGGCCAAGGAGAACAATAGGTAGGGCTGAACAGATACATTTCTTGCCATTCACCAGACACATCCATGTGTACTATGCATTTCAAATGTTCACATTCAGATTTCCATTTCCTTTTTAGTAGTAGGATACCCGAGGGAGGAAAGCTCATTTGTTCTTTCTTATAGATTTTAGGTTATTTTCTGATGCTCATTCCTTGTCTTAGCTCTGATTGGGTCTGGTGTCATCCCAGATGGCTTGTAAGTTTCACATAAATGAGCATTTATATGACACCGCTCACGCTCTACTGCAAGACTATTATGGAGTATTGTATAGTGTCCTAAAGAACATGAAGAAGACACGACTGTTTGTTTTGCTCCTGATTAGTATACTATAGACTGATGTAATGCTGATTATTATTTTTGTCTGTACCCCGGAGATTCCTTTCAGTCACTTCACTGCATATGGAATTGTCCAACCAATCTGAGATGCCTCATGGCATGATATGAGTTTAAATGCAACTGGTCTATAGTATATTTCACAATAATGATTTGTGTTTTACATATATTCTTTGAATAAACCGTTCATCCCACACTTCGACTCCTGGTATTACCTGATATATAATTGAGATGAATATTCACTCGCTCACTCACTATTTTCAGAGCTGCAGAAACTGCTTTCATTAAGGAACGTGATGAGAGTATCCCTGGAGCTCAGTGGGAGAAGATATGTCGGTTGTGCGAGTTCAACCCCAAGAACGTGAAGTCCACAAAGGATGTGTCCAGAATGCGCTCCATGTTGCTGCAGCTGAAGCAGACTCCTCTTGTTCGCTAGGTGTTCATCTTATCCATACTAGAATATCAGATTGTCTCTTGTAGAAAGGAATAGGGAAGGACTAGAGTCATCTTTTGTCTGTTCGTCTCCACAAAATAGAGTCAGGTACTCTAACATACATTGATTTCTACACTTTTGGGTAGGACACACCTGAAAATGTTTCACAGAAATTCAGCTCTTTTTTATCTTTGTTCTTAATTGTAAGTACTTTGTTAAGAAAGGTTGTAGGAAGTGAGACACACCCTTGCCCTCTTCTCAGAGATAGTCAAGATTCTAGGTGTTCCGACAACCGTGTATGCTGACTGACAAGTCGTCCTTGCTATACATCCAAAGGTGCCCATATATTTGTGTTTCATAGTTTGTTGTAATGTATACTCTGATCATGTCACTCATCGTAGGCAGGAACGATAACCAGATAGCGTTCTGAACAGGTGTCTACTTATTCATCTTTGTTTATGATATATATGAAACTTCTATCAGGAATTGTTTTATGTGAGGAAAATAGTAATTAACACTTTTGATATAGTTAAGGAAATTAAGGGCATCTGCACCTATTGTAAAAATCAAACATGTATGTTGTAGATATTTACTGTTGTGGTTAGTCAACAAAATGCATTGAAAGACCAAGCATGAATCATGCAGCAAATGAAATTGATAGAATTTGCTGGTCAAGGAGTGAGTGTATGTCATTAGTCACATTTCTCAGTTACCATGGTACTGTCAATTTTAGATTGTAGAGTGCAATTATTTGTTGGGGATTTTAGAGTGAGAAATTTGTGTCTATGAATGACTGCATTCCAGGTGTATATTTATTTGACATGTCTACAAATAAACATTATCAGTTATATGTGTTTAATTGTTTGTTGTGACTAATGGTTTACATGGTACAGAAACAAGAAAATACTCTCAACTTCTAAACATTGGTTGCTGAACACCACTTCTGACCTAATGATTAAAGCTTTTGCTTGTCACACTGAAGACCAGGGTTCGATTCCCCACATGGGTATAGTGTGTGACACCAGTGTGTGAAATAGGCCTGCCCGAGACGGGCTAGATTTCTGACGGACGGTCAAAATTTACAGCTAGCCAGCCCGATGGTCTGGTAAAAAATTGAGATGTTCCATACATCTGAGTATAAATTCACCATATCTTGGTGTCTGGACTGATTAAATTCCATTTGGGCTGGTAACATTTTGTAGTTACCAGCCCTGATGTCTGGCTGTGTTTCTGGCTTATTTCATACACTGGTGAAGCCCATTTCTGGAGTCCCCTGCCGTGATATTGCTGGAATGTTGCTAAAAGCGGTGTAAAAACCATACTGCCTCACTCACTCATACCATGTCCCAGCAAGCCCCACTTCATGAAGCCAATGTCGGAAGGGTTAGAGGCAATCAGATCATATCTTGCTAGGACATCTTCCTTGCTGACATTTTTCGTAAAGATCCAGAGGATCATCGGCAGACGACAAATACCCAACAGTTGACAACCTGATCTGACAGACAAATAGATTGAATGTCGTTGCCATGGAAACAGAAAAAGACCATTCTGAAAAACCTCATATAGCAAAATGCACCAGCTGACGACCTGGCCTTTGCTTGTGCAGCACAATAAAATGTCTGACAGTAACGAGAACTAAGATATATGAGTTTAATCAGACTTGCGATACTTTTCATGGTAGATATGACTGGCAGACTGGTGAAGAAACAGAAAGCAATGAGCTCAGTCGTATGATTGCAATGATATGTCAGGAAGCTGCCCTTCTAAGTGAGTCACAATGTAAGCTTCACATTGAGTGAGTGAGTGATGACAAATGTGCCTTGTTTTTCCTTATCGGTACCGGACACCCAGGCCTTGCACAGTTCAGTACGCAGAATGCTGCCTTTTCTGTAACAGGGGAAGCAGGAAATATAAATTATCAATTATGAAAAATACTAACTTTGTACGTGGATATTTCAATGTTTAGTTAGTGGGCGAATATATCTGCCTTGTGGTGACTTTGGTCAGCATGATATCAAACTGACTGATCAGTTAGACCGGTGTAATTATTTCCCTTGACCCAGTGTCGTCACCTGTGGCCCCCAGCGTTGTGACCAACGTGTTAGATACGAATCAGCATGTCACTCACCCAGTATCGCAATATCCAGGTGTCAGCTGCAGGTATCAATTACATTGTTGAACTCAGATACGGAAGTACGGCCATGTAATACTCACGCTCAAGCTGCGATTTGATTACAATTATCACATCTGCTTAGATATTTTGTATTATATATTGACTTGGGTTGGTGTATCATATATGAGTATTTTAGTGGGGAGAGGATTGCACAGAATTTGGAGACGGACTGGACTTAAAATACAAATATAAATTATCACATGGTTCAAGAAACATTTGCGTTTTTAGGCACAGAAAGGTAACTTACATTGTTAATTTTGTTAAATTTATACATGCCACCAAATGGTATGTTTAGTCTGTTTTTAGACGCCAAAGAGCATGGTAAACAAGCTCAACACGACGAATCTATATAAATAGTAACTCCAATTTTGCGAAACACCTGCCTCAAACAACTGAGTGGTGAGTTAAGTTTTACGCCGCATTCAGCAATATTCCAGCTATATAGCAGCGGTCTGTAAATAGTCTGGATCAGACAATCCAGTGATCAACGTCATGAGCATCGATCTACGCAATTGGGATACGATGACGTGTCAACCAAGTCAGCGAGCCTGACCACCCTATCCCGTTAGTCGCCTCTTACGACAAGCATCGGTTACTGAAGATCAATTCTAACCTAGATCTTCACGGGTCCTGCGTCATCCCAACACGAGCACTGATATCCATTGGCTATTTATAGGGAAAAAGTATACAGATTGCTTTAACAATAGTTTACAGAGGACATGGTGCCATTTTTCATATTTTTCTTGGCAGCAGCTAGTACTGATGCCAACAAAACAGCCAACAGGCAGTAAAGACGTGTTATTCCCAGAACAACTCACGTGTTTAAATCCATATAACAGTGTTAGTACAGGAGTCAACACGCCTATGTTTACAATAAAATACTCTGTAGAAATAAGAACAATAACAATGTCAGTGTTACTAATAGTAAAACAAAGACATACAATGGTAGTATTTATGTATTTATTATCAGAACTAAATTGGCTCCCACTACCGCGACATCGTTATACCGTGTAATATCTTTATGCGTTTATACCGCGACAGTTCAGTCTGAATTCGACATCGTTAATATGTATAGATTCTATGCATGTGTGACAATTTCCTGACCGTTTTTTTGATATTTAAAAATCATTTTCAAAGGCATAATCAATACTTTAATTCTGAGAGGGAGTTAATTGTTAACATTCATATGTAGGAGTTTATATATACCAATTATAGTTTTATTCCTGCCTTTGTACCAGCACCTGGTGCCATTAGACATTTGTGGGGTCGATTCTAGAATCATCAAATCATCAAGGCTGTTTTTCAGTTTGGATGAAAATATAAAAATCTGTTCGTTTGAAGGCGCGGATGCAGCTTTCAGAGAGAATGGTGTATTGTGAACGTTTCGTGCGTGCGCGCGCACGCTCTTTGAGAAAGGGGTGGTGGTGGGTGCACACTTCATTTTCACCCGAGTTTCAATTCTTTTTCCCAACACACACACACACGCACTCAGTCACCTACCTCTGGATCCGCCTATCGGTTTACTGTATTCTACGTATTGTACAAATTACGTTGTTTCCTTAATTCCGGTCTTTGTACCAACACCTGGGCCATGAGTCATTTTCGGGATCGATTCTAGAATTATCACCGCTGTTCTTCCATCTATGTCCCAAGGAATCTGTTTAGATGACATGTGGTTAATCACTAGGATTACTGTTTTCTATGTATTGTACAAACGCTAAATAACTTAATGATTAAATGCAATATGTGACAGAGTGAAAGAAAAGAGAGAAGAAAGCATTCTACAGATAGTGCGATTTTTACAATCAACTTTGAAATAGACATTTATGGCTGTGTGTGCGTTAGTGTGTACATTGCGTTAGTGTGTACATTACACATTGTGTTTCTATTGCATGGAGTGTGAAACCTAAATCACGAAATAAATATCTAGAGTGTTATATATATATAACATCTTGGTAAGTATATCGCTGAACGGTGTCAAATCTCTATCTTTAAATCGATGCGTAGACATTAGAGCAATCTCTCGTCCACATGGGCGCACATCCCCACGGCGTAAATGTTATCTGATGAACTTGGCTCCCTGACGAATGCAACATATGAGACACAGTACATCCGATGAGAATATATTGGATACTGTCACTGACATTCTCGCGAAATACGATAATGACAATATATGGAGTATTACATCCATGTGCAGAGTCCATATACATAACAATACATCAACATCTGTGGTATCATCTTTATTATACTATTGTCAGATGGAATTGGGGCGTAGTGACTTTGATCGCGGCTTGTATGACCATAGGAGTTATTACCATCATACGTGTTACAGCCATGATGACCAGAGACGCCAGCGCACGGTATGGCAACATAACATACAACCCCGTCGGGGTAGGGAAGCGGTGGGGTAGCCCAGTGGTTAAACCGTTTGCTCGTCACGCCTAAGACCCGGGTTCGATTATCCATGGGTACACTGTGTGAAGCCCATTTCTGGTGTACCCCGCCTTGATATTGCTGGAATATTGCTTAAAGAGGCGTAAAACCATACCCAATCACTCACTCGTCGGGGCAGAAGATGCAGATTCGATGTGTTCACGATGAAATCCAGATATCTTGATTATTCGTTATCCATTCTGATAACTCAGTGTTCATTATGCTCGACTCCTTCAAGAAGCAGGATGACATTATATGTCTTGTAAAGATGTCACCGTGCAGGTGTTTCATTAAACTTCGACTGCACGGTATTACCGATATGCCTGCAAATTCGCTTTACGGTATATTTGCCAATACACAATGTTATATTGTAAAACTACATATTTAATATAAATGTACATTAAATGTACGTTAAGCTTGCATAATTTATGTTTTGTATATTCAGAATACTATTAACGTAATCAAAAACATTTCAAGGTAAAACAAGAAAACAAAATTTACAATTTTTGCCAACATGAAATAGAAGAAGAATTTCCATCGCAATCGTGATTTTATGAATTGATTTAATCGCATTGCTGTATTTTGTTAATCTGCTGTAAATATATAGGCATTTGTTTTCTTTATTTGCTATCTATATGTGGTTATTGTTGAAATCAACTTTCGAACATACAGGAAAGTATATATCAATATAAACACCCTTGTTATCGCGCCACTGCACGTATGTCGTTTTATTAAAAAGTTTAACAAAAAGGATTCTTACATGTTTGAATAACTATCACTATCTATAACTTGGTGAGAAAGATGATTAGAAGTAAGCAGAAAATACACATTTCTTCATTTACCTTTTCGTATCAGTGTATATTTTTTAGGACTATGCAACATTATTTGTTTTGATGAGGGAGTAATTACCATGAATAATACGGTAAATGCATTCAAACAATGACATTATTGAGCGAATCGTGTGGTGGGGAGAGTTACTTCCCTTGGAGGAAAGCACCGGCTTATATTTGACACGTACTGCAGCTGTTGACCAATCAGAAAACTCCACGATCGGTATTGGCGAGCCCAGTCAACGTGGGTCGTTTCCACGCAAAATACATACAGAGGTATTGACTTGTTCATTCAATCTCGCAAAACCGGTTGGTGATAGACGTGCACAACATGTTAGGTAAGTAATATATAACCTAATGCATCTAACGATAATTCAAGATTTTCCCGACTGTATGTTTTCTGTAGACATATGATGGCTGTGCCACCGGTGGCACCAAGAGGTGTTATTATTGTCTGTTGTCCCCAGTTTTCGTGAGCTACATGTCTGAAATAGTGTTTTCATATGTGTTGATATTGTCATAATATTATTTACCAGTATGTAGCGGCTAGAATGCACTTTACCGGGCGCAGCCCTCGCTGCTCCCTTTACGATGCCTAGGGTTAGGGTTTAGGGTAAGGGTATGCCACCCTTTACGATCCTTAGGGTTAGGGTTAGGCACACTTTACGATCCTTAGGGTTAGGTATGTAGCTAGTATAAGAATAAACATTTTCGTAAAGTTGAACCAAGATGCTGGTCAATGCAACCGACTGGCTAATGGTCATTTTGTGCAAACTTGGACATTTATTGGGATCGTAAACAGACATAAACATCTTTCTAAATTTAAACATTTGGCCTTCAGACTTCAAATTTTGGCATAAGTTGTTAAACTCTGCATGACAAATCATAATATTTAAATGCTGCTCAAACGTAGTTGAAGAAAACCAATTCTTTCCAATTACTGGTTAATCTGTCTTGTAATGACTGATTATGTGGAGTTAATTGGGTTCAAACTCGTAAACAGAACACCGCTTTGACATCGTTCATTTTTCTGCAAACAAAAACTGACATTCAATTCTTATAATTGGCTTTGAAGTTCAGATACTTTTCCACCCATTTGTAGATGATCATTGTTTAGTGTGTTTTAATACCTGTAAAATGTTGTAATGCCATTAAGCTTCCAAGAACAATTGCATGTTTGTATACAAGTTGTTTTCTTTACACATGTATCCCAACCCTTGAAGAAATATTTCTCAAAGTATCCGATCTTTAAAATATAACAACAAATTCGTTATGAGGAAACTGCTTTAATAAGTATAACATCAAAACAGCATCAAACAGAAACAAATATCAGAAGCAATAACAATAGCATTTTGAGGACAATTGTACTTTTCACTTGTAAATACCTTGTTTGACCGCGTTACAGTGACCGACTTGGTTTGTCTGGTTAAGGAAGCTGATCTTGTAACTATTTATTTGTGATTGTTTATTGTGAAATTCCATTGAGCAGTTGTTAAACAGACCTCGGGCAGAAAACCGCCAGATGAACCATGAACTTAAACATTAAACTCCTGTGAAAAGGAACAATGTTCGGCAATCCGTTTAGTATGACATTGCAAACTTGGTGACTTGAAACAGGTTAGTTTGAAACCGAACTTCACACATTATGAACGGTGTTTACACAAGTATGAACGATTAGAGGGGTTCAAGAGTAATGAACCTTGAAATTTAGATCACATGACCGCTCTCTCAACCAACCAACGTTCGGGAATCTGTGTAAACTTGAAAGCACGAAATTATTATGAAATGAATCAGGTGTGGTCTTCAACTTTTATGAGTAGTATTTATGAAAGATGAAATTAACTTGACAAATTAGATCTTTCGTTATATTTGTTGACCTAATTCGGTACTGTAAGCATTGCACTGATATACCATTATGTTTGGTTGATACAAAAAGAATATTTTCTGCTGTTGTGAATTTCCCAAGTCAAAATAAGCCATTATGTCTATACTTCAGGTTGGTTTTAAATCATTCTTAAATAGTTTCTGATGGAAACATCACACTTTCAGTTCAAGCATGATTCACTTCTCACATCAGTGAACTGAACAACTCAAGTGCTATGCAGAGTAACTGGCTTTGGTCATGTGTATATTAAAATACTGTGTCATTTCTCTCGAAGATGATTACAAATCCTCACGCCCAGATTGATTGGATCAGTGTGTTAATCACAGGCTATATTACAGTGCCTCTGTTGTTCGTGTTGTTGCAGAACACTCCCCTAATAAGAGTTCCTTCTGGCAAACCTAATGCCTCTGCCATATGGTATCTATAAGCAGTCCATTTAAGATATTGTGTCTGTTTTTCACCAGTTTCTGACAAGTCGACATATTCAAATAAACTTATTTTAGAAAAAGTATGTTTATCCACAAACCTGAGAAAAGTCTAGTCTCATGAAAAGTAGTGATGTGGTCACTGAAGCAGAAACCCAACACAAGGAGGGCTAGTGAGCTTGCTGGTGTCAGTTATTATTTGCATATGGGTGCTTCAAAATAGTCAACATGTAATGCATTAATGCATTCTAGATGAAGAAAGGATGAAACCAAGCAATAACTTTTATAAGCAATAACAGATCCAGTGTGTAACAGATGTAAGTCAACAACTGTTCAGTTAACATGCTGTGCACAACAGTTTGATATTCTACAAAGTAATTATTTATGATTACAAGTAATTTACTGCTGATGGCGATTAACATTAATAGAATTTGTTTGAGCACATAAGGCTTAAGGCATAAGCTGAAATTGAGGCATATGGCCCTAATATATCATGTATTAACACTAGTGAATCCAGATAAACACATCAAACATGTAACTCAAAAAACTAACCAGCTGCTTTTATCAGCAAGCTGCTATACATTAAAGTTCTCTGATTTAGATGGCCATCGCTGGAAGTGCTATTCAATATCAAGCTGAACAAGCTACTTATGCAAGAACTATAGACTCATTCTTCCATGTAGGTTTTTTGGTTGAACGCCATACTCAGCAATATTCCTGCTATATGGTGGCAATAATGGAGTCTGGAGCAGACAATCCAGTGATCAACAACATGAGCATCGATCTACACAATTGGGATGATGACATGTCAGCCAAGTGAGCGAGCCTGACCACCCGATCCGGTTTGTCGGCTCTTACGACAAGCATGGGTTGCTGAAGACCAATTCTAACCTGGATTTTCACAGGTCAATTCTTCCATGACAAATACTGATAATGAGTAGAAATCTCCAACAATGGTTACAGGTTGTCAACACAATGTCAAGACTTGCCCATGGTTTCACCAAAGAATTGTATGTCTAACTCTAAGACCTATATCACTTCAGGCTTTCTTTCAAATGATTCTAATATGCCCTGATATATAACTGTTATTTAGGTAGTGTTCTATACAACTCACATATTCACTGTATTTGGTCTACATGTTACTTTACAATGGGAAAAATGTTTATGAATTTAACTTACAAACAGACTCCTACATTGGAAATACAACTTTCCCAACAACTGCTGTTCAACTAATCCTATTGCTTTGTAGTGGTAACAAGTTTTCCATTGATGATGGGATCAGTTTTTCTTCATGTCACATAATAACTTTTAAGCCCTTTCCAGAAATTTTGGAACAACATAATATTTTCCCCAATTTTCGTGCCAAGAACATTTTGAAACCTCAGATAAATCATAGATGGGAGACTGTGCGACTGGTGGAAAAAGTTTCATTCAGAGCATTTGAATATTCAGATTGTTTATTGTGTTAATGCGAGTGCTGGATCAAACATTTCCTGAGTATAACTATTCTCATGGAAAAGAATAAGGGAACATGGTGGCCAGGGCCCGAAAATTCCACTCATCCGCTCGAATTGATGAGTAAAATTTGTTTGGGGCAAGTGAAAAACATAATTTGCTCGTCCTAGAGGACGAAATTTGCTCGTCCTAGAGGACGAGTACGTTTTCTGACCCAAAAGTAACATTTTTCTTTTCCTTTGAAGTTCAGCTATCTTAAATGGTGAACGAATTTAATTTTGTCCAAGATTTTGTACAGAAGACAAAGTAAATAATGTTTTTTGTAGTTTTATTCCAAGCAAACATTTTGAATAAAATAATGTATATTTATATTCATTGTGATGCATGATCTATAGGGAAAGTACCATATTAGAAGGACGAGTGGAAAGTTCATATTACTCACCCTGCAGGGCGAGTGCAGATATGTTAATTTTTCGAGCCCTGAGGTCACCATTCTTTTCCAGGTTTTTTTCACAAGCTTTGTATTGCACTGTGGTGAAATTCTGGAAAAGAATAGAGGAACATTTGTACTTTCAGGTGTTCCCTTAGTTGTTTCCATGAGTGTATGATGTTTACATGTTGTCATGCTATGTATGTCACGGGTGGAAATAACTTTAAAATTGCAAGTGTACTCCGGTACAGTGGCACATGTAAAATCACTTGCCCTGATAATTTTTCCACTATACCAGCTGTTTTCTTGTTGATTTTTTAAATAAACAACATAATTAACGTTGGAAGGTCAACTGGACACCTGTACAGTGTGATATACAAATTTGCTTGCCCAACAGAAAAAAACACTGGACTCGGACGTCGGGCAATGGGTTATTTCCACCCCTGTATGTTTTCTGCAGCTGACACTGTGCCTCAGGCTGTTCTTAGTGTAGTCATTGCTTTGATACTTATCCTTTCAGTCATTAGGCTTTATCATCAGCCAGGATAAAGCAAGCAGGTAAAACAGATACATGAAGATTGTTGTCTGTCTTGTAGGTTGGTCGTTGTATGCTGTGTCGCTAGTGGCGACGGTGTCCTGCCTGTACTCCCCATCAGATGATGTTGTCCAGGTGACTGAATCCAGTTTCGACAGGGAGGTGAAAAACTACGATGGAATTGTACTTGTGGAATTCTATGCTCCTTGGTGAGTAACCTTTCAGCTTCAAAAACAGGAATCTAAATCACTGACCATGTTAGTGACGAGCCCTATACTTATCACTAAGCGTCAAGCTAAGTACATTTTAGTCTTATCATAGGGTATATTATTAGTTGAATGTGTAAGAGCAATCAGAATTAACTAAAGTGAACTGTTTATAACAAATATGCTTATAATGAACTGACTGATATAACACAACTTGATAACGAACCCATGAAGATCCAGGTTAGAATTGGTCTTCAGTAACCCATGCTTGTCGTAAGAGGCAACCAAAAATATAACAGGATCAGGTGGTCAGGTTCTTTGACTTGGTTGACATATGTCATCGGTTCCCAATTGTGTAGATTGATGCTCATGTTGTTGATCACTGGATAGTCTGGTCCAGACAGCTGGAATATTGCTGAGTGTGGCGTTAAACAACAACAAACCCAGACAAAACTTGATAACTTCTCGTCCAGTAGCTGTATATTTTAGTTGAAAAAGAACTACCGTTAATATGGACTAAAATTATCAACATGTTCAATGAGTGATTCATTGATGCTATGCTGTTGTTCTTGTTTAGACAGCCAGGTATTCCATCGTTAACATGTACGTTACGTTTGTAGGTGTGGACATTGCCGCAGCTTGGTTCCAGAGTGGAAGAAGGCTGCTAAGGCTCTTAAGGTGAGTGTCCTTGATATGATAGGGAATCCGGTGTGATTAATTATGCCTCTGTAACTAATGCACAAAAAGACAAAAGTAGTTAAATTATGTTTTAAAGTTGATTTAATATTGGAAAAATATCAGGAATATTCAGATAGAAGGTTAGTGTTTGAGGTTCTACTAAACTAAATATGACATCATTGAAAGCTATAGTCAGTGAGAATATGTTGCATTCATTAAGAGCTATACAGGGGTGGAAATAACTTTAAAATTGATAGTGTACTCCGGTACAGTGGCACATGTAAAGTCACTTGCCCTGATCATTTTTCCACTATACCGACCGTTTTCTTGCTGATTTTTTAAATAAACAACACAATTAACATTGGAAAGTCAACTGGACACTGGTACAGTTTGATATACAAATTTGCTTGCCTGACAGAAAAAAACAGTGGACATGGACGTCGGGCAATGGGTTATTTCCACCCCTGGCTAAAGCCACTGAAAATGTTTGCATTCATTAAGAGCTATGGCCCCTGAAAGTATGTTTGCATTCATTAAGAGCTATAACGACTGAAAGTATTTTGAATCAAGGTGACCTTGATGATGCCAACACTTAGGGTAATGACAACTATATATCTTGTCTTTGTTATAGGGGGTGGTAAAGGTGGCTGCTGTTGATGCTGATGAACACAAGAGTCTTGGAGGTCAATATGGCATCCGTGGTTTCCCAACAATCAAAATCTTTGGGGCCAACAAGAACAGTCCCTCTGATTATAATGGTAAGTAAAGAGGCAAGATGACTCTGAAGTAAAAAGTTGGTATGGTTTGTGAAGCGTTTGTTGTCGAGATGCTAAGATTATTATTTCATGATTTACAGAGCAATGTTTGCAGAATTTACTGATACAAACTGTGAAGTATTTTTGTCTTGAATCTGTTGTGAGAGACTTCTTGTATGAATCTGTTTATTCGTCTTCTGTTTGTCAGGTGGTCGTGATGCTCAGAGTATTGTTAACGAGGGTTTGAGTCAGGTGAAGAGTCTCGTGAATGCCCGTCTCAGTGGCAAGTCTGGCGGTGGTAGCAGTGGCGGCAGTGGTGGCAAGGTTAGATGCCATATTTTATGTGTTCTGTTTCAGAGCAATTTATGGCTGGTACTTCAGTCATAGTTCTTTTGATTGTACTTTTCTGGACAAGATGTCTAGCAAATTACGAATGCTCCAGAGTGATGTATTATTGAATAATACTTTGGATGGGCCAGTCAGGAATCTGTATCATACCCCGCCAATGATTGACCACTTGACCAGTCCATGTTGATTATCTAAATTAAGGTTTTGAAAATGCCATGAATACAGTTTATTTATAAATATTTCATATGTCACTCTCAGAATTAAGAAATATGATCTTGACAGATAGCTGTCATAGCTTCTTGTTGACAGTAATGGACAACACTGACGGTAGATGGTAATGGACCGTTCAGTCTGTGTTACAGTATTGTAACTACTTGTCTTGTTCATCTAGCCTGGAAACCCTGATGATGTTGTTGAGCTCACAGACAATAATTTTGAGGAGATGGTGCTGAAGAGTGACGATATGTGGCTGGTGGAATTCTTTGCCCCCTGGTGTGGACATTGCAAGAGCCTTGCCCCTCACTGGGCTCAAGCTGCCACCTCTCTCAAGGGCAAGGTCAAGTTGGGTGCTCTTGATGCAACAGTTCACACTGTCATGGCAAGCAGATACGGAGTAAGTGATTGTGTTTTAAACTTTATGACACTGGTATCAGTGCTTGTTTAAAGGTACCATATGTTCTGGTTCCCATTCCACAAAGCGATCATAGAGCTAAGATGATTGTAACTCTCGTACTTTAACATAGACTTCCGACTGTCGTAGCGCTAAGATGATTGTAACTCTCCTACTTTAACATAGACTTCCGACTGTCATAGAGCTAAGATGATTGTAACTCTCATACTTTAACATAGACTTCCGACTGTCGTAGCGCTAAGATGATTGTAACTCTCCTACTTTAACATAGACTTCTGACTGTCGTAGCGCTAAGATGATTGTAACTCTCATACTTTAACATAGACTTCCGACTGTCGTAGCGCTAAGATGATTGTAACTCTCATACTTTAACATAGACTTCCGACTGTCGTAGCGCTAAGATGATTGTAACTCTCATACTTTAACATAGACTTCCGACTGTCGTAGCGCTAAGATGATTGTAACTCTCATACTTTAACATAGACTTCCGACTGTCATAGCTCTAAGATGATTGTAACTCTCATACTTTAACATAGACTTCCGACTGTCATAGCGCTAAGATGATTGTAACTCTCATACTTTAACATAGACTTCCGACTGTCGTAGCGCTAAGATGATTGTAACTCTCATACTTTAACATAGACTTCCGACTTCCGACTGATCTCTCATACTTTAACATAGCTTCATAGCGCTAAGATGATTGTAACTCTCATACTTTAACATAGACTTCCGACTGTCGTAGCACTAAGATGATTGTAACTCTCATACTTTAACATAGACTTCCGACTGTTGTAGTGCTATGATTGCTTTTAGGAATGGGGCCCAGGTCTGTACAAAAATAACATTGTCTTCTTTCTGTATTGTGTAACATGTTGAGATCTTAAACACAATGTAAATTCTGTATTCATATTTCTGTCTCTGTGTGGGTTTCCAGTCTGAAGGGTTAATATTACTGTTGACAGAAACCTCTATAAGTTGGACATATGAATCTAGTGACATTTGTAGGGTTAGTAGGTTGTCTTGTGGTTGAAGCATTGGCTTGTCACAGTGAAAAACGGGGTTTGAGTCTTCACAGGGACATTATGTGTAAATTCCATTTCTGGTGTCCCTTTACAATGGCTTCACTGGAATAGGGCTAAAAGAGACATGTCCTTGTTTGATGAATCAATAAACTTGTGATATGTGAAGAATTCACTTCAAGCATAACTAATGGGAATTAACTTGGACAGATACAAGGCTTCCCAACCATCAAGATGTTCCCAAAGGGTAAGAAGGATGGTGCAGAAGAGTATGATGGTGGGCGCACAGCATCAGACATTATCGCCTGGGCAACAGAAAAGGCTGCTGCCAACGTCGCTCCCCCTGAAGTGGTTCAGGTAAGAGGTGCTCCAGCACTGAACAGTCATAGTGCTGGAATATTGCTGAGTGTAGCACTAAACAGTCATAGTGCTGGAATATTGTGAGTGTGGCACTAAGCAACACAAACAAAACAGTCATAGTGCTGGAATATTGCATTACTGAAAGTCTTTCATTGAAGCCAATAGGTAGGGATGGGATGATATGTTTTGATGTTTGCAAGTGCCTTGTTGGCATATTTTAGAAGCCAACATAATTTCTCAAGGAGCTAAATTAATGGATAATAATTAAAGTCTTTGAATGTCATGAGTGGTGTAACTTTTTAGGACTATTCCTTGACACCTACTAATCTCCTGTTCAGGTGACGAATGCGCAGGTGTTGAAGGACAACTGTGAGAACCATCAGCTGTGCATCATTGCTATCCTTCCTCACATCCTGGACTGTCAGTCCAAGTGCCTCAACGATTACATCTCCATTCTCACACGACTTGGCGAAAAGTACAAGAGAAATCAATGGGGGTAAGTGCACGTGACGGACCAAAGTGGAGGCATAGATAATGGAAGGTCTATGGAGTTGGTTGACAGTGCTTGAGTGGGATATCCGCTCCAACATGTATCCTGGTGGGCTAGCACTATGATACTATCATTAGTCAAGGCTGTACAAGAGGCCACAGCAAATTGAACACAAAATATGATATATACAAAGTTTCAAAATATGTAACTGATATGCTATTCACTAGATATAAAGCTTAGAACTTATCAATCAATCACAGTAAGACATTAAAGGTAACCAACTTGTCTCTGAATAATGTTTTTTATTATCTTCAGTTAGTAAATGATTTCTGTTCTGGAAAACAGGTGAAAATCTTATTAAAGCATTGTGTAAGTACCATGTTAAACAAATGAAACAATTCCCATTACTTGAACTAAGATCTGATTGTTCCCCAGATGGGTGTGGGCCGAGGCAGCTGCTCAGACAGCTATGGAGGAAGCTTTTGGAATTGGCGGCTTTGGATACCCTGTAAGTAGAATGTCGTCAATGTTGAATGTGTATTGGGACTACAAAAGCAGAATGATACCAAAATCCTTGTTGAGTTAAATGGTGATTGCGTGTAAACAATGTAAATGGTGCTTGCATGGGTGGGTTGTGCTGCTGGTAATAAAGCAGTTACTGAACTGAGCTAGTCAGTCATGGTGTCAACCAGGCTTTGATGTTGTCGTTCTGAAATAGTTTGAGGTTTCGTTAATTTTATATGGAGCTACACGATCCTATTGTTGATATTCAATAATTGACAATTTGAGTTTGCATTGTCTTGAGTTTTAATGCAGACAGATGTTACAGTGATTGGATGATGCACTGACAAGCCATGTATCTAACAATGTGAATCAATCCAGACTGATGTAAATTTAATGTAACTGGAAAAGTAAAACAATGTATAAAATCGTTTTTCCGTTAACAGGCATTGGCAGCTGCAAACAGCCGCAAGATGAAGTACTCCTGGCTTAAGGGACCATTCAGTGAACAGGGAATAAATGAGTTCCTCAGGTGAGATTATCTTGTCTTATCAAATGAGGATATCCTCAAGTGAGCCACATCCTTGAGACTCTGCTATCTCTCTCTGGAGCCATGGCCTTGAGACTCTCACCGTGACCTTGAGGCAACTCTCAGGCTCTGCACTATCACAACAGACAGTTTGTCTTTCTTCCGGACTTGAACTTGTAGTTTGTGTGAACTTAGGTCATGATTGGGTCTGTACCTGCCATTGTATAACTTATGACACCCTTTTGAAACCTGTCACTTTTGCTGTCTTCAGGGAGCTTTCATTTGGCCGTGGATCCACAGCCCCAATTAAGAATGCCAAGCTGCCTGCTATTGTAGACTCAGAACCCTGGGATGGAAAGGATGGAGAGGTAAGCTCACACTTTATGTTGTCTCATAACTTAAATAGAATCTTGAGAATCTTGAGAAATGTCTCTGAAATAGCATTTGGTTTCTTGTAAGTGACATAAACATCTTACATCTGGGTATGACTTTTCAACATTGGAGGAATTTGCATTATATTTCTCTGATTTAGGCCAAATCCTGTTCTTTTTTCATAAGCCCTTTACAAAACGATGCAAACTTGTATGATAATATCCTTTTTTTTAAAATCTAACGTTGATATATATTTTGAAACGTGTTGAATTGCTTTCATTACAGCTCCCAGTTGAAGATGATATAGATCTGAGCGATGTAGAACTTGACGATTTGGACAAGGATGAATTGTGATGCGTCGGTCAAGGGAGACAATCAGTGTGGGATATGAAAGCGTGACATGCAGCTGCAGCCAACACTCCAAGCTACAGGGAAAATCCATGATCCAACTAACTTTGACATGAGAAAATTATGAGCTAAAAAAGCAGTTTTGAGGAAATACATAAATTTGACAACTGTAAATATTTGAATGAATCATTAATTTAATGACCTTTGTTGCTTTTGTGACATGAAAGAAGGTTCTGTGCAGCTAAACTGAAGCCTGATACACTAGGCTGTTTGGATGACGTGTGTGAAGAAATATATCAAATGTTTGAGAATGCTTGAATATATGTGTGAAACTGCGTGCCCATCTCAGTTTGCTGATACCTGTACATCACAAACCAACACTGTTAACAGTTTCGTGAATATTTCAGTTGTTCATTGAGAAATGAATCTATTCAGCTTTTAATTCTTTGGTGCAATTTTATGTAAAGCTGTGGATTTGCCAGGTTATACATTTGTTATTTCTTGATTTTGTTTTTGAATCTGATTTTAGATCAATGACAGCACAGATTACTTATTTCATACACTGATGAACATACTTAAGATCGGTAAAATTTGATGCTGTTCGACACAATGGCTAGAGTTCTTTTAACATTATGTTAACAATACGGTAGTATGGTTTCAAAACAGTTACGATGTCCAGAATTTACAGTTCAATTTTTGAGAAGTCTGCAGGTTATGTGAATGAACTGGTATTGAGAACAACCTCACTCGACATGGTTTGATGTTCAGTTGTACAAAATTTGTATTGTTCTTTGTGGGTTTAAATGTTACAAAACACTTTTTACACGAGAGGAAGTCGACAAGTGTGACATTACCTACTGTTTGAACCAGCACGTATACTCTTACTGTGACAACGAAATTGTGTGAACAGATTTCTCTTGTGACACATGGAAAATGTGTCATTCGATTCTAGGTCTACCTTGTGTGTAATAAAAGCCAGTCTCATCCTTCACTTATTCTGCATAACTTAGCTGAGATTTAGAACTGGTTAAGGTCTCATAAATCCATTATCTGTTCATAAGTCCTCAATGTATACTATCTTCAACACTTCAAACATTTGAATAATTACAACAGATTTGCATCTATTTTGTTCATGTACATGTTTCATCAATAATAAACCTATTTATAATATCAGTTGGTCAGTTGCATTTATTTCACCTAGTGAAGGGAAACAAGCGATATAGTCACTGACTGATCAGTGGTAATAAAACAAAAACCGACTGGTCAGTTTGTTTAGCATGTACAGTCCATAATGGCCTTTTGGCAGTGGTGTATGAGTCATAACACCCCTATTCATGTGTACCATCAGCCAATAGTTTGTACTGATATTGGTTGTCTGGTCCACAATTGATTATATACACTTACTGCCACACTGTTAATTTGGAGGGGTGCTGGGGTAGCCTAGTGGTTAAAGCGTTGGCTTGTCACACCGAAGACCCGGGTTCGATTCCCCACATGGGCACAATGTGTGAAGCCCATTTCTGGTGTCCCCCGCCGTGATATTGCTGGAATATTGCTAAAAGCGGCGTAAAACTAAACTCACTCAGTCAGTAAGTCAGTCAGTTAATTTGGAATGGTGGTGAGAGGAATTTAACTACACATTGACTGACAACTACTGACTGACTGCATCCTTTGGGGTAGAGAAATATTATGGCCATGATGTTCTTAATTGTTGACCGATACTTGCCAACTAAGGAAGGAGGCAACTTCGAATCCTTGGTAAGAATGTCTACACTTTCTTCACATTGAAATATTATGGACATGATGTTCTTAATTGGTGGGTGTGCACTCAAGTGTAAGGGCTGATATAGATATGTTGGGTTTTGTAAATACATGCTCATTTTTGTGTACATTTTACAATCAACAGACATCATAACATGTCATGAGTTCAAGTATCACACCTGCCTGCCAACTAAGGAAGGAGTCAATAAAACAAGACATTGAATTATTTTGTGGGCTAGCTAAAAAGTAGGGGAAAATAAGTGAATTGTTTGAACTCCATTTTAGCCGCTTTTCATCGCTATTTTCAACTTTATAAGTTGAATTTGCATTTTGATGATTTGTTTGGTAAAGTCCATACCGAAGGTATCAGAATCTGCAAAGTTGTGTTTTACCACGTTGCATGTGACCTTTAATTACTTCATCTTCAGTGAGCGATTTCAGTATTTCACAGCATGATGGCTTAATTTAATTGGCCCATATTGATGCAGGTATCTAACACATTGGTGAAACTCATTAGCTGAGTATGGTGCAGGCATAGCTAGCTCGACTGGCAAAATTTGTAAACGAAACTATTTCGCACACTGCTAATGATACAGGTCTGGCGTGCTGTACCACATGCCTGCATGGCTTAGGGATTCTGTAGCTGTTGCACTATGGTGCAGATGACTCCAAGACCAGTTAGTGGCAGAGAGAGACTAAAGGCAGCTTGTCTTGAAGAATAACAACACGTAATTGATATAAATAACTTTGTTTGATGAATGATAATGCATTGGCATGCCAACTTCACAATATTGTATCACAAGTATCGGGACATCCTACACATTACATCTAAACACCAGGACACCTCAATACTGCAATGACAAATAAGTGCTGTGGTAACACTTCATACATGATGTCAATTCTTAATAGTATTTCAATGCTGATTATAAATCAGTGACTAGATGCTTTGTGTCAGCAATCTCCACAAAACAAATCTGACATGTAGGTGTTCAGTTTTCAGAGCCATTCAGTCGATGATAAAGGAACATCATGTGCAGACGACAATCAAACGGTTGGTGGGCTGGCTCTTGGACAAATCCTAGTTTATACAACTGAACTTTCCTTTGAACAGTTCATTAAACTTGGAAACAAATGACATTCTCTTTGAGTTGTATGATTTCAAATTAGAAGATGAAAGTTGGAAGAAAGATGGTTATTTGCTGTATAATACAGAGCGCGGAGGGTGACGATCTCTAGTATGAAGTTAATAATTTTAGATGTACATGACACCATACATGACGATTTAGGCTGTTCCAAATGTTACACAAGATAATGATACATTTAACACAAACCAGTGACTTAACAAACTATAAATTCCCCAAAATTTGTGATTTGGAGAAGAGAAAATTCCACATCCCACTTTGTGATTTTGTAACACATTTAGTCAGCAAAAAGAACAAAAACGTTTCTGTCTGCAGAACTGACAAATTAAATATACTCTGAAGAATAATGGCTATTATAATGGAAAGAAGCAATGGTAAACTTTGAATTAAATAAAATTACTTAAACATCTTAAGCAGTGGCGTCTTCCAGCATGAGCTTGAAGATTACATAAGAATAATGGGCACAATGTGTGAAGCCCATTTCTGGTGTCCCCCGCCGTGATGTTGCTGGAATATTGCTAAAAGCGGCGTAAAACCAAACTCAGTCAGTCAGTCAGACATAAGAATAAACATTATAAATATTGCATCACATATAAAGTTTCTGATGATGCACATTTGGTTTTGATTAAAAAAAGATACAGTCATATCGAAATACAGAAATGGTTTCTTAAGAAACATACCCGAGTCATGGGCGGATCCAGGAATTTTGAAAGGGGTGGGTGGAGGTGGGGTTCAGAACCCCCCATTGGCTCCACCAACGCAAAAAAATAAAAAAAATTCAATGTGGTCTTAAGTCATTTTCAAGGGGGTTCGAATCTGCCAATTGGATCCGCCAATGCGACTACTGTATTCTTGTTTACCAACATTTCATCAGGAATTGGTGATGTCTTGGTTATTTATTGTAATTACATCCCATATACGTAGATATAACTAAGATAACAAGAAAATAAAGAATGCATGGTGCATGACCTTTGTAACAAGTGTGCACATGAAGTGACATCTTAAGATTTAGTGAAAAAAACCCAACACTTTTCAGTACATGTGTCTGAAAACATGAACTGATACACTGACACACTGGAGATAGTAATGGCTGCAAAATTTCACAAAATCATCAACTGAAATAACACCATCTCAACTAAATGCACACAGTAAGTCTGTCTCGACATTAAAAATTTCTTGGGATCAATTTGGACCTGACAAACCAATGACTAATACAATGATCAGCCAAACATAGAATTAAATTGAACACAAGCATCACAGTCAGTGATATCAGTCCTTGTCTGAGATACAACATACACCCTGAAAATGATGATATCACCATGCCAACATCTTTGGTTGAGGGTAACCTTACCGACAATACATACAAACCACATCTATAACACACATATACTAACAGGATTCAAGCTACTATAGGACTAACCCGACCGTGTCATACCAAAAGACGTTTAAATATGGTACTTCTTGGTCCCTGCCTGGCGCTCGGCATTAATGGGTACAAGGACTGGTTAGCTCGGAGTCAGTATAATGTGTCTGAGTGGGGTATTCATGCTTCACTGCGGCATGGTATCTCAGTGGGCTAGCACTATAAAACCAGCTTAAACCGGCTAGTACAAGCAGCCGCACATACACATGCATGCACGCATATGAGCGAAATATTCTCAAGCACAACGTTAAACCCAATTTCACCTCACCTCACCTCACTATAGGACTAAGGATATAGTCTCCCAAGCTGTCATCACTAAAACCCCTTGCATGTGATAGATTTTCTCTCATGTGAGTAACCAGCATATCTGAAGAAGCTTTGAGTTGTCATAAATAACGGACACCATATTCCTATTTAGTGTGACATCATACCTAACATTATCCATAACAATATTTTCTAATTATTAAATATTTAGTATATAATAAATATAAGAACTCAGACATAAATGACACAAAATGCCCCGAGTACCAAAATTAAGTCTGTTGCTATTTTATGCTTTAGACATCGGTAAAACCAGAGTTAGACTGTATTTATAAACACATTCATGTTTTGCAGAAAGAATAAACAGGTGTCCAAAAGACTGATTTTAGTGTTTTTCTTAGAATGTTTGCCCATTTCAAAACACAAGCAAGTCTGATCCCTGCTGATTTTCACAGTTGAAAGAGTGAAAATATGATGACTGGGATGATGTCGGGTGACTTGTTCTTGTTGAGAAGAAATAAAAGGGACATAACTCTGTAAAATACTAAACATTGCTTGCAGTTTTCAAACTTGATAAAATATTGATCTCTTATGACAAATTTCAAATGTTATCTTCAGTAGTTTACAAGAAATTGGCAGTACTGTATGCTATGTTCAAAGGACCAGACAGGGGCGATAAACCATGTACATATATACTGGTACTTATCCCTGAATGATGCATGCATAATGTCATTATTGTATCTTAGGTGGTTTCTTAGAAAATCTGTCCCATTTGTGAGTACAGTGCACTTTGTCCAAAAATACATGTATTAGGCAAGGGCAATAATTCTGTCAAATATGTCTTTAGACAATGTTTTTCCGAGATCTATCTGATGCATTCAAAATACCATTCCTATATCTACAGTGGTGTCTGAGAAACATTTGGAAGTTTGACAGGCAGATGGGTCTCTATATCCCTGACTCCCTGCAGGAGGCAAAGAAAAGAGTGTCATCCTGTCATTGTTTGCCACTGCCTCCGCTAACAACACTTACAATACCAGCTTTTACTAACCACATTTCTGTATTCATCTTACCCCTAAATATGTTACCACTGTTGATTTTTAACAATTTCTTTAATAACAGGATCACAATATAGCCTGTGTACCATCATTGACCAGTGTTTTCGGGGTTATGGTGCCTCAAGATTTTCAACATTGTTCACTAATGTGTCACATTTGCGTAGTATATATTATTTCCCATTGTCAGAAGAACAAAAAAGTGCACTGATTCTCAAAATGTAACTATACACATTTGTTTAGCACAGGGAATCAATATGGTGGTTTTGTTCTGATACTAAAACACAAGAATTTTATTTAAACAGATAAAACAGGTGAAATGCTATTTGTTACGACACTCCATTACTTTTGGGCTTTTTGTGTGGCCATTTCTGTAAAGTTTTCTTTTGTGATGTGAAAATAAAGTTCAGCCAGTGCTCTAACCTTAGCAGTGTAATTTTTCACCATATCTTACAAACTCATCTAAAGAGACTGAAAATGAACATTAAGATAAAAGAGCTTGGGCTACAACTTTGGCAGGAAAGTATTACCACTCCCTAAATGTGAACATAAATACTGCTGACATGGTTTGTTTCCATTACTACAATCACCTACAGACAGTGGTGATACCATGATTAGTATTTACTATGCTTACACAGACAATTACACAAAGGGCGGTGGGGTAGCCTAGTGGTTTAAGCGTTTGCTCGTCACGCCGAAGACCTGGGTTCGATTTCCCACATGGGTACAATGTGTGAAGCCCATTTCTGGTGTCACCCACCGTGATATTGCTAAAAGTGGCATAAAACCATTCTCACTCACAATTACACAAACTATTAAAAAATACAGTAACAATATCGTAACATATCTGAGCTACTTTGACATGTCTTCAAGGAAAGACTTAACACTACTGCTAAAAAGAAATTTATGACGGTTTTATTACTGTTTGTGGAGGTAAAAAACATTCTCACTGAACGGGGTCTGAGGCTGACTAAGAAACGGTGCTCATGGAATTGTTCTCACAATGTGCCAGGTAGATGTGAAACAAACCTTCCTCTATTACAAAAATCCATGTTTTCTGTTGTCATGTCAAGATCTTTCTACAAGTTTGTTTAACAGTAGCCTTCATGACTAAATAGGCCTGCCAAAAGCTGATAGCTACCCTCATGATACCGGAATTAGTGGTGGAGATGCGAGTGTTATTATATGCTATCGTGTAGGGGTGAAACGGTACGCTCTAGCCACGGTACGGTACGTATTGCGGTACAAGGCCTTCGGTTCGGTATATGAGAACTTACTTTAGGGAAAACAGCGTCCGTCTAGCAAAGAAATGCATAGATTTTGACAAAATGATTCATTTCTAGACATTATAGAAAAAGGTTAATAAAATGACTGAAAATACAGAATATTTTGATTGCATTATGGTATACCAAGCCGAAGGCAAATTACCTCGATATACCGTTTCACTCCTACTATCATGTAACCCTTATATGCTGGTATTTACATAAGCTAATCAATTTCACTGCATGCATTCATACGCCATTGTTACTGAGCCAATAAAGCAAGTCAATTGTCCATCTTGACAATCAGGTAGTACAGATATATCTACTAGGTCAGTTTTTACATGCAATAAACTCTTACTGCCTTCACTGTAAGTTCATCCTCATCCTTCATCGCCAACAACGTAACTAAATATGAAATGTGTCCATTCTGATTATTTAATAACATCATCAGCTTCTGGGTCATTAATAGATAAAATTGAAAAATATTAATCACTCACTCAATATTCATTACTTGATTAATCTTGATTATGAACAAACGATTAAATAGTATCTGTGTTGGATCATTACAAAGTTTTATGCAAACTGTCCCAAAAAAAACTCCACACATTTTAAAACAAATGTTGCTCTCTGATGCCGAATTACCAAAATTTAGCAACATTGCTCAATCAGACAAATTCAAAGAAAATTGTCTCTTTAACAGAACCCAGATTACCGAAAACCTGAATATAAATATCATGAGGAAAATACACATAAAAATATTATTGCTGGTTACAAAAATTAATTTTGAAATCCCTATCTTCAAAACCTATTCACTTATCTCTTAATGATATTTAGTCATCACATGAAATAACATAATAATTTTACAGAATCAACATATTAAATTATTATCTAAAATTCCCAGTTGCAGTCCAATGCTGCATGAATATCACTGTCTGCACAGAACAATCCCTTAGTCAGTCCAGCTGCACAGAGATGAGAACCAGTATATCACAATCTGCATCAGTCTCAGCCATTCTCTAAATATTGTCTTCCTCTCCTGCTTGGACAACCACTGTGCTGGCAAGAACGTCATATGCAGCACGACTGTACTTGAAGAAAAATACTGTGAGGCATGCTGGGAAGAAGAAGGCTATCGTAAAGTTCTTGATGACTGATCGCACAAGGGCACTGAAACAAAAACAAGACATCAGATTTGGGCAGATAAGAAATGATCATAATTAACGTGGCTACTCAACATTATTTTCATTGACATCTCTACTCTTGAAAAGAAATTCTTCAAAGGTGGGAGTTGAATTTGACCAATTTCTTGGAGATGTAGGAATGATATTCAATATTGATACAGAAACTGACACATTTACTTGAGTATGTCAAGTGTGTTTCATGTGTTCTTCCAGCATCTGGGAATACAAACGGTAGATGTAACATGTGTATTTGTAGTAATGTGATGAAAGAAGGCCATATATTACTTACACTCAAGAGAGATCAACTGTATGAACTAATCTATTGAGTAGATTGCTGGTAGGCTGTGGCATATATTACGGGACAAATGACCCTTTATACTTCCCTTTGTGAGATGTAACCTGAGAACTCATTGGTGGCTGTATGTACAGTCATGTGTGAGTGAGTGAGTGATTTTAGTTTTATGCCGCTGTTAGCATCACTCCAGCAATATCACGGCAGGGGACACCAGAAATGGTCTTCACACATTGTACCCATGTGGGAAATCAAACCCGGGTATTAGGCGTGATGAGCGAACGCTTTAACCACTAGGCTACCCAATCGCCCCTTGTCAGGTAAGAGGGGAATGTAGTGTATACAAATCAAGTGTGTAACCATTCACTGAGTGAGTATTGTTTTATGCCCACTAAGCAATATTCCAGCCCTACTTACTCATGCGTGCACGAGATCCCTTACCTTCCCCAGCCAATGTTCTGGGCAGGATAGACAAGAATACGGTTATGTCCCACATCTATGATGTCACTACACGAAACAACTTTCAATCCCAGAAGCCTCTTGCCAGGTGTAGAACCACCGATTGTTCCAATGCCTTGACGTAAGCATAACGTCTGAAATGTGATCATAAAATTTCTATGTTATCAGTTGCATTTTCTCTCATCTTTAGTAGTTAGTGTGGCTTAAACTGTATTTGTATAGTATGACCAGAAATTATTGAGTATTTTAGGTATATGTTTAATTGGACTTCTACTATAAACAACCTTGACCAGCTATCAAGTGCGTGGTTTCATTCAAGACAGAAAACTCCATTAATCCTTTTTCATTAGTTTGTGAAGAGTTATCCCCCTTTGTTTACTTGCTAGCAGACAACATTTTCAGTGATCCTCAGTATGGATGATTTAGAGACGAGGAAGTTGATTTTAGAGTATTATAACAAGGACATCAGATCAGCTAAAGTGATTTCAAGTAGGACAGGCATCCCTTTGTCCACTGTTTATCGTGTTTTGAAAAATATTGCAAATGGTTATCGCATTAAGCACCAGGGAGGCGCAGGTAGGCCCACAAAATTGACTGTCGGTGACAGGAGGCGGCTTGGTATTCTTGTTTCTAAAAAGAAACGATTGATAGAGGAACTGTGGCTGTCTGTAAGGAGACAATTAGAACTGAGCTGCATGCAATGGGTTGGCAGAAAAGTCGAGGATTTCCATCATGAAACCTGAACAAAAGGAGCGAAGGTTGAACTGGTGCTTACAGCACAGAAATTTTAACTGGGACAATGTGAATTTCTCAGATGAAAGTTCTGTGTGGCTGTTTCCTAATACACTGAAATTCTGGACCAAACAAACTGAAAAACCTTTGTATCAGCGCCCAAAGTACAGTCCGAAATTTAACGTGTGGGGTGGCATATCAGTGTTGGAGGCAACGCCCCTCTGTGTATTTGAAGGGAATATGAACAGTGAGCGGTACACAGATATTCTCGAGGGACATTTACTTCCATCTGCTCACGTGTTCTATGGAAATTTTTGGATTCCAGCAGGACAACGACGCAAAACATCGTTCAAAGCATTCACAGGCCTGGTTTCGGACCCAAAATATGACAACTCTCAAAATACTATCATACGAGTCAACCTTTACACAAGTTTCATAGGTGGCCCTCACAATTCAGTTCAATAAAATCGATTTGATAAGCAAAAAATGATATTGTTCGATGATAGTTTGACTTTTACAGAGCTGTCAGATTGTTCCAGAGAACTCAGAGGAGACAGTAATCCTGGCTGTTTGAACTGAACAATGCCGTAGTTTCATTTGGTGGTGTGACATAGACAAGTTACATACTGAGAATGATAAACACAAAGAAATATTAAATTTACATGACTCCCAAATATTGAAAATGACTCCCAAAAATAGATATTGTGAGTCACCATGACTCCCATTTTTAAAAGTCTGTGTAAAACCCTGAGTTTGTGAATGGAACCTATTTGTTCTGAAATAAACAACTATTCTCAAACAACAAATAGACAGCACACATCTTAAAGATATAGCTGTCAACATGTTTAAGTAAACATAACCAGATATGATCTTGATAATGTTCCAGGGGTCCGTTGTTCAAAGCAACCTCAACATTATCACTGTCCTAAGTCTATGTTACAGTATGGGTGTTACGATCACCTTAGAAGTACAATTGATTGAGTTGCATCCAGGATTCCAAACTTGGTGCCCATGGCAGGCATTTTGCATGTCACCTCAACAAAGCATTAACATACGTTATTACTAACACAACATTATTTGGGAAATGTATGTGTCCAATTTGGGGATTTTTACTGACTGTGGACTGGACTTAAGGCTGGATCATTAACGGATGTCAATTTCTAGAGAAATCACGATTCACAGATCTACTTATGAAAGTAAACAAGGGTAGACTGGTCTGAACATTTGAAGGTGCTCTTGTACCAAAAGAATGTTATGTTAAAACTAATATGATGGTCAAACACTCAATACAAAGCATATTTCAGCAACCTACCTCAAACATGGTAATAAGAAGTCGATTTACAATCTCCATTGCGATAACTTCTGATGTGATAGCGAAAGCTTTGTCATAATCCATTTCTTCCAGGTTGAAAAATAAATTGTAATCAACATTGCCATCCCTGTAATTAACCAAGAAATGTCATGAAAATTTGTTGCAACAGATGCATTTTGAGTATCACATAACCTATATATAAGCATGATAAAGCAGTGAAAATTGTACACAGAATGTGATTTCATATGATGCAGAATGAAAACAGTGCACATAATTTAACTTTGTATGAAACAGATTGAAAACAGTACACATAATTTAATTTTATACGAAACAGATTGAAAACAGAATCCAGAATTTGATTTTATATGAACATGATGAAGTAGACTGAAAACAGAACACAGAATGTGACTTCATATGAAACAGATTGAAAACAGTACACAGAATGTGACTTCATATGAAACAGAATGAAAACAGTTCACATAATTTAATTTTATACGAAACAGATTGAAAACATAACCCAGAATTTGATTTTATATGAACATGATGAAGCAGACTGAAAACAGTACACAGAATGTATGATGCAGACTTACATGTAGCCCAGCTCTCTCATGACAATGACAGTAACAACTAGCTTAATGTAGAACAGCAATGTGAAGTCAATCAGTTCAGCTGCAACTCTCTTCCAAAATGATGGCAATGCAAATTCTGTCCCTGAATTTGAAAAGTACAAATAATTACTGAAATATCACAAAACAACTTTTCTTGTTTTGTAGCAATACAAAAATACATGAACACCACTTTAAAGACCAAGACTTAGCTTCTAAGTAGTGTATCATCATCATTTACATAATAAAATTATGTCGTTTTGGTATATTGTAGTGTTTATTAGTACATTTTATCATGAATTCTACCATCACTGCTGATGATGAATAACCAAAGTCCTAATGCATCTTCCATAACAATTAGTCTGTTGTCATGTTTACTGATTACTAACATTGTGAGTATTTTGAAATATCTCATACTCACCTTGTCTCTGTCCTGCTGACCTATCTGCTCGGACCTGGGCTTGCACATTTTGGCCAGTTCTTTGTCTCAGGTTATTATGGTTGCCCCCAAAACTTGAGTACTGGCCTAAAATTAGATCATATTTCTTTAGATAGTTTATAGGTTTCATCCTGTGTCTGTACGGTTTAACATAAACTTTCAATCTGATATCATTACTAGCTAGAACTACAAGATTAATCCTTTTGTTACATAAATGTTTTATCACCATTATTGCAAAAATCATGCAACATTACCATGTATTAGTCTGTCTCACAGTCCCCAAACCACATTATTTCCCCTACAGCACAGGGGTGCCAGTCAAATCCCCCCTGCTACAAAACGCCCCAGCCAATTTGGTCAAAATGCCCCAGATTTTTGGTCAAATCGCCCCAGGTTTGGTCAAATTGCCCCAGGGGAGTAGTCAAATTGCCCCAATATATTTAAATCTGATAGATTTTCTATTAGTAAACTGATAAGAGCGAAAGTAATATTTATGTATAAACAACACTATAATACCAATTATTTGCATGTTATTAATACTTTTGTAAAGGATTACAAGAATAAAATGAAATGTTTGTATAAAATTTTTATTGGCCATAAATGCATAGTTTTTGTCAGCAAGTATGGTACAATACTTATCAAAACAATCTAGAGCTTTTGTTAATTAATCTTGTCAAAAGGTGAGGCCGTAAATGCATAGGTTTTCTCAACGAGTATGGTATAATGCTTATCAAAACAATCTAGAGCTTTTGTTAATTAATCTTGTCAAACAGTGTGGATAAAAAAAGACTATTAAAACATGTTCACTAATTGACATTCAATGCTGTGTTTAGTTAAAGGAAATGTTGAGGCTCAAATGTATGAGCATTTCAGGCTATAAAAACATATTCACTAATTGACCATCACCTATTGAACGATTGTAATATCTACAGTCATTTTGATTTTAATTTCTGTAGCAAATTTTGTCTAATCATACATTCTCATCTCCAACTTGAATGTAGTGACCTTAATGCTCACAAACATGAAAGATTTATATCTCCGACATCATCTTGCTCTTGTGGCCATAACTATGAAGACTCTGCTCACTATTTCTTTTCATGTTCTCTTTACAATGATATACGTCAAATTATGTATTTTTATACTAAAGGATTTGACCTAAAATCAATTTTGTTTGGAAACCAATGCTGCTCCTCAATAGTAAACAATGAACTATTAATTTCAGTGCACTCTTTTATAAATTTAACAGGCAGATTTGATCCAAAATATTTTGTTTATATAACATATACCGCTTAACAATGATTTAACATTTAATTCATTCACAATTTGACGATCTTCCTTCCATTGTATCCCAGAGCGAATATAAGCTTATGCTTGTTTACCAATCGGTTCCTTTCTTTGAAATAAATATGTTTAAATAATAAATATGATACCATACTTGTTATGATTACATAATGCCATTTGTTGACCAAAAACTATTTAAAGCCAATAAACATATTATACAAATCTTTTACTATATAATATTACAGATAGAATATAATATGGAAGTTGACAAAAACTATGCATTTGTGGCATATATTTAACCAATTTACCCAGACTACCCCCCTGGGGCAATTTGACCAAACCTGGGGCGATTTGACCAAAAATCTGGGGCATTTTGACCAAATTGGCTGGGGCGTTTTGTAGCTGGGGCGATTTGACTGGCACCCCAGCACGGCCCTTCGTGCAATGCTAATGCTCTAAATCATATGGTCTCTGTCTAAATGAAGCAAGTCTAGATTTTCTCAGGTCTAAATTTCCAATCTCACTGGGGCTCCTTTTCAGTTTAAATGTGTTTATTTCTCACTATCATTGTCAACATGATCAAAATTATATATATTCAGAGATTAAGCATGTTAAGCATTAATCTATATAATGTACATACAATATGTACAAGGCCTGTAATAAATCTACTATAAGAATCAGATTAATATAATACTTATTCCCAAAACTGGGTTATGTATATGAATATTGGATAATGAATACATTATTCAATAACAAGTCAGCAGTTGATGCATATTCATTATACCAAGTGAATCAATAACCAAAAAAATATTTTTACAATGTTGACTGCGTTACTTTATCACGACAATGACCAGTGACTACATTACTGTCAAACATACATGAGTGTTGACATTTATCCTGGATAAATGCGATAATAGCTAATTATTCCCAAATCTTACATTAGTTACAATAGAATTTCGCCAACATTTGCTGTATATCAAATCGTTGAAATGTTTTTGAATATTGTTATCTGAGAACACCTGGACCCATGCAAAAGACATAATAAATATACTTAGTTACTGTATCATACATAAATACATGAATATATGGCTCATGAGTCATGTAGCTTGCCAGTGTCAAATTCTTGTATGCAAAAGATATTGGAAGATATTCGATATATTCATAGAAAACGTTGGCTTCTATTATCTTTAGCAATTCTGCAGTGTTGTCACAACTATTAATTTCGCACAAATCACACACAGATTGATAATCTAGAAATACCTGCTGCTGCAGAACCTGTCATCCCTCCGGGGTGAGGACAACTCATGGCATACAGGGGCATCATTGACATGAAACTGTTCATGGAATTCCAGCAATGATAGTGCCACAACCACTGACGAACAGCTTGTGCGTATTCACGAGCATTCTTATATGTGTTCATGTTGAAATCAGTTCCATTTGTTTGATTTTCAAAGCCCACACCCGTTTGTGGATATGAAAACTTCACATTAGGGACGTCTGCAGGAGATTTAATCGGGGATACATAACCACTTCGAGTTTCCTGATCCTTGTCCGCCATCTTTAACGTGACATCTCGCCTTTTCTCGTTTGGAACATCTGAATCTCGTGACCTGCTCCCAGCTCCGTGACTGATTTTCCATGAAGGATAGCATTTCATATTTCATTGACAATCCGGATTTATGTAGGGAAACGCACACCTTACTGTACCCACTCCAGAAATAATCAAAGGTATTATCATCATAAACATAGGATAATATATTTACAAATTATGAAATATAGCACAAGATAAGGAGAAATATATGATGAATAAAATGTGTCTTTCATTAATCTATTTAAGGACATTTCTAAAGACTGTCTGACTGAGTATTGTTTTACACCTTTTTTAGTAATATTCCAGCAATATCACGGCGGGGGACACCAGAAATGGGCTTCACAAATTGTACCCATGTGGGCAATCGAACCAGGGCCTTCGGCGTGACGAGCGAACGCTTTAACCACTAGGCCACCCCACCGCCCCATTTCTAAAGAGAAGTTCAGTTAGTCTTCACAAAAAGTTATCAAACATTACTAGGAAAAATAGTATCAGTTTATAGCCTCAACCACTTTTCAGAATGCAGAAAATTCCTAGAGAGAATAGGATTTGGTACACCCCGGGCATTCATAATAAAAAAAAAAACCCGGACGTTGCGAGCGACAGTCCCTGCAAATTTGACTGAAGTTATTCAAAAGCTGCCTCGATTTCTCGCTAAAATGACCAATATGTGAATATAAATGTTACCGGTTATCGTAGTTACACGGAGGCAATGTCTCAATCTTACTAAATATTGTTGATTCCACTGCGTTTCTTTGAATCACCCTGTCCAAATTTGCACATACAGTCGACAGAGTTACAATTGATTTTGAGCAACGCATGCTTGTCATAAAAGTCAACTAACGGTAACGGGTGGTCAGGCTCGCTGACAAGGTTGACACATTTCACCGAATCCCAAATGCGTACATCGATGCTCATAATGTTCATCACTGGATTGTCTGGTCCAGACTCGATTATTTGCAGACCACTGGAATATTGCGGAGTGTGACATTAAACAACAATCAAATAATAACATACAGCCTGTGAAATATAATTGTGTATTGTTAAATTAAAAAAAACCCCAACACATCTTAAGGGGACCCTCAAGTGACAATTGGGTGAACACTGGCTGCTAGATCTTAGATGGGATGAAGAGAGGGAGAACCTCCGTGTCTCTTCTGTACTGAGGTAAAAGTCAGCGAGTGAACACCTGATCGGGTTTTCGTCAAGCGTATGTCCCCTAACTGTTTGTTTGCTGTGTAACGTCAGACACAGCAATAGTCAAACTAAATGACGGGTTCCTGAAAACTCGAAATTCTAACCCGGATCACAGGTCTGTTTCTAGACTAACGTTTAATCCCTGAATACATATAATTGTGATAGTAGAAAATAAACCCATTTAAATTGAAAAGGAGCCCAAGTGAGACCAGAGATTCTGAACCTGAGGAAATCTAGACTTGCTTTATTTAGAGCTTTAGCACTGCAGAGAGAGCTTGGCAGTGGGGAAAATAATGTGGTTCAGGGACTGTGAGACAGACTAGTCTGTTTCCTATAAGTGGTTTTAACGCCAAGTAATTGTTTTAGTCTAGGGTATGTGTTTGTGAAACCCGGTTGGGAGTCCTGATAAAATTCACCACATGTTAATTTTTTCTCGAAAGCATCTACTGAAATGGACCAAAAGACCAAGCTTTGACTTAATAGTCTCTGAAAACATATAACTCTGAAACAAAGAAATAGCTAAATTGAGTTTTTCAGATTGGAGATTCATACCTTGAGGAAAATCTACACATGCTTCATATAGGGAGGTTTCATTATATGTGCATGGAGTGCTTGGCCGAAGGGAAAATAATATAGGTATGAGGCTGTAACACAACCTAGATCAGACTCTGTGACATGGCCGACCACATGCGTTCCGATGATCCATGATCTGAGTCGGTGCATAGTTTGTCTGATCCTGACTCGAACAGTTGCAGTCTTGCTGTGGCTGGAACATTGTTTACTGTACACAGCGTTAAACAACAGTCTCTCTCTCTCCCCCCCCTCTCTCTCTCATTCTCTCTCTCTCTCTCTCTCTCTCTCTCTTTCTCAGAGTCGTATTTATTATCTTGTTATAGAAAGGGAAGAACCTTGAGTGGTGATCGTATACAATATCCTCTTTTAACTTAATTACAACTATTGTAACGATGACTTATTGTAACTGCGCGGAAACGATGACTTACATTTCCTCCCTTGCTAAGTATGATACACAGTTCTTCACCAACACGTACACATAGGGCTTGAACATTATACATGTAAATGCTTCTTGAGTCGTGACCAGTTTGATATCAGCAGTAGCTGAAGAGTGCTGTTCATAGGTGCAACTTGAGGTAAGTACTGTGTTATAAATAATGTCCAGTTTGAAACTACGCATTTGTCCTGGTGAATATCATATCATTTTCAAGGTTTTATGGAAACTTGGTAAAACCTCCCTGTGTATCACGTCGCGCGTTTCTTCCACGTAAGCTGACCCTCAATGACATATAAGTGGAAAGCTGTAGAAAGCTGCGTTCAAAATGTTGTAGTAATGGTGCAGTTTACTCTTTTCTGATTTAGTGAATCAATTACAACATCGACTTTCTAAACTTTAATCGTATTTAGAAGCAGGATATATCACAGTGTGCAAATATGAAATTTGGCTACAATATGAGTGAGTGAGTATGGTTTTACGCCGCTTTTAGTAATATTCCAGCAATATCACGGTGGGGGACACCAGAAATAAGCTTGACACATTGTACCCATGTGGGGAATCGAACCCGGGTCTCCGGCGTAACAAGCGAACGCTTTAACCACTAGGCTACCCCACCGACCCGGCTACAATATGAAACATCTCCACGTCACTGTAGCTCACCTGGGTATGAAGTCAGTAGTTGAAACGTGACAGTCACAAGACTAAAGTTACTGCAGTATTGATACTCAGATATGTAGTCTCCTCTCTATACACCTTTTGTATTATAACATTGCCCCTAAACTGTCAATCTTTCTCTGTCTCAGTTTCTAATAACTGCTTGTGATGTAATTAGTTATTGTTAATATCTTTAGAGAGGGGTTTTATAAGTTGAAAGAAATACATATAAATACTGCAGAACAAACACAAAACCTTCTTTTATTGAAAAAACAATGACTGATCCATGGTCATGAATATGTTTTCAAATATCATTTTTAACCTCACAAAACAATTACCAGGAGCAATTACTTTCTGATTTAAGTTCCGGGTGACACACATCTACAGGAGGCATGGCAACTGCTGTCAACTTCACCCTTGATCAGTTCAACGACGTCTACAACAAACGTTACCTTCCTGCTACAGTGTACATATCGGCCATGATGGTGGTGGGCCTCGTGGGCAATTCTGTTGTCTTTCATGTATACCTGAAGAAGTTCAAGCCGAGCACAACAAGGTGTTTCATTCTTGTGGTTGCCCTTCTGGATATTCTCAATGCTCTATTATGTTGTCCAGTACAAATATTTCAGATGAGAAACGTTGTAATGTTTGGCAGTTCAGGGGCGTGTAGGTTCATGATAACGAGTGTGACATATTTCAGCACTGCGTCTGGTCAGGTGTTAATATTAGTGGCCGTTGACAGATACAGGAAGGTTTGTCGACCCTTCCAGAAGCAGATGACGCCATATACAGCCAAACTGGCTTGTGGAATTTTGTGTCTCGTCTTGCTGGTGCTCATGATTCCGACTCCACTGATTTACGGCCCTAAAACTGTGACACGATATAATGTCAATATTACCATTTGTCGCCCCCTGCGAGCCAGAGAGGCCTACTATAAGGCGTACACTTACTTTTGGATCTTCATGTTGTTCGGTCTGGTTACCTCCCTTGGTGTTCTGTATTCCTGTATCTGGTGTCGGGTCTATGAGCAAATGAAGTACATGCAGAAATTAAAAGCATCAAATCGGGTTGAAGAGATTTGTCGTCCCCAAGAGCATGAGAAAGGGAGCCAAGTCGAAGGAGGCGTAAAATTGAATTCGTCTCAGGGTACATATGAATCTGAAGACACTTCAACATGTAGACATGATATAACCCCAATCTCTGTAGGTGTTCCTTCCCCTTGTTCGGAGACCTCTCACATAAATACTGCTTCAACTTCTGTTATGGTATCTGACCCTAGTTCAGAAATGCACAGCCATAATGATTCAACAACCACAAATTCATCGCTGCCAATGTCTGTCCGAACCGGAAGTGACGTCATGAACGCGTCACATGATAAGGGTGTCAGAAAGATGACGTTGACGTTGTTTCTGGTGACGATGGTGTACGTCCTGAGTTGTGTTCCCTATTTCACAGTAACAACAATGATGTCAAGAGACCCTAAAAACTACGAACGCCTCGCCATGAAGTACTCCCTTTTCTCCATCCTAGAAAAGTCCTATCACCTGCAGATCGCTGCCAACCCCATTATCTATGGCTTTCTTAATAAGCAGTTCCGCCGCGAACTCCGACTGATTTGTAAAAGGAAATAGTGAGTGAGCAAGTGATATATAAGTTGAAAGACATCTGACGTCGGTGACAGTCTGGGAATTTTGGAACTAGACGACTGTTTCCACCTGTAAATTTCACCCATTCTGAGTAGTCTGCATGTAGTACTGTTCTTATTTACTTACAATAATAAAATAGTTCCTTAATAGAAGCGACATCTCTTTATGTTGTGAGAGTTTAACAACCGGTTTGAACAGCTTTTGCCTCAGTCAAGATGACTCTTTAATGGGGAAGTAAACTCCGGATTAACGATCGGTGAGTGAGTGATCGGTGGTTGATGCTTACCTCTTCCCTCAAACCCATCAGCGAGTATGGTTTTATGGCGCTTTTCACCATATGCCAGCAATGTCATGGCGGGGACACCAACTTTGTAGCTCTGTTGGGTCTTCGGCGTTTTGAGCGTACGCTTTAACCACTCGACAACCTCACCTGAAACCCTTCAGGGGACTGTGGGTTAGCCTAGCGGATAAAGCGTTAGCTCGTCAGGCCAAGACCCGTGTTACCTACCCCACATTGGTACAATGTGTGAAGACAATTTCTTGTGTCCCCCGTCGTGACATTGCTGGAATATTGCTAAACGCGGCGTAAAACCATACTCACTCACTCACTGAAACCTTTCAGAGTGGTGTTCACTTACTTAGAGTCATTATCGTAGCAAGTCAGACAATGTGTTCGATTACATACAAAAAAAGCAATACAATTCTAAACAGTACCACACATGATGTCAAAGGGGGGCTAAGGACCTGATGGGATACCCCAGATGCGGAAACATGGAGGTGATATCTTGTTACGGTAACTAACATGTATATTTTAGCAGTATTTTAAATTCTATTTTAGATTTTCCTATGTAGTAGTATAAGACAGTCAACCTGAATGATCTTGATTGATATTGATGGTAAAATGTTAGATATTCTTAACAACAAAATGAAGTATTTTGTAGATTGTATAATAAATACCCAGAATGTCAGGCATGTTTTCGTAAAGGCTACTCAACAGTTGATAAAGTTTTCACACTTCACTCACTGATTAAAAAATACGGATAGATTCTACTGTCTGTATGCCTATAGATAGTTGCTTTGTAAAATCGAAACAATCTTTCTCCCACAGTTCTATTAAATGTTTGAGTTTCAAATAGAACCTGCCATTTTATTCAGAGATTTGGGCTTAGATCAACATGGTAGGATTACATGGGCCTCAAATATTTAAAAAGCTACTTTACCTATGTAGGTATTGGTTTGTTTGGGAACAATCAAGGTGTAGGGAATTATTCATGAGTGAATTTTCCAAAAATTAAATATATCCACACATGGTTTTCTAAGATTAGTGATCACTCAAATTTAGACATTTATGCATCTTAAAGTAAATGTCAACAACACCTCCATCTACTGCGCAAACTGCGATCTTTTAACGTTTCCCAATCTGTTATGATGTTGTTTTATACTACTTTTATTCTGAGTGTACTCACTTTCTCTTCTCAGTGCTGGTTCGAGTCTCTTTCAGTCAAAAACAAATCCAAACTTAACAAAATTGTAAATACAGCTAGTAAAATAGCCGGGGTCACTTTCGTTAATCTTTCACTTCTCTATGAGCGGCAAGTACTTTCAACGTCTGAATAAATCATTAATGACACAACACATTTTCTAAATCTAGAGTATAAGCTTTTACCTTCGGGCCGCCGCTATACAGTGCCAATCACCAAGACTAAACGAGATCGAACGTCTTTTGTACCTCAAAGTTTTGCAATTTTAAACAAATGTTGAATGTCCAGCTATCATTTATTTTTATTTAAGCACATATTTATCTCTTTTTATGTTTTTAGTAATGTCATATTTTATACTGTTATTCATTTGTATTTTTGTCAAGCTCTGTGAACCAAAACGAATTCCTTTTAAGGTAATAAAGTATTGTCTGTCTGTCTGTCAGTAATATCTGGGTTTTTGTTACATAACACCCCCTCTTTTTACTACACAATGACATCCTCCAAATAATATCTTACTAACTCGCTATAATGTGATACATGTAATCAGAAAGTTATAACAAATAGTGTGTGAGCGAGTTTAGTGTTACGCTGCACTCAGCAATATTCAAGCTATATGGCGGCAGTCTGTAAATAATCGAGCCTGGACCAGACAATCCACTGATCAACAGCATGAGCATCGATCTACGCAATTGGGATACGATGACATGTGTCAACCACGTCAGCGAGCCTGACCACCCGATCCCGTTAGTCGCCTCTTACGACAAGCATGAGTTACTGAAGATCAATTCTAACCAGGATCTTTACCGGTCTTATAACAAGAAAACTAACCATGCTTACCAATATTTGCAATCGTACAATATATAGGACTTTGATCATCCACAGCGAGCATCAGTCTCTAAGTAAACTTCGGGAGAGAATCATACACAAAGGTGGCCAAAACCGAAACAAAAGGGTGAGTGATTGGGTGAGTTGGGTTTTACGTCGCTTTTTACACGCTGTCGTGAAAATTGCTGTTGTAAAGTGATTTATTCGCTTTATTTCCCCCTCATAGAAATGATGATGAAATGACCACACAGAGATCACGAGGAAAAACTGTCACACTAGGTTGACAAAAGCTGCTCCGTGGGCGTGACTGTTTTCAACAAACTATTTACCCAATCACGTTGAAGGATTCTTTCCTCATATTCAGTAACCCAGATGTTACTGCACTTTGTAGAGCTTGATATTAGTAATTGCTTTAGATTGGTGTTTATTGACACAACCTGAGGTAAGTGCTGTGTTTTTATGTTACATTTGAAGCAGTGCATTTGTCCTGGTCATTATCATATCATTTTTAGAATTTATGTAAACTGGTTACAACCTCGTGCTTGTAGGTTAACAACACTTTACCCGTGGTGGTGGTAAACATCCGCGGTCTGCTTAACGTTGCGCTCCCCCCACATTAGCTAATATGCCATGATACTGCTGGAATGCTGTTACAAGCTAAACTCACTCATACACAGTATTCAGGTGTAGGCAATGGTAAATTACATTAAATTAAATGTTTTCATTGAAAAAAGCTTTTGTTTTTGCACACATTCTCCTTTCTGAATTAAGTAAAATCCTTCACAACATCGACTTTTTAAAATTCACGTAAAATCTGGAAGATATATCACAGAATTTGAAATATGGCTACAATTTGAACAGTGAGTGAGTGAGTGAGTGAGTGAGTTCAGTTTTACGCCGCTTTTAACAATATTCCAGCTATATCACGGCGGGGGACGCCATAAATGGGCTTCACACATTGTACCCATGTGGGGAATCGAACCCGGGTCTTCGGCGTGACGAGCGAACGCTTTAACCACTAGGCTACCCCACCGCCCCATTTGAACAGTGCCAATGGGTATGTAGTCATTAAAGTATAATCTTGAGGATACATAAGAGTTTGAAATTTGGCTACAATTTAAAGCATAAAGACAATGCCAATGCATTTAGCCCACCCGGGTATCTTGTCTAAAAATGACATTCACAGTAGGCCTACTGATACTGAATAGTAGTGAGGACTAAAACCGCGTTAGAGGAGACGTATACTGAACAAACTCCGCACTTTTAAGAAACAAAGAGCATGGCAAAAACACCCATAATGGAAAAAATTAACATGTTTTCAAATATGACTAGCGTTTCTAATTGGGCGGTCATATCCGAAATCCGTTTGTATTGTATGAATATCTTTCAGTGAAATCCCAACTTTGGTATATTCATTGTTTTTATGACGATACACACGAATGTAAACAATATTAACAATCACCATGAGAAATACTTTCTGATTTAAGTTCCGGGTGACACACATCTACAGGAGGCATGGCAACTGCTGTCAACTTTACCCTTGATCAGTTCAACGACGTCTACAACAAACGATACCTTCCTGCTACAGTGTACATATCGGCCATGATGGTGGTGGGCCTCGTGGGCAATTCTGTTGTCTTTCATGTATACCTGAAGAAGTTCAAGCCGAGCACAACAAGGTGTTTCATTCTTGTGGTTGCCCTTCTGGATATTCTCAATGCCCTATTATGTTGTCCAGTACAAATATTTCAGATGAGAAACGTTGTAATGTTTGGCAGTTCAGGGGCGTGTAGGTTCATGATAACGAGTGTGACATATTTCAGCACTGCGTCTGGTCAGGTGTTAATATTAGTGGCCGTTGACAGATACAGGAAGGTTTGTCGACCCTTCCAGAAGCAGATGACGCCATATACAGCCAAACTGGCTTGTGGACTTTTGTGTCTCGTCTTGCTGGTGCTCATGATTCCGACTCCACTGATTTACGGCCCTAAAACTGTGACACGATATAATGTCAATATTACCATCTGTCACCCCCTGCGAGCCAGAGAGGACTACTATAAGGCGTACACTTACTTTTGGATCTTCATGTTGTTCGGTCTGGTTACCTCCCTTGGTGTTCTGTATTCCTGTATCTGGTGTCGGGTCTATCAGCAATTGAAGTACATGCAGAAATTAAAAGCATCAAATCGGGTGGAACGCGTCGGTGGTCCCAAAAAGCATAGGAAAATGAATCAGAGCCAAGTCGAAGGAGGCGTAAAATTGAATTCGTCTCAGGATACATACGAATCTCAACATACTTCACCTTGTAGCCATGATTTAACCTCAACCTCTGTAAGTGTTCCTTGCCCTTGTTCGGAGAACTCTCACATAAATACTGCTTCAACTTCTGTTATGGTATCTGACCCTAGTTCAGAAATGCACAGCCGAAATGATTCAACAACCACAAATTCATCGCTGCCAATGTCTGTCCGAACCGGAAGTGACGTCAGGAACGCGTCACATGATAAGGGTGTCAGAAAGATGACGTTGACGTTGTTTCTGGTGACGATGGTGTACGTCCTGAGTTGTGTTCCCTATTTCACAGTCACAACAATGATGTCAAGAGATCCTAAAAACTACGAACGCCTCGCCATGAAGTACTCCCTTTTCTCCATCTTAGAAAAGTCCTATCACCTGCAGATCGCTGCCAACCCCTTTATCTATGGCTTTCTTGATAAGCAGTTCCGCCGCGAACTCCGACTGATTTGTAAAAGGAAATAATGAGTGAACAAGTGAGATATAAGTTGAAAGACATCTGACATCTGTGGAACTAGATGACTGTTTCCACCTGTAAATTTCACCCATTCTGATTAGTCTGCATGTTACTGTTCTTATTTACTTATAGCACTTACAATAATAAAATAGTTCCTTAATAGAAGCGACATCTCTTTATGTTGTGAGAGTTTAACAACCGGTTTGAACAGCTTTTGCCTCAGTCAAGATGACTCTTTAATGGGGAAATAAACTCCGGATTAACGATCGGTGAGTGAGTGATCGGTGGTTGATGCTTACCTCTTCCCTCAAACCCATCAGCGAGTATGGTTTTATGGCGCTTTTCACCATATGCCAGCAATGTCATGGCGGGGAAACCAACTTTGTAGCTCTGTTGGGTCTTCGGCGTTTTGAGCGTACGCATTAACCACTGGACAACCTCACCTGAAACCCTTCAGGGGACTGTGGGTTAGCCTAGCGGATAAAGCGTTAGCTCGTCAGGCCAAGACCCGTGTTCGATACCCCACATTGGTACAATGTGTGAAGACCATTTCTTGTGTCCCCCGTCGTGACATTGCTGGAATATTGCTAAGCGCGGCGTAAAACCATACTCACTCACTCACTGAAACCTTTCAGAGTGGTGTTCACTTACTTAAGTCATTATCGTAGCAAGTCAGACAATGTGTTCGATTACGTACAAAAAAAGCAACAATTCAATTCTAAACAGTACCACACATGATGTCAATGGGGGGCTAAGGACCTGATGGGATACCCCAGATGCGGAAACATGGAGGTGACATGTTGTTACCGCAACTAACATGTATGTTTTAACAGTATTTTAAATTCTATTTTAGATATTCCTATGTAGAAGTATAAGACAGTCAACCTGAATGATCCTGATGGATATTGATAGTAAAATGTTAGATATTCTTAACAACAAAATGAAGTATTTTGTAGATTGTATAATAAATACCCAGAATGTCGGGCATGTTTTCGTAAATGATACTCAACAGTTGATAAAGTTTTCACACTTCACTCACTGATTCAAAAATACGGATAGATTCTACTGTCTGTATGTGTAATTATCGAGTTTATCTGGTCCACACTCGATTATTTACAGACCGCCGCTATATACAAATGTTGCTGGAATATTGCTGAGTCTGGCGTTAAACAACCAAACCAATCTAATTTGTGTGATTCTATGAACAGAGACTTCTTATGGTATATCTTATTGAAGCAAACTAGCCTTGGTAAAATGGTAAACATCATTGGCGATATCTACTCTTAAACTACTATTACCATTTCAGAATATTTGGATTGCTTCAGTTTTGTCAGACAAGGTTGCATATTCTCCATGTTTATCGATCAACTTGAAGACGAATTACATCTACATGGTGGCATCGGCATTTTGAAGGTGAAGACTTCCTAGAATTATATGTATATGTATTGGTAGGTGCCGATGATTTGTTTTCTGATTCTGTAGTTGGCTTACAGGAGATGATGTACTGGCATCTTTTTGTAACAAGTGAATTAATTGCTGCAAAACTGAAGTCGTGGTAAACAAAACATCATGAATGTGGAAGTACAACGACTTCAATCTGAATTACTTATCCTAGTTTTTTAGCTATTTAGGAATTATATTTTCAAATAGATTGTCAGGGTCGAAGTCAGTACAAACGTAATTCCAAAAGCTTTCCTATGCCTATAGATAGTTGCTTTGTAAAATCGAAAAAATCTTTCTCCCACAGTTCTATTAAATGTTTGAGTTTCAAATATAACCTGTCATTTTATTCAGAGATTTGGGCTTAGATCAACATGGTAGGATTACATGGGCCTCAAATATTTGAAAAGCTACTTTACCTACGTAGGTATTGGTTTGTTTGGGAACAATCAAGGTGTAGGGAATTATTCATGAGTGAATTTTCCAAAATATTAAATATATCCTTCTAAGATTAGTGATCACTCAAATTAAGACATTTAAGCATCTTTAAAGTCTACTTTCTCCATCGAAACATATTTTTTAAAGTACAACAATCGGATCTTAGGTGGTTTTCTTTAAATCTGATATCATTTAATTATTTTATACCCTATACATTTAACCCTAAACCCTAAACGATCCTTCCCGGATGGAATATACATGTTTGTTCACTTGAGGAAAACGCTTCACACCAAAGGTTAACAAAGAAATTGCTTGAGGGCTGATCATTTGTAGAGACATTAACAATGTGCCCAGATACACTGATGTGTGATTTTCATCCTAATCCCAGTACATAACATATAGTATTAAGCAGTTAAATTCAGTTTCATTACAAAAGCTGGTTGCGGATGTAAATATTTATTATTCAACACATTAATGTCCTATTAGATGTAAAAGATCATACAGAATATTACCCTTTAGAAACCTAATATTCAAATGAGGACATAAATATTAATCATATCTGTGTTTTTGTCATACCCCTTTTAAGTATAATCTTACATCCACCAAACATGATCGTTTTACCTCGTTATAATTCGACATTTTCCGCAATTTTAAGGAAAAAAACCCACAAGCGAAGCAATCATTCATATTAACCTTGCATATCAATATTATCATTGAAGGGTGAATATGTAGGCATTTAATACCCACTGGATTAATTTAATTTCAATGAAATCAACTTATTCTTAAAAGAAAGGAATGTCGTTGTCAAAGTAACGGCCGAACTAAAAGGTATACACCCATATTTGAGGGTTGCTAAGAATGAAATGAACAAGTAATAGTTATTCGATAGAGTGTTTTTGAAGCGGGTTTCATAGTTGTGTTGTGAACTTTATATTTAACATTTCGAAGACTGTTTTCGGCGTAGTCATAGTAACGTTTTTATAACGTTTGTAATCGCTACATTGATGCAAACTCTTGCCTTGGTAAACTCACACTCCATCTCACATTATAACAAGCAGTTACGTGAAGATAACTTTTCATCCTGGATTCTCAGCCTGAGACTATTTTGGAAGCTTGACTATCACCTCTGTGAGGTGAATATTATCATCATATCTTTATATTGCTATACTTACTCACATTTTAATACAATGTAGCGAATGGGATTGACTTATAAACCTAGTTAATTTTATAATACAGTTCTTAATCATTTCACGTTACTTTGTTAGGACACGGAGTGCCGAAAACCAACTTCAACCCAGATCTTTTAACCCCATACTTAAAGATGGCCCCGACCGAAACAAAAGATAAATTAACAATCCCATAGAGAAGTATTTGAATTGGGTGATCTAAGTTTGCAGAGCGAATTGGTGTAGTTATAGTAACGTTTTAAAAAGAGAATTGAATCAAATCAAGTTTCATGCGTTTCTTTAGCACGGCAGTGTATAATCGGATGTGAAGTGTTTTGCTGTTGTTCTTTTCCATATCATTTGGTAAGCACAGTTCATAAGTGAGTGAGTTTAGTTTTACGCTGCTTTTAGCACTGTTAGAGCACACAGGACACCAGAAATGGGCTTCACTCATTGTACCCACGTGGGGAATCGAGCCCGTGTCATCAGCGTGACGAGCGAACGCTTTAACCACCAGGCTAAACACAGAGAAATATAGTGAAATGTTTTGTCGACCATGAAATGATAGTGAAAATACATAATCATTTATAATGTCATCGTCAAACATATACTCAGTCTCCCGAAAGAGCCTCCATCTCGTGTAATATTTCATCTGGACTTTGTGACATGGAAAGTCAGGCGACATCCAGTGATATCTGCTAATGGGATGTTTTTGTTTATTAAGGTAAGTGAGAACTAAGATGAGATCACAATCACTACCAGAACGCTACTGCATCTTGTCTATAGGAGGGTCAGTGGACTGTACTACTGAGACACCATACAATCTCTAATACATGGTCCTCTACTCATGGCATCGAATCCAAGACTTGCCTCGGTAATGATCCTTGGTACGTCAGCTCAAGGCAGCTGGGTTCCCCAGAAAACTACTGCTGATGGTATTTGTTCGTTTCATCTCGTGGGCGGTGTTTACACGTGTTTACACGATTCCGGATGATGAAATGCGTGAGGAAATAACTGCCACGCAGGTATTGGCAGATTCTCCAACGTGTACATGAATTGTTTCAACAAAACTATTCGACCCAATCTCGTTAAAGCATGTTTGTCATCCTACAACGTGACCAGTTTGATATCAGCAGTAGCTGAAGAGTGCTGTTCATAGATGCAACTTGAGGTAAGTACTGTGTTATAAATAATGTCCAGTTTGAAACTACGCATTTGTCCTGGTGAATATCATATCATTTTCAAGGTTTTATGGAAACTTGGTAAAACCTCCCTGTGTATCACGTCGCGCGTTTCTTCCACTTAAGCTGACCCTCAATGACATATAAGTGGAAAGCTGTAGAAAGCTGCGTTCAAAATGTTGTCGTAATGGTGCAGTTTACTCTTTTCTGATTTACTGAATCAATTACAACATCGACCTTCTAAACTTTAATCGTATTTAGAAGCAGGATATATCACAGTGTGCAAATATGAAATTTGGCTACAATATGAGTGAGTGAGTATGGTTTTACGCCGCTTTTAGTAATATTCCAGCAATATCACGGCGGGGTACACCAGAAATAAGCTTGACACATTGTAGCCATGTGGGGAATCGAACCCGGGTCTCCGGCGTAACAAGCGAAGTCTGTAACCACTAGGCTACCCCACCGACCCGGCTACAATATGAAACAACTCCACGTCACTGTAGCTCACCTGGGTATGAAGTCAGTAGTTGAAACGTGACAGTCACAAGACTAACGTTACTGCAGTATTGATACTCAGATATGTAGCCTCCTCTCTATACACCTTTTGTACTAAACTCTGTCAAAAAGAAACGCAACCCCTGTATTTTAGAGATTTTGATCTGAAGTTTTAGGACGACACGGCATTTTATTATTTAAGACAGAAGTCTGAAATTTGGCAGAATAATAACCCAGATGGGCATGTTTAAAATTGTCATTTCAAAAGTCATCTCACAGACACCAGTTTGTCACCAGGGGGCGTCTTTCTCAGTATCTCGTATGAGCACCACGCGCTACAATCACTGCACGGCATCTCCTTGGACAAGAACGGATAAGACGCCGGATTCTTTCCTGGGAATGGCTCTCCACTCCTCCTGCAGTGCAACGGCGAGCTGTTGCAGCGTCTGTGGCGGCGGCTGACGTTGACGTACGCGTCGATCCAGAGTATCCCACAGGTGTTCAATAGGGTTGAGGTCTGGTGATTTAGAGGGTCATGGCAAGACATTGACGTTGGAATTCTGCAGAAAGTTCATTGTTGCACGTGCAGTATGAGGCCGGGCGTTGTCCCGTTGAAATATCTGTGTCTGTTGGTCAATAATCGGGAGAAGGTGAAGCTGTAACACGTGGTTGATGTAACGTTGGGCTGTCAGGTTCCCTGGAACGATCACCAAGTCTGATTTCTGGTTGTATGAGATGGTTCCCCAAACCATGACGCTTTCTCCGCCAAATCTGTCCACCTGTCGGACGCAGATGGGCGCAAAACGTTTATGACGTCTCCTATACAGACGCTGTCTTCCGTCGTGACGTTGCAAAAGAAAACGTGATTCATCAGAAAACCAGATTCGCCTCCAGTTTTGTAAAGTCCGTATCCTTACGTTGTTGCACCACCTGAGTCGTCGGCGTCGATGTAGGGGGCGTAGTACAGGTCCAACAACTGGTCTACAGGCACGTAAACCCGCTTCTTTCAGACGGTTCCTAATCGTTTGAGCTGACACTCTCCTCAAACCTGGTATTTGTGTGGGGAGTCACGGTTGGTAGGGCATGCCGATTACGCAGGTGATGGACCCGGATGTACCGATCTTGAAGGGGGGTCGTGATTCTTGGCCTTCCACTTCTCGGGCGATCGTTGGTCAAATTGAAGTTGTTGTAGCGGCTCCAAAGTCGGGATATCGTTGTTTTGTGAACATTTAGGTGCCGTGCAACAGTTCCAAAACTTTCTCCGGCTTGAACACGACCAATGGCGATATTTCGGTCGGCAGCACTCAATCGTGGCATTTTAACACAGCTTTTCGGCGACAAATGAATGAATATAATACGGAAGCACATGGGCTTTATACACCCCTACATTAACTGCCATTTTCATGATTTGCATGTGTTTTTGTGCGAAGTCACCATGAGGGTCATTTCATGCGTTGTGACGGAATAAGCAATAAAATACACTTATGCGTACAAATGCAGTTGTTTGGATGGTAATCTTCATTAATTACGTGTATCATTTCAATACATTCGAATAAAATTTAGTTTGAAGCAATAACTTCATTCAAACGAATTTTTCATATCTGAGGACAGGGGTTGCGTTTCTTTTGACAGAGTTTATATCATTGCCCCTGAACTGTCAATCTTTCTCAGTTTCTAATAACTGCTTGTGATGTAATTAGTTATTGTTAATATCTTTGGAGAGGGGTTTTATAAGTTGAAAGAAATTGTCCCTGATCCTTTTCACATTGTGAATAAAATATGTTTAAACTAAAAAAACACTAAAAAACCATGTTATAATGATACTGAGGACTAAAACATAATATTAGAAGATACGTTTACAAAGAGAGAAAGAGCCTGGCCGAAACACATATAAATACTGCAGAACAAACACAAAACCTCCTTTTATTGAAAAAACAATGACTGATCCATGGCCATGAATATGTTTTCAAATATCATTTTTAACCTTACAAAACAATTACCAAGAGCAATTACTTTCTGATTTAAGTTCCGGGTGACACACATCTACAGGAGGCATGGCAACTGCTGTCAACTTCACCCTTGATCAGTTCAACGACGTCTACAACCAGCGATACCTTCCTGCTACAGTGTACATATCGGCCATGATGGTGGTTGGCCTCGTGGGCAATTCTGTTGTCTTTCATGTATACCTGAAGAAGTTCAAGCCGAGCACAACAAGGTGTTTCATTCTTGTGGTTGCCCTTTTGGATATTCTCAATGCTCTAGTATGTTGTCCAGTACAAATATTTCAGATGAGAAACTTTGTAACGTTTGGCAGTTCAGGGGCGTGTAGGTTCATGATAACGAGTGTGACATATTTCAGCACTGCGTCTGGTCAGGTGTTAATATTAGTGGCCGTTGACAGATACAGGAAGGTTTGTCGACCCTTCCAGAAGCAGATGACGCCATATACAGCCAAACTGGCTTGTGGACTTTTGTGTCTCGTCTTGCTGGTGCTCATGATTCCGACTCCACTGATTTACGGCCCTAAAACTGTGACACGATATAATGTCAATATTACCATTTGTCGCCCCTTCGAGCCAGAGAGGACTACTATAAGGCGTACACTTACTTTTGGATCTTCATGTTGTTCGGTCTGGTTACCTCCCTTGGTGTTCTGTATTCCTGTATCTGGTGTCGGGTCTATCAGCAATTGAAGTACATACAGAAATTAAAAGCATCAAATCCGGTGGAAGAGATTTGTCGTCCCCCAGAGCATAAGAAAGGGAGCCAAGTCGAAGGAGGTGTAAAATTTAATTCGTCTCAGGATACATATGAATCTGAAGACACTTCAACATGTAGACATGATTTAACCCCAACCTCTGTAGGTGTTCCTTCCCCTTGTTCGGAGACCTCTCACATAAATACTGCTTCAACTTCTGTTATGGTATCTGACCCTAGTTCAGAAATGCACAGCCATAATGATTCAACAACCACAAATTCATCGCTGCCAATGTCTGTCCGAACCGGAAGTGACGTCAGGAACGCGTCACATGATAAGGGTGTCAGAAAGATGACGTTGACGTTGTTTCTGGTGACGATGGTGTACGTCCTGAGTTGTGTTCCCTATTTCACAGTCACAACAATGATGTCAAGAGACCCTCAGAACTACGAACGCCTCGCCATGAAGTACTCCCTTTTCTCCATCCTAGAAAAATCCTATCACCTGCAGATCGCTGCCAACCCCATTATCTATGGCTTTCTTAATAAGCAGTTCCGCCGCGAACTCCGACTGATTTGTAAAAGGAAATAGTGAGTGAGCAAGTGAGATATAAGTTGAAAGACATCTGACATCTGTGACAGTCTGAGAAGTTTGGAACTAGATGACTGTTTCCACACTGTATTTTCACCCATTCTAATAAGTTTGCATGTTACTGCTCTTATTTACTAATACCGCATATCTAACAGTAATAAAATAGCATCTTAATCAAAGTGACATGTCTTTATGTTGTGAGCTGAGTTTAACAGCCGGTTTGAACAGCTTCAGCTTTAGTCAAGATGTCTGTTTAATGGGGAGTAATGGCTTCACACATTGTACCCATGTTGGATCTTCGGCGCTTTGAGCGTACGCTTTAACCACTAGGCTACCCCATCTTCTGAAACCCTTCACCTTGTTGTTCACATAGTTCATAGCAAGTCGGACTCGGTGTTTATAATAATAATGATCCTCTGGTGATGCATGTCAAAACTCATGATGAAAGCAAAGAATTCCACAGCTATTTTAAGCGTGCCAAGGTTGTTGGAAATTTGAGGTTGATGTTGTTGATGGCGATGTACTGCTGGACGGTACAGCGATCGGAGTAAACCAGGTGAAGTCATTCACCAAGTCTGCCCAGAGTCGGTCATTTGTGGAGAAGCTTTCTGAGAAACCACTGCAGAGGTACAGATAAGCTGCGTATCTGCGTAAATTACGCAAATATTTATGTGAAACCTCAATTCCTATTAGGCCTTTTGCGTACAAGTACGCTTGAATTTTTGTAAATACTCAATAAATTTGATCTTACATGCGTATACACACAAAAATGTCAAATCTTAGCTTGTGTACCGGTGGATAAATAAAATAACTGAGGTATACTGAGAGGTTCTATTTAAGCATATAAACTTTCTTATCGTTTCTCATTTTACAGATCAATATAAATAACAAATACGTAAACCAACATTTAAGTTTTATTATATCTTTAAGATTAATGGCAAAATACCCAATTGAGTTTCAATAAGGTGGGTACAATTTATTTGGTTACTCAAAGGAAAATTAGGATACCAATTGAGATGAACACAAGCGAGTACATAGCTAAATGACCCAAGAATAGCAATCCCACCGACTCCTTCGCCTGGATGAAGTCGGCAGGTCTTAAATGTGAAACTGAGGGCTTCCTTTTTGCTGCTCAGGACCAGTCACTTCCCACTCGCAATCGCCTAAATGTGATTCTTAAAGAAAATATAAACATGAAATGCCGACTGTGTAATGAATTCACAGAGACTGTCCAACACCTTGTCAGTGGATGCCCTTCCTTGGCACAAACAGCGTATCTTAAAAGACATGATGGCATGGCTCGTTGCTTTTACTACCGTCTCCGACATGCCTGTGGCTTTGACTCCGAGGTCCATCCATGGTACGACCCTGAACATGTCCAGGGCGTCATGGAAAATGATGTTTTTTCAAACTTCTCTGGAACAGGCCCATATACAGCCTCAGAAGAATTCCAGCCAACAAATCTGATCTTGTCCTTTTTGATAAAGCCAATGAATGTATTTAAATCATTGAATTTTCTGTCCCTTTTGAAAGCAATGTGATTTCAAGATTCAGGAAAAGCATGATAAATATGCGGACCTCGCCTTTGAAATGTCTCACTTGCATCCCAAGTACACTGTCGTCAGGCACCCCACTGTTCTCGGTGCCCTTGGTTTGGTACCTCCTGATCTCTTGGCGCAGATTAGGAGAGTCCGGGTTCTCCACCGGGAGTACAGCCCTTCTGACACTCTGGGTAATGCAGAAGGCTGCAGTTTTGGGGAGCCTTCATATTCTCCAGAAAGTTCTTGGTGGGTTCGACTAGGCAGTGTTTCCTGGGAGAAGTCCCATTCACTGTCTGGGCTGCGTGTAGAGGGGGCAAGGGTCCTGAGCTGATGATGAGCCTTACCAGCCTGACTGTGCCAGGATCACCCGAACCCTCTCTGCTGCATACTATCTTTAATCTGTAAAACATAATAATAATAATAATAATAATAATAATCTTAAACGACATGATGGCATGGCTCGTTGCTTTTACTACCGTCTCCGCCATTCCTGTGGCTTTGACTCCGAGGTCCATCCATGGTACGACCCTGAACATGTCCAGGGCGTCATGGAAAATGATGTTTTTTCAAACTTCTCTGGAACAGGCCCATATACAGCCTCAGAAGAATTCCAGCCAACAAATCTGATCTTGTCCTTTTTGATAAAGCCAATGAATGTATTTAAATCATTGAATTTTCTGTCCCTTTTGAAAGCAATGTGATTTCAAGATTCAGGAAAAGCATGATAAATATGCGGACCTCGCCTTTGAAATGTCTCACTTGCATCCCAAGTACACTGTCGTCAGGCACCCCACTGTTCTCGGTGCCCTTGGTTTGGTACCTCCTGATCTCTTGGCGCAGATCAAGAGAGTGCCCGGGTTCTCCAGTACAGCCCTTCTGACACTCTGGGTAATGCAGAAGGCTGCAGTTTTGGGGAGCCTTCATATTCTCCAGAAAGTTCTTGGTGGGTTCGACTAGGCAGTGTTTCCTGGGAGAAGTCCCATTCACTGTCTGGGCTGCGTGTAGAGGGGGCAAGGGTCCTGAGCTGATGATGAGCCTTACCAGCCTGACTGTGCCAGGATCACCCGAACGCTCTCTGCTGCATACTATCTTTAATCTGATAAAATTCTAATGAATTGCAATCCACTTTCGTGATGATATCAAAAGCTCGCCGAAAGGGGAGCCTATACAGCTCCACCAATGGAATCCATCAAAAACACATGCAAAGGCATGTTAAATCTTCATCTGAACGCACATGGGAAACCATATTTGTGCAAGTCAAAATAGGGAATTGTATCGGACATACCTTTGGCTAGTTGTATGTCAAATGTGTATATATTCGACCCATGTAAACTATATAACAATCTGAAACGTTTACTCGGGTTGTAACTCTGATCAAAACAACTTTAGCTGGAGTCTCTCAACACTCTTTGAAAACTTCCTGGAAAGAGCTTGTTCTTGTGTATTTCTAATGTTGCGAGGCTGGAAAGATGATTATCGGAAAGTTGAAGTTATCGCCTCACACAGTGTTGTGGAGGTTTATTTTGTCACTCTGAATGTTTATGCACAACACTAAAGAAACACTGAAGAAGCCTTTTGACCATTATTGGATCTCAGATCCTCGATGTTTGTTGCTTGTACGCCACAATCAGCAGTGCTCTAGCTGTATGACGTCGGTGGGGAAATAAACCCTCGACTAGACAATCCAGGGACTGACATCGTGAACATCGATGCAGGCAATTGGGATACGATTACATGCATCAACCAGGTCAGCGAACAGACCATCCGTTCACGATAGTCGCCTCTCACGACAACCCTGGTTTACTGATGACTTATATTTGGTTTCCTGATTACTAACCCGGATCTTCACGTGTTCCTGACAATACCATGGACATCTGTTTATGGATCGCTTGTAGGCGTTCAAAGACAGGTGACCGTATCCAGCACCTATTTATTAATATATTGAATGGGTAATTGAGTAGGTGACTATAGGTGATACATGCTGGGATGTATTTTGGTTTGGTTTGTTGTTTAACGCCGCACTCAACAATATTCCATCTATATGGCGGCGGTCTGTAAATAATCGAGTCAACCTACGCAACCTACGTCAACCTACGCAATTGGGATACGATGACATGTTTTAACCAAGTCACAAACACGGGGCTGAAGATCAATTCTTCACGGATCCTACCAGTTTGGCACGGGTCCAACCATGATGACAGAGACACAATGGTCAAATCGAGGGCAGCCACATTAAACTTCCTATTGGCCTCAATTAAGTTCATCCTGGTCGAAAGTGTATCCATAAAACGTTAACTCGCTTTTTAGACTTACAGGGAAGCACAGAGGTAAGAGAATATTATAAACTAAATAATTCTGTTATAATGTTGTATTTCATATTTATGTATATTTTTATTATAACACACATTTATCCTTCCATCCCACCTACTTACCTGTCAACGCACTTACAGACAGACAGACAGATACACACACATGCAGACCGTGTTTTGAGTAGATTATTATCTTATCATGCTGGTACAGTAATGATATAGATGTTTCTGAATTATATAGATATAATTAATAAATAGCATTCTTTCTGTGACTCTCTCTGTCTCTCTTCCCTCACCTCTGTTCCTCTCTCTTCCTCTTCCCCAATCAAACCCTACTCTCTCCCTCCCCCACTCTTTCTCAGTCTCTTTATTCTTACCTATTTTCTGATAATCAACATTGCCGTTACATATTTCTTTATGTACTTAAATACCTATTTTATTCTTCAGAATAGAAAACATGTCAATGAAGTTAATGGTCGACGTGAACGTCAGTGTCAATCAACAGGACCCTGACGTTTACCTTCGTCGCTATGACAACAGATACGCCCTACAGGCCTTGCCCGCCATTTTGTTTCTGGCTGTGTTGATGATCGTTGGGCTTGTGGGGAATTCCCTCGTCTGTTATGTGTATCTTGTGAAATTTAAACAAAGTGCCACCCGATGCTTTATTGTAGCACTGGCTACATTTGACCTGATTACAGTCACCATTTGTATTCCATCAGAGATCGCAGACATACGGCATAACTATACATTTGGGCCGTACACACTGTGTAAGATATTGCGATTACTTGTAACATTCTCAGCCATTGCTTCAGCGTCAACACTGGTAGCCATAGCCGTGGACAGGTATAGGAAAATATGCCGACCGTTTGAAAAGCAGATGACGCCTTTGTCTGCCAAGGTTACAGTTATCGTGTGTTCACTTATGACGGTGGTGGTTTCATCACCCAATGCTGTTATCTATGGTCCTAGGGCAGTTGCAACAGACGACGGCTATATTAATGGTTCTGACTGCTCTACGTCTGACGACTACGTCAGGACGCCCTACCCTCTCATCTACAATGGAGTCCTGTTCTTCATCTTCTTCTCCTCAACACTCAGTCTCTCTGTGCTTTACGGTCTCATATGGAGGCAGGTTGTCAGGCAACGGAAACGAATGAATGCTGTATATGAAATAAGACAAAATGTGGAAATGGATAGCAGACACGAAATGATACCTAATACTTCATCATCCGATGTCCAGTGTCCGTCAGTTACATGGGATTCAAGCCTGTTGTCTTCCGACAGAAGTGATTCCAACATACCTGCTAGAAGATCAGAACGTATACCTGATTCATGTCCAGATGGTAACACACCATCCCTACCGGGCAGGCATCCCTCTAGGTGTGGAAGAAACGAATCCCCTACCGGCACATCGTCACTGCGTCAAAGAGGTCATAAGACAGTACTGATGCTGTTTCTCATCACCCTCGTGTTTGTTTTGAGCTTCCTTCCTCATCTGGGTCTGATGGCTACGCAGGCTGTCAACAAACACGTGTTTGACGACCTTACAGGAGCTGGAATAGCAGCTAACAATTTGTTTCTGAGATCCTACTTTATCAACAGTGCATCCAATCCTATCATTTACAGCTTCTGCAACGAACGGTTCCGCCTTGAAGTGACACGGCTGTTTGGAGGGTTAACTCGCAGAACATAGGCACACAATACTGTATTGTACACTGCTTAATAATCAAAGAGGAGAACAGGATTGTTGAAGCAAACTATTTAAAATATGCATGGATATGTGTTTTTACCACTTATTACACAAAACCCTTGCCTGATACATTTTGACTGTTTTGGGCGTTGGTTTGTTGTTTAACGCCACACTCAGCAATATTCCATCTATATGGCGGCGGTCTGTAAATAATCGAGTCTGGACCAAACAATCCAGTGATCAAAAGCATGAGCATCGATATACGCAATTGGGATACGATGACATTTGTCAACCAAGTCAGCGAGCCTGACCGCCCTATCCCGTTAGTCGCCTCTTACGACACAATAGATTACTGAAGATCAATTCTAACCCTGATCTTCACGTGCCAGCGAGGTATCGACTGGACAGCAGATTTGTCAGAAATTTCCTCTGAGGAGCCCATATGTTAGGTAGGAGATAGATAGCCACAACTTTAGTCTTACAATTCTGAAATGATTTCGAAACGTGTAATTATTAACTTCACAATATTCGGTGCATGTCAGTTCTGGTGTGAGTGTCAGTCCAACAAACTACAGGATTGGATCCAACGGGCGTTCGTCATTTAGGTCATGCGTTGTCTAATTATCTTATGAAAAAATCTCAAGAAACGTTTCTGCTTACGAATTCAACAGAGTCAAGTGTTTCTCCGACTTTATCTGTGTGATGGATTATGTGTATATATATTCATGTCCAGTAAACCTTTTTATTCAAAAACTGATTCCAATTTGTTTTTCTTTACTTCCTTTTTGTATTTGACCCTTAGGAAATTCAAATGCACTAACTATACCTGCACTGACAAAACAGTAGTTTGTATTTTGTGTACTATTGGGTTGAGGCCTTTCATATTTTCTATACCAAGGCGACGTTACCACACCACACATGCATAAAACAACAAAAGGAAAATTGTAGTAGTTGTTTGATTACTAATGTACTCCACTGAAAAGACATTACTCAGCAATTTCAGAATGTAACCTCTACATTTCTTGTAAGTAAACCACATTTCTTGTAAGTAAACTACATTTCTTGTAAGTAAACTACATTTCTTGTAAGTTTCTTGTAAGTAAACTACATTTCTTGTAAGTAAACTACATTTCTTGTAAGTAAACTACATTTCTTGTAAGTAAACCACATTTCTTGTAAGTAAACTACATTTCTTGTAAGTAAACTACATTTCTTGTAAGTAAACTACATTTCTTGTAAGTAAACTACATTTCTTGTAAACTACATTTCTTGTAAACTACATTTCTTGTAAGTAAACCACATTTCTTGTAAGTAAACTACATTTCTTGTACATTTCTTGTAAGTAAACTACATTTCTTGTAAGTAAACCACATTTCTTGTAAGTAAACTACATTTCTTGTAAGTAAACTACATTTCTTGTAGGTAAACTACATTTCTTGTAAGTAAACTACATTTCCACTTGTAAGTAAACTACATTTCTTGTAGTAAACTACATTTCAACACATTTCTTGTAAGTAAACTACATTTCTTGTAAGTAAACTACATTTCTTGTAAGTAAACTACATTTCTTGTAAAAAACTACATTTCTTGTAAGTAAAACTACATTTCTTGCAAGTAAACTAAGTAAACTACATTTCTTGTAAGTAAACCACATTTCTTGTAGGTAAGTAAACTACATTTCTTGTAAGTAAACTACATTTCTTGTAAGTAAACTACATTTCTTGTAAGTAAACCACATTTCTTGTAAACTACATTTCTTGTAAGTAAACTACATTTCTTGTAAGTAAACTACATTTCTTGTAAGTAAACTACATTTCTTGTAAGTAAACCACATTTCTTGTAAACTACATTTCTTGTAAGTAAACTACATTTCTTGTAGGTAAACTACATTTCTTGTAAGCAAACTACATTTCTTGTAAGTATGCAGCTAGTATCCGGCCAACTAATAGCATAGAATGGCTTCCTAAATGATCCAATCAAATCTATGTACAAATTACAATGGCCTAATAATACGGTTTCAAGGGTTACGCAGGGTGTATTAAGTTATGTTTATCTACACGTGAACAATAAATACAACATCCGGTCGGTGGCATTCAAGTAGCCTCTTCAGAAAGTATTTTTCAACCCGATCGAAATGTTCGCTGAACTTTACCCCCGAGAGAACAACACTTTCTATTAGTGTGCTAGACACCGAGGTCTTTTGTTTTGGTTGCGAGTGTGTTGCTTTCCTCTCTACGGAAGATTTCGGGGACGATCAGGGTAAGTGAAGCGTGTGTTATGAGCCAGAAAGCAGCATCAGTTTGATTTGCTTAAAGTATTAATAAAATCACACTTTGTAATACACTCGAGTTAGATGGAAAGGAGCACGAACATTCACAAAAACACCCATATACTTATCAGGATTTGCAACAAGCCGATTATAAGATGCAAAATGTGTTTTTGATCTATTTGGATCATGAAATCTTGTTAGCATGTAGCGCAGCTAATTATATTGGGAAAATAGTTGGATTCTCTCCAGATATAGCTATAGTTTTCGTTCGATTTTATAAAATATCATGTAATAATTGATTGATAGGGGTCAAATCATCTAATCTCGAATTCTTTTCCACCCACTGGAGGGGTGGTGGGATAGCCTAGTGGTTAAAGCGTTCGCTCGTTACGCCGAAGACCGGGTTCGATTCCTCACATGGGTGATATGTGTGGAGCCCATTTCAGGTGTCCCCCGTCGTGATATTGCTGGAATATTGCTAAAAGAGGCGTTAAACCATAATCGCTCACTCATTTATGCTTAATTGCGATTTGTATATGAGTAAGTGCAAATGTTCTAAACATTGTTTGTTCCTTGGTACGTTATGAATGTTAGCTAATATCATATTTAATAATCATCGCTGGTGGTATTTCGGGGACTTCATCCTATTTTGTAATATACCCGACAAGAGAAAGTGTACACCACTGTTTGATGGAGCCTAAACTGTACCAAGAATGGTTATTTGATGGTGCTATATTTGATATAGGTATCAAAATTTGCGTTATGTATTTTGGCGACTGTTTTCACCCTTAACATATATTTTTGTTGTAGTCAAATCCACTTGTATAATGTATTATACACATTGTTCATGATACAAATAAACATGCAGTTGTAATAACTACCTGAATACATTTTAAATATTTGTTTTATTCAGTTTTGACATCCAACACCAGTGCCGAACATGAACTCAAGTCACTCTCAACACGACCTTGACCTTTATCTCCGTCACTACGACAGCGAATACGCCATCCAGTCCTTTCCAGTCATCTCGTTTCTTGTCATCCTGATGCTGATTGGGTTCGTGGGGAATTCTCTCGTCTACTATGTGTATCTGCTGAAATTTAAACAAAGCGCTCTCCGATGCTATATTTTAGCGCTGGCAACCTATGATGTCGCCACATGCAGCATCTGTATCCCCGTTGAAATAGCAGATATAAGACACAACTACACATTCGGACAGTATACACTGTGTAAGTTGCTTCGATTAATGACAACATTCTCGGTTATTGCTTCAGTGATCATTCTGTTGGCTATAGCTGTGGACAGGTACAAGAGAATATGCTGCCCGTTTGACAAGCAGACGACGCCACGTTTGGCCATGGTCACAACCACCGTCTGTTCCATCACGACATTTATAGTTTCACTTCCGGTTGCTGTTGTAAACGGTTCGAGATCTGTGCCTACAGACGACATTCACGTCAACGGATCACGCTGCACTATATCAGACGATTATATTGACACACTATTTCCCCTTATCTACAACGGAGGTCAGTTCATAATCTTCACGTCTTGTATACTGAGTCTCTCGGTGTTGTATGGTCTAATATGGCGGCGGGTTGCCAGGCAGCGGAAACGTATGGATATCTTCACTGCAAACGATCTAACCATTGGAAGGAAGATCAAACACAAAGCCACAGAACAATCAATCGCAAAAAGAGGGAAGGAGGATAATGGCTCGTCGCCCAGAGTTGAAACAAACATGACGTCTTCTTATTCAGCTGATTCAAACATTTCTGAAAGTACTTCTAAAATAATAACCACTGAATCGTGTAAGAGCGACAACACATGCCTGCATGAAGGCACACCAACTCTGGGATCACAGTCCAACAGAAGGATCTCCACGTTTGGGAGAAGACGGTCCTCTACCTTCACACCGTCACTTAGTGACAAGAGATCCCAGAAGACAACGACCATGTTGTTTCTCATCACCCTAGTATTTGTGCTGAGCTTTCTTCCCCATTTGGGTCTGATGGTAACTAGAGCGGTGAACAAGAACGTCTTTGAAGATCTTCACGGAGTGGGATTCATCGTGTACAATGTGTTCCTGAGGTCGTACTTCATTAACTCTGTCTCCAACCCAATCCTCTACAGTTTTTGTAGTGTTCGATTCCGACAGGAACTGATTCAGCTTTGGGGAAGAGTGACAATAAGGATAAAGAAGTAATTACCTGAAGCACTGCTCCAGATAACAGTAACACACCATCACGATATGTTCCCCTGAACTGCTCCAAATAGTCAGATGTAATTATGATGAATGGCTTTCGCTTAATCGAGTGTATATACATGTACTGAAAGAAAACGTTTAGTACCGCCCTAAATAATATATTGTCATACGTTTCCCGATACATTTAAACTCGTTCCAGGCCGGATGACCAATATACGTCATGTTTCATGCCATCTGAAGCATTTCCCCAGACAATGTACAGTCCCACACCTTTCCAACATATTCACATCCGCACCAGCTACTCCAAAATGTTAATTGAATTCCAGCAAGATTAGCGATGATTTTGTTTTATCAGTATTAAATAACAAAAGCTCGTAAACTGACTTATCATTAAAGCCGTAACGATGATATTTTACAGTTTATGTGGACATTTCTAATACATACAATACAATATTATTATTGGATATTTATATAGCGCACATATCCACGCACTAGTGCATGTTTAAGGAGCTGGTATTTTGTCCTCAATCATTGGATGTCAATCTCAACAGCACATCCTATTATCAATCTCAGCTCCCTTGGGACCATACAACTCTTGCTGCCACAAGGCGCACCGAGTTATTGCGGCTTTCCCATCCTTACGAGGTACCCATGGCCATTCACAGCTGGGTGGACTAGGACACATAGTCACAGTACTTTGTCCAAGTCTTACTGCACGTTACTGCCATCATATACCAACGGATTCGTGGGTTCTTTTAAGTGCACAGGGTTGTATACTGTACAATACATATAACGTGTTCCTCCTACAGTGGATACTCTTGTATACTGGAGTTTAACTGGTGTTCATCAACTTCAACCTTTGATGGATCAATTACAGATATTTGAAGACAGTTTCTAGAATCTGAGGATGTTGCCCTCTCCATGAACTTGTCGCCTCCTGACATTGCAGCTCTGTGGATAATTGTGCCATCTTTTCAGTTTCTCTTAGTATTTAAAACAGAATGCAGTCAATTTCTGTGGTATCACTGCGTGCTATTTTACACATACTTATGTAAATGTCCCTGTAATATTTGGGTCAGGACGAAACACAAAATTAGAATAACTATATACATGTAACGTCATATAATCCCTTCCTTTGAATGGGAGGTATATATTGATCAATCTGTTTTAGTTGATGTGATGTAATTAAACAAATACAGAAAGTTTATACAACATAGCTAAACATCAGGGACTCTCTCCAAGAGGACAACACTATCAACCAGAAAAACATTATGTCAACATTACAGATATTTTCATTCTCAGAAGATGTTATTCTCTTGTTTAATTAAAATATTACCTTTAAGTTTGTCATTTATTCATTGCTTTTGTAAGTGAGACAACGTCCCTTCTGATATTCCATATACCAGTGAATATCCGGGTTAGAATTGGTCTTCAGTAACCCATGCTTATCGTAAGATGTGACTAACGGGATCGGGTGGTCAAGCTGCCTGACTCTGTTGACACATGTCATTGTATCCCAATTGCGTAGATTAATGTTCATGATGTTGATCACTGGATTGTCTTGCCCAGACACGATTGTTTACAGCTATATAGCTGGGATATTCCTGAGCGCGGCGTAAAACAACAAACCAAACCAAATCTGATATTCCATAAGTAAGAAGTAAGACATTTTAAAAAAAAAAGAAGACTTTTTTGTGTTTTTTCCTTTTATCTTAAACACACACAAGTATAACCAGTACGAAATACTGCGATCAAATGCACGCAAAGTTATTTATGTAATTCTGAAATTCACTTACAATGTCTGGTCTCATAACAGGCATCCATTACAAACACACTGCTGTCTTAGTTGCAGCTAAATATAAGACAACATCCGACAGTTACGCTCACTTCCCGCCTGATATCTCGGCATTATCAGTCAATCAGCAAGGCAAACAACAGATGGTTGTTCCGGGCTGTACACAACAATGAGATCTGCAAAAACACGTTTCCTGAAATTGTTCACTTGTCAGAAATTGTAAATGAATTGGAATGCTTGTTCAGGATAGGGAACAAGTGGAAATTCCTGAAAAAGAGAATAAAATGACGCCACAGATGTTTAATTGTTCTTTACAAATGACAAGTATTGAAACTGCGTAATATCAAATTTGGCCACTGCAAAAGAGAGTTTCTGGGATTTTTTTTATTCTAGTCGTTTTAAAGATATTTTCTTTGAACTAAACGTCTACGATGTTTATATATAATACATAAAATAGCGCTGTTTGACGTAAGTGCTCGTAGTGAACGACTGAGTTGGGTAGAATGTTGCTCTGATCTGTATTCCAGTTATGCCACGGCATACTTCAACTAACTATGGGAGCAAAGTCCCCAAGTAACTTCGGCGTTTAACACCTTGGGTAAACCTTGGAGCTCGGGCCTGACAAACCTAGAAACATAATCGGAGCGAAAAGGGATTCGATCCCACAACCCTAGTTTCCTGGCGTTCCGTGGCTCGTCACGCCGAAGACCCGGGTTCGAATCCCCACATGGGTACAATGTGTGAAGCCCATTTCTGGTGTCCCCCGGCGTAAAACCAAACTCAGTCAGTCAGTCAGTCCTGGCGTTCCGAAGGGACGCAACTGTGCACAATTAACGACGACACCTTAGACAATGGGGCCACCCCGACATCTCAACTAATTACAAAGCCTGCATACCAGGGCCCCGTTCCTCAAAGCGATCGTAGCGCTAAGGTGGTCGCAACTCCTATACTTTAACACAGATTTACGACCGTCGTAGCCATACGATCGATTTGAGGAACGGGGCCCAGGGGGTCCTTTCACGAAGCAGCCTTTACTAAATTTAACCTTAACTGCCATTCTTTAACATGCACTAAGGTTACCTTAGCGACTTACGATCACCTTAGTGCTTCGAGAAAGGAGCCCCAGATCATATAAGTCAGTCCGCCCCCAAAACAACCAAGACTCCACAACATTGCATTCTCAGCTACGCGGGAAGGATAAAGCTGCATCCGGGTATTTGATGTCTTGATCCTGCTACAGTAATGGATGCTTCAGCCATGCATATGGCCTTCCGCATATTATATTAGATCTGGATTATTATATTCTTGTTCCTGCAAGCGGCAACGAGTACGGTAGGTGTTGCAAAATTTATTGACAGGAAAACAGCATTTCTAATGGCCACATCCTTCAAGGCTTTGACCATAAGTTGCATTTTTATAATCCTAACTATTTGTATCATGTTTATTTGACAAATACATACATGGCGAGTTTTCTGTTGTAAGACAGTGAGCGAGTTAAACAATGACAAGTTTCTAAATCAGTTGTACTATATTGGTACAATTCATGCATTCTTTCAAACAATATAGTACGATTAAATCTTTTACTTTAATATTGAATTCAAATACAGATTTGATAATACATTAGGAAACAACAATATTTACATGAAGTGTCAGAGAATGTCTGGGGTTTTCTTAAAGTGGGAGGAAAGTCCGATGTCATGCAGGTATTAAACATTTACTACTTTGGTGCTGAAAACCAAAATTAGAATCGGTGTAAACATATATTACGACCTACAGTCTTCTGGTGTACCCTGCGACTCATCACAGAGCGTTTGAGCACCACAGACTACCCCTGTGAATAAGTGAGTGAGTGAGTGAGTTTAGTTTTATGCCGCTTTTAACAATATTCCAGCAATATCACGGCGGGGTACACAAGAAATGGGCTTCGCATATTGTACCATGTGAATAATCGAACCCGGGTCTTCGGCGTGACGAGTGAAAGCTTTAACCACGAGGCTACCCCACCGCCCCCTTTGCTATGTCTAGGTTAGATATTTATTCAAGGCATTTACATGAACTGAATTAACAGCTCTCGCTAACTTGTGTGGTCTATTTTGCATATTAATTTAAATCGTATAATGTACTGTGATAATTATATCGCATGTTTAATTCTCTCTTTCAGCATTCACGTTCAGCGACACATGCCAACATGAACTCAAGTCACGTTCAACACGACCCTGACCTTTATCTTCGTCACCTTGACAACGAGTACACCCTGAAGGCATGGCCTGTCGTCCTGTTTCTTTCCATTCTGATGTTGGTTGGCTTCACAGGAAACTCTTTAGTCTGCTACGTGTATCTTTTGAAATTTAAGCAAAGCGCACTCCGATGTTACATCCTGGCACTTGCAACGTTTGACCTTGTAATATGTGTATTATGCATCCCTACCGAGATAGCAGACGTAAGGTATAACTACACATTTGGACTGTCTAAACTGTGTATGATATTGCGGTTTCTTGAAACATTCTCAGCATTTGCTTCAGCAACCATACTGTTAGCTGTAGCAGTTGACAGGTATAGAATGATATGCCGCTTATTTCACAAGCAGACGACACCATCCATGGCCAAAGTGATAATTGCTGTCTGCTCGATTACAACCTTCATAATGTCATTGCCAACTGTAGCTTTCTATGGTTCAAGAACTGAGATGACAGATGACGTTCACATCAATGGTTCCGTTTGTACTATATCTGACGACTACACCGGGACGCCCTACCCTCTCATCTACAATGGAGTCCAGTTCTTCATCTTCTTCTCCTCAACACTCAGTCTCTCTGTGCTCTACGGTCTCATATGGCGACGAGTTGTCAGGCAAGACAAGCGCATGAAAGCAACCAAACAATGTAACCTAAACATTCAAGACGAACCTGGAACAACATCAAATATGATCCCTTGGACATCAAACCTGTCCCCAAAAAGCGAATGTAACATATCACCTTGCAAGAAAAATGATTCAGACATTGTTGAAAATGACCAAAACATTGAAAGGAAGATCGAATACAAACCCATACCAACATCACTCGCAGAAGGTTTGAAGGGTGCTCATGGCTCGTTACCGAAAGGTGAATCAGACATGTCATCTTCCGATATGACAACAGTTGAATCATGTGAGGACGACAACACATGCCTGCATGAAGGCACACCAGCTCTCGGATCACAGTCCAATAGAATCCTCCTCAAGTTCGGGAGAACAAAGTCACCCGGTACCTTCACACCGTCACATGGTGACAAAACATCTCAGAAGACAACGACCATGATGTTTCTCATCACCCTAGTATTTGTGCTGAGCTTTCTTCCCCATTTGGGTCTGATGGTAACTAGAGCGGTGAACAAGAACGTTTTTGAAGATCTTCACGGAGTGGGATTCATCGTGTTCAATGTGTTCCTGAGGTCGTACTTCATTAACTCTGTCTCCAACCCAATCCTCTACAGTTTTTGTAGTGTTCGATTTCGACAGGAACTGACTCAGCTTTGTAGAAGCATGTCACGAAACACCTGAAGCAATCTACAAGTTATATCACGCCAAAAAGAATCCGTAATCTAACAAGCAGGTTTTCCTAGCCTTCAGTGCCGATATAATCATCTGACAGATGTGTTTGGGTGGTTTTGTGTAAGATGTTTGTGGGGTGTTTTTCATTATACACCCATCAAGTAATTAAAACAGACCTTATTTTAAAATATTTAAAGCTGTTAGTTTTAAAGCGATGTCTGACGCTAATTGTGACCACAGGTATCTTCATGCGGGTGATTCTTTGTGGGGACTGTAGTCGGAAAAGGATCTGGTCGAGGTAGTCATATTTTGTCTTTATTGCTGCTTTGAGGTCAGACTTTAAGGCAGACATGTACAGGTAATGGCTCTTGAGGGCTGAATTAGTGTGTAAGGGCTAAAATGTTACTGTAGACATCAGGAAACTATTCGGTTTTGTGTAAGATAAAGCTAATAGATATCTAGTTGCCTTCACTGAAAGCTTCTTTGGAGCCGAGCGCTTAAGAGAACTTACGTTTTAAGACTCTACCTCATGAATGATAAGTTTTGGATTTTCACTTTACTCGTATTACCTTTATTACTTTTATTACCGTGACCACATTGTTACCAGAAGGACAGCCGATTTATTGTGCAATGTCATCGTGCTAGCAATCACTTGTCAGTGATTTGGAAGTGCAAGGTCTTGAATGTGGTGCTTCATTTGTGTTTGCATCTGTTGACATACGATTATATAATTATCCTTGCGGGCTTAAAGACCTATTTGGGTTATAATGGTCTGTGCATTTACGAATCATGATGACATTGTTCTAAACCAATGTTCATTCATGTATGCTAATGTATCACATATAAAAAATGTTTATGCTGATAAAATTATCTAAAAGGCATTACATTACTTCTGCCATTTGTCTATAGTATTTCAGTTAAGGACTCGCCGAGACCCGGGTTAGAACTGATCTCCAAGAACACATGTTTGTCGTAGGAGGCGACTTCCGGGATCAGGCGGCTAGGCTGACTGTGATGCACATAACCCTGTCCCTATAGATCGATGCCCATGATATCAAATCCTCTATAGTCTGGTTCAGATTCGGTTATGTACAGATCGACGTCAAACAGGTTAAATATTGCTGAGGAAATATACAGTGGGCAAAACGAGATGTAATCATGAGTGCGGCCTAAATGAGTAGCTTGGGCTTAACGCCTCACTGTACTGTATTACAGTTCACAGAATGGCGGTTTGGTGTGGGATGAGGTGGGTATCAGACGTTCACTACTCTGATGAAACCTGTGAACACGATCAGTCGACTCACTTGAAACATTACCAAACCGGGGCGTGCGAACGTTACCCTAGATCACATCATCGTTCACCTGTTGCGTTCAAGTCAGTTAGTAGCACAGAACTATTGTTGACTCGGGCGCTCATGTTGACCTTATTTTGAAAGAATGGGTGAATTTCCTGGCAACAAGGAAGTCCTTTTCCCCGTGCATTCATGACTGTTTCTTAGCAACACGACTATTTCAGTAGTGTATATTTATCACATACAGGCCAGAAACCGAGGTTACAAAGCCATCATCTGTATTAAGGAAACATGCCGTTATAAGAGAGATTGCCCCAACAATACTATGATATTATGATACATGTACTAGTATAATGATTATAATTATTGCTTGATTACAGTTTCAACTGAAGACGATTGAATATATATCTTGTAGGAAATACGTTAAAATGGCTAACAGACATTGTATAATTTTGTAAAAAATATCCTGTGGTTACATGAAATACACATCTTTCATTGTTATTTATCAATATGTCAGGCGCTTTCTAATCGGATTTACGCACTATACATTGCCTATTTCTTAGGTCTATATGATAATACTGGGAACAGACTGAAGAATGCCTAATGTGGTATGGGGTTAAATTTAACGTCAGATTTCATAATAATATACAGAACTTCATTAGAATGTATACTCTTCTTATCTAAATGTTAACTTCTGAACAAGAAGATCTTGACAATATAACACCTAAATTATTTTCTATTTCTACACTTTTTACACAATTAGGAAGATGTTTATTTTAGAGTTTAGTTTTACGTCGCACTCTGCAATATTCTAGGTATATGATGGTAGTAAAATGTTAATGATAACAGTATACTTACAATAATATGTTCAGAAAGTGTCATTGATATTATACGTCCATGAACTGACTGACTGAATTTGGTTTTACGCCGCTTTTAGCAATATTCCAGCATCATCACGGCGGGGGACACCAGAAATGGGCTTCACACAATGTACCCATGCGGGAATTCGAACCCGGGTCTTCGGCGTGACGAGCCAACGCTTTAACCACTGGGCTTCCCCACCGCCCCATACGTCCGTGAAGACAGGGAACATGAACTATTTTATTGACCGATGTCCGAACACCAAGTTGATTTATGCCTCCTGTGACAACGGTATTCAATTAGGAGATTTTGGTAAGAACACCATATAACCATGATTAGGGCCGACTAAAATGATCGATAATCGGAAATATCGTTGATATTACAGATTATTGATATGAAAATTGTATAATCGATAACATCGTACATTACATTTTGTGACGGAAAAAAAGTTTTAATTCTCTCACACAATATACAAATTTAGGACTTTATTCATGGTCTGCTTCTAAATTATGTCCAGGATTTTGATTTGTTAATAATCCATAAAAGAATTATTCATTTCTTTCTTTCACACATATTTATTGCATTTTTGCTCAAAGTTACGTCTCCGATGTTTATCGATAATTAATCGATATATTCTCTATGATCTATATACATAGCGAGCGAGCTAACCATGATTAGAATAGTGGACTGAATAATAACGTTAAGTGCCAGTTTGTTTATTCAATAAACATTATGATTCTGTTTATATGTTAATTTATGTTATACCTTTCTGACCCTCTTATCATAAGATGTTATAGCCCAGTTATATCAGTTATAGTACGATCATAATAACTCACTGAAATGTACCGATTTGAAAGTTTGTGTTAAATGTTTAGCAGAATGAAAATTATTTTTTTTGTGTGAGGTTAAGTCAGGCGAGAGGACATCGCTCGCACGTTGTGGTGAATTATTATAAATTTATTAAAATCTACATGTCGCGTTGAAAAGGAAATCGTTAGGATGAGAAAGCCACAATAACTCGTTGCGCCTAGTGGCTGCAATAGTTGTATACTCCCCAGGGAGTTGAGATTGATAATACGATGTGCCATTGAGATTGACATCCAATGATCGAGGGATACAATACCAGCGCCTTGAGCATGCACTAGTTTGCCTGGATATGTGCGCTATATAAATATCCTATAATAATAATAATATAATAATCAATACCCTCAATTTGAAACAGAACTTAACATGCTGTATTCAATTTGTGTTTTCAATATAAACATGTGTACACTGGTTGATACCATATTATGAGACGACTGAAATACCAAGGGACGCAACTCTTGCTGAAACAAGTTCGAGTCGTCGTTTTGTGCCTTTGAATTAACCTACAGTTGGTAGGATCAATGTGGGTAAAAGTAACTTTCCAAACAGCAGGTGTGCGAGAAAGGCTCAGCACCGGTAAATGAATGAATAGCACACCTGGCTGGTCCTCTCTCTGCACTCCTCCCTCGTAACAAATAGTGAACTGTGTCAATATTTTAATGATAGTTTGTTAAACAACTTTTCTATTATTAAATCATAATTAATGAAATTCAAAATTCACAATGGTAGAACAATTATAATGCATCATACCAAATTAGAAAACGATTGCACTTGTAGTTTTTGAGTAACGTGAGCAAACACCGCCATGAAAAGTTTTCTGCCAGACTGTATGATGTGGTGAGCACCTGTACAGAATCAGCACATACGTGCGGAATACACGTAGGTCGCTAGCTCTGACAGTTCGCTATCGGCAAGGTGTCAGCTACATACTGTGAGCGCTGTTGGCGCTAACATTTGATATAAAATATTTTCATTCTTTGCTTGAATTGGCACATAATATACAGAAAGGAACCTAAGTAATATGTCCATTATCAAACTTTCATTTAATCTTAGACCTGGATGCGAGTTTAGGGAAACACCATCACTGTTTATATTCGTAAAATGATCGCGATATAGCTGCAATATTGCCGATGCGATGTCAAATTTTAACATCAAATTCCTTAAGGTCTTTCTCAAATTCTGGTTTCAAGTCACACAATGAACCACTGTCCATCACTTTTACATAAATCTGACGCACAATATTGTGAGAGTATGTTTTTTGGCAATATTCAAGCAGTAACGCAGCGTTGGGCCAGCAGAAAGTGAGTGAATGAGTTTAGATTTACGCCGCACTCAGCAGTATTCGAGCTACATGGTGGCGGTCTGTAAATAGTCGAGTCTGGACCAGACAATTCAGTGATCAACAGCATGATCATCGATCTACGCAATTGGGAACCGATGACATTTGTCAACCATGTCAGAGAATCTGACCACTGATATACTCTTAATTCATGTTTATATTTTTATATGTTTTATAGACGTGTATATATGATGTTTATCTGTATATTGATATGCTCTTTTATAGAAAGTCTCTCATAACCCTGTATAGGGTGGCTCGTTACTTTTTTATACATGTGTACTTTTACCTACGATATGTATTTTATGTGTAAATATTTGGGTTTTACTATAGATATGTATAAATCATTGTAATGATGTGAGACTATAATAAAATATCTGTCTGTCTGTTTGTCTGTGGTGCTCGAGTTGTATTTAAGCGGAAGTCACCCTTTTAACGTGTGTGATAATATTTGCCCAGGACATAACAAGAACCACGTCCGGTTTTCTCGACAGAGCGTCAACCACCGAGCACGAAAGTGAAGGAAGGACGATATAACAGAACACAGATGTTGAATGGTAGACACTTTCATGTTTCTTCTGTACTGTATTCCCAAGATCCATAAAATCATACAAATAAAGATACATTAAAGTATGTGATCCATATTGCCAGTTATCCGACTTCCCTTAGAGGAAGCCTCGGCTCAGCGGCTGTGTGGGGTGAGATGACTGACTTTGTAATTGTGTGCTGGCGATTAGATGCCAGACGCTGAGAGTTTGGGACTCAACCTAACAAAAGTTCTAAAACCGATACTTGATGAGAAAGTGTAATGCCAAATATAACATATATTACATTAAAGATCCAGCAAATATACTGCAAAGTCCCCGACTCACAAAGATAACATTAATCGTAAGTTTTAATACATCGAAGGACGTGCCTTCTTTCTTTCCACAGACAGTATTTGAGAAAAGTGGTATTAATGCCACAGGGATTCTCATAGTCTCAGATAATTTGCATAATATCTTCAAACTAAAAAATCTATTTATTCATATCTTTGAAATTCATATTCGTATATCTGACATAAGCCATACATGTATATAGCACACAGAGCACATCATGATTGTGAATTGCTGAGCATTATAAATGCGTGTATTATAACATAAAGGGCACTATGGCAGGGTTCCTGTTGTTCCCAGTGCTTTTTCTTACTGGCTGACGCTTTTATGGAGTTGCAGAGTGTGATGATCTGATTGTGTGCCACGTTTCATCAACGCGTGAATCATTTCTCATGCAATCATTCACTGGTGTGTTTTGCCTTTAAAAGCCGCTGTGGTATAGTTGGTACATTCATTCAGTGACTCAACAAGGAAAGATAAAACGCCACTGCAAAATACTACCCTCTTGACCTCCCTCAGAGAGAGATTCTATTTGGTACAAAGTGCAGGGCTGCTGTGAAAATAACATGAATGGACCACGGAAATTCGGGGAAAACACCGGGTGTTAGCTAAAGCCACACACAAAGAACCAACACTCACCATGTTTCATCTTGAACCTTGCACGTTTCAACAATGCATTAAAAGGAAGCAATACTCATTTTATAAGTGCTGAATCAAATGCCCACTTACGGTCTTCCTAAAGCGAGTAATTGGTTTCCTGATATTTCAACTCCTGCAGTATGACACCGCTGTAACCTATGCTGTCACAACATGACTGCATTACATTTACACAATTGTTTAAAGTGACCTTATCCGGTCTAGTCAGTCGACACTTCCCCCTTCCCCTGTTCATGCTGATGATGCTTTGTATCATCGCTGGATGCTCGACACTAGTTACAGAGCGTCATGGGTTAAATCAGATGCGTAGATGTGTTGTCACAAAGCATTTACTTTGTGTCCGCTCAACGAACGTGTTTGGTTGTTGCAGTCGTCCATGTGCAAATCTCAGTGTAAGTACAAGCATTTCGTTCCTAGTTAGGCAAGTCTAATGCTCCCACTTCATACAAAAATAATGTTGTCGTTGCTTTGACTATTTTCTCGTTATTTCAGTTATTTTCTTGAAATTTCGGTTATTTTCTTCCAAGACCTTGAAATTTCGAGTTTTGAAAAGAAACTTGATGTAACAAGGAAATAATCGTAATTTCGATACAAAACTGAGATGAGTAGATAATAATCGAGGCAAAGAGAAATTACAATAAAAAATAATTTATGCTTCCGACGTAGCAGCATTAGGCTTTGTGTCTAGTAACATTTAAAATTATAGGAATTTGATTTGTAACTACCATGTAACATGGCGTCAGTAAAATTCATTATTTTCTTTATAGTTTCTGTTTTTAAACAGTTACAAGTACAGTTTTTCAATAAATTAGACAGGATAAAAGGGGAAAAAATGAAAAAAGAAAAGCAATGGAAATATATTTTCTGAACATTTTGAATTATATTTGATTCCTCTGTTAGTCATGGACATGAATGTGTCTCATTCATGGTGTCAGTCAGCGTATCTGGTACTCAGATGCCTTTAACCATTGCCCTTGTTTTATATCCGGATTGCGATTGCCAGGCAGGGTAACATCAAGAACAATCTTTTAACGTGTTTTGGCATGACGCTGAGAGTGATCGAACTACGTGAGACCTAGTTACACGTATATACGCGGGGCATACATAGTGGGGTCACACATCAAGCTTCTGTAGTTTTGGTATTTTACATTGACCATTGCCTCAAGCAACGAAAAATAATGCATAAAGACACATTTGTGATAAGTTGTTTTCCCTGTGCATGGTAACTTGAGATCTGACATTGAGTTTAAACAAAATAAATTCATTTCATATTTCTATTTTTCAGTTTTCTCTCGAAGCGATGGACAACTTAAGTTTCCATGAAGACCACGACGTCTATCTTCGTCGCTATGACAACGAGTTCGCACTGCAAGTCCTGGTCGCCATCTTGTTCCTTGTCGTTTTGATGTTGACTGGGTTGCTTGGCAACACACTAGTCTTCTACGTGTATGCGTTCAAATTTAAACACAGCACAACCCGTTGTTATATTTTGGCCCTGGCAGTATTCGACCTAATTAGTTGTGTCATCAGTATTCCAGTAGAGATAACGGACATGCGATTCAACTACACGTTCGGGCAGTACGGGTTTTGTAAAATAATGCGAGTGTTCGTAACGTTCTCATCCATGTCGTCAGGGGCCGTGCTCGTAGCAGTAGCGGTGGACAGATACAAGAAAATATGTCGACCCTTTAAAAGACAGACAACTCCGTTTGTAGCTAAAGTCGCAATAATGATCTGTTCACTTGTATCATTTATTTTGTCTTTGCCGGCTGCCATTCTCTATGGTTCGAGAACTGTGACGACAGACGATGTTCTCGTGAATGGCTCAGACTGCTCTACGGCTGATGAATACATCAAGACTCCGTATCCTCTAATCTACAACGGAGTCCAGTTCATCGTCTTCATTTCCTCAACGCTGACTCTCGTTGTGCTCTACAGTTTGATATGGCGGCAGGTGGTTCGACAACAGACCTTCAGGAGAAGCGTTAGGGCTCAGCAAAACCGTGGAAGAACACTGAAAATAGTGGTAACGCAGGGAAATCAATCATCCGAGACGAATAACACCTCTGATGATTTTCTGAGTTCATCAACCGAAGGGGATGCGAACAAGGCAATAAAGGATACCGGCTGTCCTCGACACAGTGGAACGGCAATGGAACTTACAATCAATCCTAAATTGAAGGAACGTGGATGTTCAAGTGCTATGACTCCCAAGTCAACTACACTGTCTGCTGGGACAAAGTCAAAAGGACTAAAGTCTTCCAGCACCAACACATCGTCACCACGTCAGAAAGGGCAGAAGACAACGTTCATGCTGTTCCTCATCACACTGGTGTTTGTGTTGAGTTTTCTCCCCCATCTAGGGCTGATGGCGACTAGGGCCGCCAACAAACACGTGTTTGACGACCTCCGTGGAGCTGCGATGACGGCTTACAATCTGTTCCTGAGGTCGTACTTCATTAACAGTGCTTCCAATCCCATTGTCTACAGCTTCTGTAATGAACATTTCCGACGGGAACTGTACTGCCTTTGGAGAAAAATGAAGTGTCGAGCTTAACTTAACTTATGCTGTTAATATGTTAATGTACTGTTACGCTTTTACATAATTATCATGGATATACTACAAAGAGATGTGCTACCCGTACAGCTGGGCTGACTGTAGGATAAGTCATGACTTCAATGTTGTATTGAACTCTATCATACATCCTAGATACTACAACGAGATGTGCTACCCGTACAGCTGGGCTGACTGTAGGATAAGTCATGACTTCAATGTTGTATTGAACTCTATCATACATCCTAGATACTACAACGAGATGTGCTACCCGTACAGCTGGGCTGACTGTAGGATAAGTCATGACTTCAATGTTGTATTGAACTCTCTCATACATCCTAGATACTACAACGAGATGTACAGCTGGGCTGACTGTAGGATAAGTTATGACTTCAATGTTGTATTGAACTCTATCATACATCCTAGATACTACAACGAGATGTGCTACCCGTACAGCTGGGCTGACTGTAGGATAAGTCATGACTTCAATGTTGTATTGCACTCAATCATACATCCTAGATACTACAACGAGATGTACAGCTGGGCTGACTGTAGGATAAGTTATGACTTCAATGTTGTATTGAACTCTATCATACATCCTAGATACTACAACGAGATGTGCTACCCGTACAGCTGGGCTGACTGTAGGATAAGTTATGACTTCAATGTTGTATTGAACTCTATCATACATCCTAGATACTACAACGAGATGTGCTACCCGTACAGCTGGGCTGACTGTAGGATAAGTTATGACTTCAATGTTGTATTGAACTCTATCATACATCCTAGATACTACAACGAGATGTGCTACCCGTACAGCTGGGCTGACTGTAGGATAAGTTATGACTTCAATGTTGTATTGAACTCTATCATACATCCTAGATACTACAACGAGATGTGCTACCCGTACAATGTTGTATTGAACTCTATCATACATCCTAGATACTGAACGAGATGTGCTACCCGTACAGCTGGGCTGACTGTAGGATAAGTCATGACTTCAATGTTGTATTGAACTCTATCATACATCCTAGATACTACAACGAGATGTGCTACCCGTACAGCTGGGCTGACTGTAGGATAAGTTATGACTTCAATGTTGTATTGAACTCTATCATACATCCTAGATACTACAACGAGATGTGCTACCCGTACAGCTGGGCTGACTGTAGGATAAGTCATGACTTCAATGTTGTATTGAACTCTATCATACATCCTAGATACTACAACGAGATGTGCTACCCGTACAGCTGGGCTGACTGTAGGATAAGTTATGACTTCAATGTTGTATTGAACTCTATCATACATCCTAGATACTACAACGAGATGTGCTACCCGTACAGCTGGGCTGACTGTAGGATAAGTCATGACTTCAATGTTGTATTGAACTCTGTCATACATCCTAGATACTACAACGAGATGTGCTACCCGTACAGCTGGGCTGACTGTAGGATAAGTCATGACTTCAATGTTGTATTGAACTCAATCATACATCCTAGATACTACAACGAGATGTACAGCTGGGCTGACTGTAGGATAAGTCATGACTTCAATGTTGTATTGCACTCTATCATACATCCTAGATTACTACAACGAGATGTACAGCTGGGCTGACTGTAGGATAAGTCATGACTTCAATGTTGTATTGAACTCTATCATACATCCTAGATACTACAACGAGATGTACAGCTTGGCTGACTGTAGGATAAGTCATGAATGCAAAAAGAACAGTCAGCTACTGAAGTTAAAATTCAGCAGATCCAAGGACAGCAGACATCCCGTCCGTAGACGTTGCTACCGAATCATCGACGCTAGGATTCGATCCTTGAAGGCCGACCTTCTTGCCGACAGACTTACTGACTTGAACTACACAGACCATGTGTCAGAGTTGCTTCATCCTGGCTGAACATTACAGATGAGAAGAAATATCTGGACTCATCTTTTATATATTTATTGCTTATACACATGTAGAAATCACTTATTTCTATAATACACACACACAAATATATTGTGTGAGATTTATGAAATATATATACAAATATGTTATATTGTGTGACATATGATACATACATGTTGTTATATTGACTAAATAAATATATTGTCTTCTATATATATCGCTCTCTGTTTTAATTGGTGTGTTAATTTCGAGAACACTGGGCGTGAAATCATATCGCTCCGAAATCATATTGTGTTTAATCTAGGACATTTACAATTTTGCTTGCCGTCAGCATTATATGTATGTGTGTTTCACCTTTACCCTGGTCTTGATATACATACTAGGGGACCGCCTCCGTGGTGTAGTGGTTAGAGCCTCCGCCCGGAGTGCGGAAGGTCGCGGGTTCGATCCCCGACTGCGTCATACCAAAAGACGTTAAAATATGGTACTTGTTGGTCCCTGCCTGGCGCGCGGCATTAATGGGTACAACAAGGACTGGTGGGCTCGTAGTCAGTATAATGTGTCTGAGTGGGGTATTCATGATTCACTGCGGCATGGTATCTCAGTGGGCTAGCACTATAAAACCAGCTTAAGTCTGGGCTAGTACAAGCAGCCGCACATACACCTACACACGCATGCACGTTGTCATATGAGCAATTCCACCACCAACAACACCACATACTAGGGACATCTGTCTTACGGGGGGATAATATAAGTAAGACATCTCAATTCCTGTATCTACCACATAAGGATTCCGGGTCAGATTAGGACCTTAGTGCTCTATGTATGTACGTGAACACTGAAGGGGGATCCTGTGGGAGGCGACCTCTGACTCACCCATGGCTGTCATGATGGACTAGTGTTGAAACAGTTGTCTCTCATTCACAGGTCACAACTGGACTAGTGTTGGGGTAAACAGTTGTCTCTCATTCACTCACTGACTCACGTGTAGGTATGTGGTAGGTCTGTTTACAACTGGACTAGTGTTGGGGTAAACAGTTGTCTCTCATTCACTCACTGACTCACGTGTAGGTACTGTGTTGGGGTAAACAGTTGTCAACTGGACTAGTGTTGGTCTGTTTTTACAACTGGACTAGGTAAACAGTTGTCTCTCATTCACTCACTGACTCACGTGTAGTTATGTGGTAGGTCTGTTTACAACTGGACTAGTGTTGGGGTAAACAGTTGTCTCTCATTCACTCACTGACTCACGTGTAGGTATGTGGTAGGTCTGTTTACAACTGGACTAGTGTTGGGGTAAACAGTTGTCTCTCATTCACTCACTGACTCACGTGTAGGTATGTGGTAGGTCTGTTTACAACTGTATTTCACAATCATTCCTTACTGGTTGAATTGCTAGAATAAAAATTATGTCAAAATACCAGTGAAATATATCCACAGTCTTTGTAAACGAGATGTGGAATTATGATGTACCTTACGCGTACAGTGTCAATGGGAAATATAGGGCTTAACGCCGCAATGAACAGCCGTTCTGTTTGGTCATGACATGGCAACTTGACATGAGAGGGAGGCATTTCATGGCCTTTAATGTATGAGTGTTTTCTTGTCCGTCTGTGCGGGTTTATTTTAGTAGTTGTTAAAAGGCATCGTCACGCTCAACAACCTCGCAAACAAGTGAAGAAAGCGGATCTAGGTCACCGCTGGCTGAGTCACTGAAAAAATATTTCACTCATCTGACATTAGATATACTTCCTCAAATACAACTTTTATATATACTCTCCCAAAAAAGAAACACATCATGAAAATAGCAGTTTCATGTAGCAATGAATTAAAACGTGATTCATTTTACAAAAGGGTTTGCTCTGTTTATGAGTCCTATGGTGTTTATGTTTTGAAACATCACAACTAAACGCACCATCCGTAAAATACCCGTATTTAACAGCATGATTTTCAATTTCGGCGTGTAGTGTCACAGAATACACAATTCACATGCAATGCACGTGAAAGTTGGGGATCAGATAGTCTCAATGATGGGTATAAAAGGTTGATCGCTGTCTGTCGATTATTCACTGTATTTGGAATATTGTTGACGAACGCAAAATGCCACGTCTAAGTGAAGCCAACCGTCATATCGCCATTGGTTTGCTTGAAGCTGGCCAGTCTCAACGTGCAGTTGCCCGACGCATGAATGTTCACCAAAGCACCATTTCACGGCTCTGGGAGAGATATCGCTGGCAGAATTCGGTAGCAGATGCCCCTCGTAGTGGGCGACCTCGAGAGACCACTGCGGCGCAGGATCGCTACATCCGGGTACATCACCTGCGTCATCGACCGCTGCACAGACCGCTGTACAGACCGCTAGGAACAGGTTGAGAGAGGCTGGTTTACGCAATATCGTCGACATCGAGTTCAATGGTGCACCAACATTCAGGCCTGAACCTACCGAATTGGCGTAGAATCTGGTTCAGTGATGAATCCCGATTTCTATTGGAACGACGCGATGGAAGAATGCGGGTGTACAGACGTCGACGTGAACGTTTCGCCGACGCTTGCGTTCCCCAGGTGGACAGATTCGGCCGGGGAAGTGATGTGTGTGTGATGTGTGTGTGTGTGGTGGATCACCTGCCGTAGGAGAAGTGATTTGGCGATGATCCAGGGCAACCTGACAGCTCAACGGTACTGTGACGCAAATCTTACGCCCACACCTCCTTCCAATCATTGATCTCCAGAGGGAGTTGTTTCAACAGGACAATGCCAGGCCCCACACAGCACGTCACACTAGAGACTTCCTCCAGAACCACAACATCAATGTGCTCCCCTGGCCCTCAAGATCACCGGACTTTTAAAAACCCGATCGAACATCTGTGGGATGCCCTGGACAGACGGGTGCGACGCCGTAACCCTCAGCCCCAGACACTTCAGCAACTCGCACAGGCACTGCATGCAGGGTGAGCTTGCGATTGGGCAACACGAGATTCTGAGACTTATTCGTTCGATGCCGAGTCGATGCCGTGCAGTTCTGGATGCCCACGGTGGTCACACGAGGTATTGACTTCAGCGCCACCCCACGTCTCCATGTGACACTCAAACTGACTTTCCTCGAGTTGGTGCCAAAGACGGATAAGTCTGCATTCTCAGTTTGCAATTTCGCTATATTTCATTGACTCATAAAGCCTACAAGATGTTTCAAAATAAACATAAAAAATAGAGTTGAAATTCCTATATGCGTTTCTTTTTTGGGAGAGTATATTTACTCATTGTTCAACGCAGTGAGACAATTGATTCACCAAGGAAACAAATATAACATTTTTGACAAGTAATTCGCTTCCATTCACTTAAAGACCTATATTAATATAAAATGTATTTAGCTATTCACTATCACAGACTTTTTATGTAAGATGTATTTTAAGTCATATCACAAGACACTTGAATTGAGTGTCAAGGCTTAAGATGTTTGTGTGACGGCGCATGTGCAGGTTTTATCTCCCAACACTTGTCGTTGGTGCACCTCCCTGTTTACTGAGGCATGTTGTAGTTTTGTGTCCCTGGCCTTTGCTTTCGTCCTTTAAACCTGGGATGTCACAGGTATGTAGGCGTTATTTCTTCGTAATGCAATAATATGCAGCACAAGTAACTATTTTACGTGAAACAAGACTTAACAGTTCCCATTTCCTAAACAATACAAAAGCTGACATTTATTGAGAGTTAAGAGAAAAAACATCAGATGGTTTATTCAACACTTTCACAAACTTGATAAGAGTGCCTTGGAGGTGAAGAAAAGCAGCGAGAATTCTGGGTAGGTTTATATCACGCTACTATCTATGCGATAAAAATGACGTGAAAAGATTGATAAGATTGCCTGAACTCCATACTTGAATTAATCATTTATCTCAATACCCTTATGGTTAAGACTCTTGAGCAAGTTATACACCTGTTAAACGATATAGGCACGCTACCTCTGTAAGTATAATCTTTGTTATTAGGACACCCTACACGAGCGTGTAACTCTTGCGTTTAATCTGTATCTAAGTCACTAAGGGCCTTACCGTGTGGTGTACGGGAGGATAAGAGGAGTGGGCGGGGGAAGGTGGTGGTGGGGAGAGGATGTGTAGAGGCTGTATGTATATTTTCCGGTTGTCACCCCCTTCAATTTTATTAATTGGAGAGGGGTGGGGTGGGAGGTGTGTGTGGGGTTGGGGTGGGGAGGGCGGTGACAACCATTATTGGCATGGGTATATGTTAAGCTATAAGCAAAGCTTTGTATTTGGGTGATACGTCTTGCATTAAGGTTGTTTTGGTGGCAGACAATGTCAATTTTGAGTGTTTGAATGGCATTTAGAAGTGATACACATAAAGACCAGACTTTTTTAATGGATGTCAACTTCTTTATTGTGATGGAGACGACGTTTGAAAGTATATTCTTACTCTTTCATCAGGTGTCCGTCACAAAAAAGCAATTGACATCCATACAAATAGTCTTGCCTTTAATTTCAATTTTTTTCAACAGTCTCAATCATAATGATTTTTCAAATCATTTTCTAGAATCTCATGATGCCCAGTCTCAAACCTGATCACAGTAGAGGTCCATAACAGTGTTCCAATATTTTGCCGCCATATAGCTGGAATATTGCTGAGTGCGGCGTAAAACTAAACTAAACTAAACTCCAAAATTTTGCTTATTAATTTTTAATAGGCTCTTATTTTCTGAGTATCTAAGAGGATATTCATGGTTTGTACTCAGTACATTGAATGCAAATGCTTCTTTAAAACCATTGCTATTATTCAAATTCTTCCTAGGTACTAGTATACATTAAAGCATCCACAGAGGGCAACCATCTCCAATGTCAGGCACAAACACAACCCTCAGCGACCACGACGTGAACGTCCACCTACGTCGTTATGACGACATCTACGCCTACAAATATCTACCAGCTATCGTGCTTGTGTCGGTGTTGATGACAACGGGCATAATCGGCAACTCCCTGGTCTGTTGTGTGTATTTGGTCAAGTTTAAGTCCAGCACTGTCAAATGTTTCATTGTGTCCCTCGCGGTCATTGACCTAATAAACTGTGTGGTCAGTTGTCCATTTGACATCGCAGATATGCGATATCGCTACACATTCGGGTCTTACGTCATCATGTGTAAAACGATGCGCGTGTTTGTAACATTCACGTCAGTGTCTTCAGGCCTAGTTCTCATACCAGTAGCCGTGGATAGATACAAAGAAGATATGTCGGCCGTTTCAGAAACAGATGGACATCCGAACAGCCAAGATGGCCATTAGTGCCTGTTGCACAGTCGGGGTTGTGGTGGGGATTCCTGCAAGTGTATTTTATGGACCACGGACCGTTACCACTGACGTTGCCGCCATTAATGGATCGGACTGCAGCACGCCTGATATATATGTCGGGACACCATATCCACTGATTTACAACGGATTCAATTTAACCATTTTTCTTACAACGACCGTATCACTGAGTGTATTGTATTCGCTTATATGGCGTCGGATAAGAAAACAGCGGAATTACAGACGGAAGTTGAAGACACAATCTAGAAAATGTCATTCGAGTTCATGTGTTGAAGCTGATACTGGGTGTGTGACGAAATCTCGACAGGAACATGAAACAGTATATCATGAGGACAATGCAGCGTTTGTTTGCGAACTGGAGACGTCGACGGAACGTACATCTGATGTTCACAATGAATGCGCATCCTCGTGTCCTGCAGACGATATAGCCAGCGAAGTGCCATCTGAAAAAGAAGTTGAGAATCCTGTTCCAACGACGTCACAACGCTCAAATAACGCATCCCCCGAGAGGAGCGATGCAGCGGTAAAGAAAACAACGTTGATGTTGTTTCTGATAACCTTGGCATTCGTATTGAGCTTCCTGCCTCATTTGAGTCTCATGGCAGCCAGAGCGGTCAACAAGGAATTCTTTGATAAAGTTGACACGCCACAGTTTGGTGCTTTCTACTTCTTTTTCAAGTCCTACTTCATCAACAGTGCATTCAACCCCATCATCTACAGCTTCTGCAACCCACGGTTTCGCCAGGAACTCGTGGCTGTTGTGAAAAGGTTTAGTCGCATACGACAAGCATCGTAGTTTTATTGTCATATGTTGCATTTATATGTGCTGACCTCCACCGGTTTAAAACCTGTCTTCACCAATCTGAGCTAGTGGCAAGAAGGTACCAAATAGATCAGATGCCAGGACTCTGCGACTTGGTCGATACCGTGTCTTCCTGCCACGGCGTGGATCGGTGCTCATAACATCAACCACTGATTGTCTCGACTCCATTCTCACCGACCTGACAGTGCGTTAAACAACAACAACAAAAAAAACAACTGGAAATGATAACCACAAAACGTTTTCATAATGTTGCATTTTTACCACATTTGATGTTTTCTATTTTGAACAATTTACCTGCACGCAATAATCGTTTATGTTTTTCGTGTTGCATATATACTTTATTTGTTGGACAATTAAGATGCAAATGATCAACACTATATATTGTAGCATTTCATTTCATATGTCTTATAATATATGATGAACTTATCTTTTGGGAACAGTTTATGATAAAATATGGTTATAACGAACTAAGAAAAACACTCACTTTCGTTCGTTACAAGCGTAGTTCGTCATACGCATATTTCGAATGGTATATATGTTACAGTCAATCTGTCATTTGGTCAAATGCCTGAAACAATCAGTCATTTGGTCAAATGACTGGTTTGACGGATTGACTGTGACATATACACCACGTGGCCTGGTCCAAACACGTAGTTCGTTATATCAGCCGGTTCGTTATAAGTGTAGTATACTGTAGTTCGAAATACACAAATATCTGTATAGAATGGAATCCTAGAAGGGACATTGTCGCGATGTCGCACTGTCGCACTTAGGTTAATTTTGACACTTTTTGCTTGTTTTTGCAAGGGCGATAATGCGACAATGTCCCTTTCAGGATTCCATAGTATAGCGAATAACCTCATGCGTTGTGTTAACATTAGTTAATCCCGAAGCTCATCCCATTTTTTCCTGCTTACAATGACCTAATTTGAAGGTATTCCTTGGCAGCTAGGTTATTTGTAAACAATTGTGTCAGACTGCAACCAGGATGCAAAACGTCACGTCATGTGGTAACATGCTATTTCATGCCCTTAGTGTCACAGGGGCGTGTCACGCTTAGAAACAGCGCTAGAAAGACATATAGGTATATAGACCCAACCCTGGTCCTTTTATATAGTACAAGGATAGGGTCTATATACCTATATGTCTTTCTAACGCTGTTTCTGAACGTGACACGCCCCTGTCCTTTGTGTGTAATAGTTTGTAGTTCTTACATGATGAATAGCATTATGCTGCCGAATACAATATACAACATAGGAATGAAGAGCCTAAATTATCGATTATGTGTCAGTTTTGTAAAGGAAGTCAATTGGAATTAGAAGGTGTGTCCGGATTCAATGATCGCTGGCTCGCCCTTAGGGACCGTTCATAATTTATGGCTAGGGGTGTGTGTGTGATGATTTTTATGGAGAAGCATGTACAATGTGAATGACACCCACCCTAAAATTTATATACAAAATAAGTGACCCCCTGCATGTCATGTACAAGATCAATCACCTTCCCCTATTCAGGCATAATTTTAAACATATTTTTATGTACCAAATTGCTGAAACCCCCTAGCTCCCCAGAACAAAATGGGTGACCGCCCACTAAAATCATATCAACCCCCCACCCCCCGACCCCTATAAATTATGAACGGCCCCTTATAATGATTTTAACCATACCAGTGGATGTGGGTTCTGTCACAATTAGAAATGTGCAAGTCATGCATCGCTTCCGGTCTGTCTTCCACACAACGCTGACGCGTCATGATATAAAGCAAATAGGCTTGTAGGTTAGACTGCACCAAATCAGATTCCGTAGTTAAGAACCACTTTTCAGTGCAGGCAGAATCATCTCACAGATGTGATTGTACATCCATCCAGTAATTAAAACTTACCATGTTTTTCAATATTTAGTATTGTCTTTCTTTAGCTCTATGACTCATGCTGAATGTATGCAGGGATATTTTCATGTAGGTGACATTTGGTGCGGAACTTGGGTTCGTGTGTTCAACTTCCTGTACCCGGAAGAGGAATTGGTTAAAGGTCACATGCAACCAAAAAATCAAACATAATTAAAACACAATTATCACTTATTCATGACATATAATATACATTGCTGGTTATGAAAAAACATATAAACAAAATTATAAGCGTACAATTGCAAATCAAAAGTGCAATATTGTGTACTCGGGTTTACTTCCCAAGAAACGAAGCAGTATACTCTATGCACTAATCTCTCTTTGGGTCAGTTCATTATGCCAGACAGGTAAATGCCTTGTGTTGTTTTAACTAATTGTAGGGGTACTGGGCTGTAGGGGTAGTGGCATGTAGGGGTTATGGGATACAACCGCCGGGATACCGAACCCAGTCAGAGCGGGTGGGTGTGCACTCAAGTGTAACGGCTTCTTCATTTGCAGATGCCCTCACGGCTCATTGTGTGTGTATATATAGAGATGTTGGGTTTTGTAAATACATGCTCATTTTTTGTGTATAACGTTTTGCAATCAACAGACATCATAACATGTCATGTGTTCAAGTATCACACCTGCCTGTCTGTGTAATTACATAATGTGACAGAGACCGAACTCGGGCCATAAATCAATGCATTTTGTTTATGGTGTATATCCTGATTAGTGTTAAGTTCAAATTGTATGTGGTCAGTGATCCCAGTTGTGTATTGAATATTGTCATTAGCAGACAGGCAGGCAGACACACAGGTGTCAATAAAACAAGACATTGAGTTTTGTGTGTGACAACGACATATCTATATCACAGTTAGAAACTCTGTCAACGCTAAATAATGACATTGCTTTTAAGTATCGAACTGAGAAAGTGACTCGGTAAGAAGAACGTGTGGTGAAATAGACAAATGAAATTATATAAACGGTTTATTTACTGTCATAACATATAAAAAGCTCGCGCCTGTGAGATATCAACAAAACATTAGTAAAAAGCCTTCACCGAGTATTCACCGGACAGCCCGCTTCCAATTTGCGCAAACCTATTTCACTGCGCCCGTGCTATGAGCGCAGCCCAGCTGTTGAAACCAGTTTTCCCCCGAAAAGTCGGGGGGAAATTAGTGAAACGTTTGAACTCCAATTTCGCTCGTATTTTTTCATCGCGTTATTTTTAAACTTTTTAAGTTGAATTTGCTTTTTTGATGATTTGTTTCGGTAAGTCCATACCGAAAGGTATCAGAATCTGCAAAGTTGTGTTTTACGTTGCATGTGACCTTTAACCTACCCAAAATTTGTGTTTTTATTGTAGCTTTAAGGCAATATTGTGCACATATACACATTTAATGGCTGTTAATGACCAAGTTACTTTTAATACAACATGACATTATAAGACAAAATATTATGGATGTCAACTTCTTTTCATTGTAAACACAACGTTTCTGGGTTATTTTCTTGCCCCTTCAATTGAACCATGGAATTATGAACCTACACTGTATTATGAACTTACTGTTATTGACAACTGAACATTGATATTAACATTGTCACGAATGATGTTGCTGCATTCATGCAGGTAAGCTTTTATGTCTCATTGGCGTCTTCGTTAATAGATCAAAGCAAAAACGACTATAATTTTCTATCCTTTCAAACTGCAATATCTTTTTGGAACCTAATATGAAGTGTTTAGAACAACGATATTTGGCAGATGCATTAAGTTTTAGATGTTACGTATGGTGTATTTTTTTAATGAAAGATTGGTTTTCGAAACTCTCTGGGACGACCTCAAACCGGGGACACCAGGAATGGGCTTCACGACGGGTCTTTGGCGTGAGGAGATGCTTTAACCGCTTGGCTCTTCCACCTTCCCCGTGTGTCTGGAACATTATTGTCTGTAAAAGTTAAATTCAAAAGAACAAATATATTTATTTGTCATTTCCACAAGGCTGCCTGTAAATAGTCAAATCTGGATCATACATGCCAGTAAATTATAGCGAGGAAAAAACATGTCCTGGTTAGGGTGGTCAACGACGTCAGCGACTGACTGTGTTAATATGATTGCACTTAGGGTCTTTGTTCATGCTCAAGAACAGGGCCGGCAGTGACATAACTGTTCAGTGCTCACGGCGACATACAACACCCATTGTTTCACGCCTATTATATCTGTATTTCGGCCTGTGAGGGTCTGAAGCACCCAGCACAATAAAGGGTTTAACTGTCCAATGGACCACTATCTTTGTTGCTTTAGATAGTAGTGATTTTGGAGGATATCGTAAGAGTAGTGAGCTAATACATTAACGCTTCTAGTTGTTTCATCTTTTGTCTTTCAACTTTTAATACATATGACTGAGAGATAGGATTCGTGGCACATTGTTAATACAGCTTATCAGGATTTTGGGAGGAAACTGAAGAAATAGTGAGTGAGTGAGTTACGTTTTACGCCGTACTCAGCAATATTCCAGCCATATGGCGGCGGTCTGTAAATAATCAAGTCTGGACCAAACAATCCAGTAATCAACAGCATGAGCATCGATCTGCGCAACTGGGAACCGATGACATGTGTCAACCAAGCCGGCGAGCCTGACCACCCGATCCCGGAAGAAATAGTAATTAAAGATTCATGACAAAAGAGTAAAATATAAAGATCTTGACCAAACAGCAATTAAAGGATCGTGGCTAAATAGTAATGTAAATATCTAAATAAATAGTAATTAAAGGATCATTGGCCGAAAGTTAAATGACAGCATAATGGTTCTGCTAATAATGGGAGTTTTATGTGTATTCTATGAACTCAGACCGACCAATCTTTGCCTCTTTAAAGACGTTCGTGTATTGGGTGAATGTAATATTCCATGTGTATAACAAAGTCATGCAAATATAACCGAGGATGTATCTGGCACACCTCTGACAGATGTCTTTAATAGTGAGCTTGAGTACGACAGCATGGACGGGTGTCACTCCGCCTGTATTTATTAAATACAATAAATCGCAATGATACAAATAAATCTCTGCTTAAAGCAGCCCATTGTTTGATATGAGTAACAATTTGAGTTATGACAATTGTGTGAGTTTCGGTTGTAGGCATGGCTTAATCCCCGTGTAACAGAGTTCACATAAACAGTTATTTTGCCCTGTACACCAAATGGAATCTGTGTCAGCAGCTAATCAAGGCTGGATATTCTTCTGCACTGACATTTCATTTCACTGTTCTTCGCCTACATTTAGGCTGGTGTCCCACCATGGGTACCTGTCATACGAGTCTATCTTATTTGTCAACCATTTGTTGACAAATTTATCTTATTTGTTAAACACCCAGGTTGTCAACAACGACTGGTCAACATGGATGGGCAGTTTGTTTGGTCTATCTATTTTTGCATTGATCAGCCCAGTTTGGTTTAGAGAATCACAATTTGCTCAACACAGACCTGGGACAGGGCAGAATGGGTTTTTTCTACTTCAATTGATTCGTCTTTTTCAGTTAGTGCATTCTACCAGTGACAAGATGTCGCCCCGAATTGACCCACTCTGGAAGACTCAGCAGGTTCCTTATCCTTTTAGCCATCTTCGGCCTATACATTGACAGCATACATAACATGGCGCAATATACGAACAAATTACATATGAATATAGTAATGTGCATGTAATTAATTTGCTGAAAATATAGACGATGATTTATTACAAGCATACGTACTGCATTAGCATTATTTGTAAACCCATTATCAAATATGTAAATATCATATCAAGCAGTGGACGTTGTTATGTCGGATATAGAGTAATTGGGTAGGGGCACGCTTGTCCAGTAGGCAAAGACGTCAAGAGTAGTGTTCTTTGAAATGCCAGGATGCACCGGTCATGAACTCGCCCAGTGTAGGATCTTTAATGTTTGGTCAGCACCATACACCTCATATCTTCTCATTGTTTCCCTCATGAAACTGATTTACCATATTGCTGGACAAAAGAAAGTGCGCAGCCAAGGATAATGTTCACGTTGACGAATTTCATGCTGGTATCACATTTTGTCCAGGGCACATTGTATCGGCGACTGTTTTCAACCTTGTAGTAGTTCTATAATGGTTTGGTCAAATTATGTTTTCATGTGTGTCCTATATTTGGCACAGCTGATTGTACCCGTGAAGATCCGGGTTAGAAATTGGTCTTCAGCAACCCATGCTTGTCGTAAGAGGCGACTGATGGTATCGGGTAATCAGACTCGCTGACTTGGTTAGACACATAGTCATCGTATCCAAAATGCGTAGGTCGCTGCTCATGATGTTGATCATTAGATTGTCTGGTCCAGACTCGATTATTTACAGACCTGCGCCATATAGCTGGAATATTGCTGAGTGCGGCGTTAACAACAAGCAAGCAAAAAAACATAGTTGATTGTTTTTTTTCAGTACTTTTCAAAGCGGTGTTCAATCCAACTCACATTTACGCTCGACACATCAATTTCCGCCATATTTGCCTAAGTTCGAGACGGAATTGCCCATTGCAGAAGCCGTATATGATTGGATTGCAGGCACTGTTGAAGAAATACGATCTAACGAACAAATTATAGGCGATCAATCCAGCTCCATGAATGCCATCATACAAATTGCTGTTGACTGCTCTGGCGACCATAACACAGAGGTGGGGGAGAAAGCTCAGCACAAACACCAGGGTAATTAGAAGCAACATTGATATCGTCTTTTTCGCTCCCTTTTCCAGTACGGACATTGCATGTGAAGGGCATATGTTAAAATTATTTGGATCTCTCATGCTTAAATGTATGACATCGTTTATTTGTCTTGACCCAGCGCTTCTTCTGAATTCATGTTGCCTGGCAATACGTTTCCATATAAGGAAGTAGAGGACAGTAAGGCTGATGGTTGAGATGATGAAGACGATGAACTCAACTCCATTAAAGATGAGAGGATAGGGTGTCCTGATGTATTCGTCGGCAGTGGTGCAGTCGGAGCCGTTGACGTGGCCGTCACTTGTAGATATTGTCCTTGAACCATAGAGAGCGACATTTGGCAAAGACACTACGAACGCAGAAAGTGAACATACAGTAATTGCGATCCTGGCAAATCTGGGTGAAGTCTGTTTGTGAAATGGTTGGCATATTTTCCTGTATCTGTCAAAAGCCACAAGTAAAAGTACGGTCACTGACGAGTAGGATGTGAATGACAGGAGCAGACGCATAATTTTGCATAAACCATTACCACCAAATGTGTAGTTGTGACTCATGTCTGCTATTTCACCGGGAATACAGACGCAACAGTTGACAAGATCGTATACCGCTAATGCTAAAATGAAATATCGGGTTGTGCCTTGTTTTAACTTGACGAGATATACATAACAGACGAGTGAATTGCCGAGAACACCAGTAATCATCAGCATGGCGAGGAACAAGATGACAGGCAGAACCTCAGTTGCATACTGGTTGTCTTGTTGACGAAGGTAAAGGTCAATTTCTTGACGGCTGAGGTTCATGGTCACAAACAATAAACCGAGAGGATCTGCACAAAATGGAAAATGCCTTTTGATTAACATTGCTGTCCATTGTCCATGGATGACTGAGTTTAGTTTTACGTGGCTTTCAGCAATATTTCAGCAATATCACGACGGGGGACACCAGAAATGAGCTTTACACATAGTACCGATATGGGTAATCAAACCCGGGTCTTCGGTGTGACGAGCGAACGCTTAATCCACTTGGCTACGACCTAAAATTGTATCAGTCTTCATCGATAAATGTCATATGTCCGAACACCTTTACATGAAATCATTAACCAAGTCTTAACCAGGTTAGCGGCCATGGTGATGTTTATGTTTTAGGTCAGAAGAAATGGAGTGACGTCCTCAGTGATTCTGATATATTTTATAACATTGTATCCAGTAACTTACCTACCGTGTGTTATGTCCCAGGATTATGGTGTATCTAAACCAACCACTAGCATCCTGCATTCCACTCGTACACACATACATGCACGTACTTTGTACGTTGTACTCTGTCCGTGAGTCACCCATCATGTGTCCAAGGTTAACCCTGGTTGCACGTTTATTTCGGCGGGCCAAGGACAATGGTGAACTTTAGTTTCATGTAATTGTCGGTTCATCGATGGTTCACCTGGCCTTGATGTGGTTCGTGTACAGTCAAATCAATACCCTTCCGGCTTATCATTCCGATTTATTGCCCGTTTCAAAAATTCATTTTGTTTTGATAACATTCAAAGCCTTAGTATACCTTTGAAACGTTTTATGGTAGGTATGTAGCCTGTCTCACATTCCCTAAATTGCCTGTTTCAAAAATTCATTTTGTTTTGATAACATTCAAAGCCTTAGTATACCTTTGAAACGTTTTATGGTAGGTATGTAGCCTGTCTCACATTCCCTAAATCTACCCTTTTTGCAATGCGAAAAATCGAAATGAAATCCAGATTTCCCACAGGTTTAGGCTGAATCTCCCATCTCACTGGGACACCTTTTCAATTTAAATGGAATTATTTTGTTTCTTGAAAAGTATATATTTTCAGAGACTTAGCGTTAGTCCAGAAGGCATGTTAGACATTTCCAAACCTATACATCAGTGTGAAAACGTATGCAATTCCAGGTATTGAATTGTACGATACGCTCTTGTTACAGGTGAAAAGATTAGTTGCTTGCGTCGTGTCTTTGTGACGGATGTCACCGGTGGGATATGATGTGATTGTATATCGTCATCACTGTGATAGCGATAAACACATGCTTATGATATAGTCGGACTCGAACACGAATCTTTGCTTTAAGTAGAGGTCTATTATGTTATAGGAAGAGTTTTGCACTTTTTTTTCCTTAGCACTCATGCTTCACCTACATAATATATGATTTGTCCCGTACTATCATGCAGGAATCTTGAGAACACTAAGGTAATTGATAAGGAGTCGGCAGATAAACTATTGTTTTGTAATATTCTACTGCGTGCGCTTCTTGCAAGTTTAGTTATTTATATAGGAAGGTATCTGAACCGGACATCAGTTTAATCATGAACGTGATGCCTTTATTCTCTGACCGCTTTCAATGTAATAAAGATCATACTTGAAGATAAAGAAAGCGATTACATATAATGTCCTCGAACATAATATCAATAACGCCGATTGTATATACCATCCCATTGCTGTCTTGAGAACACACAAATGAAAGCCAGTTATATACCCTTGCACAGTGCTGCATGTGTATTGTATAAGAATGACCGTTTGTCGTTTAGGACAGAAATAATAATTATATAGTGCTTTTACCCATTATTCAGGAATATTGACTTTGTTTGTGTTTGTGACCGATAGCGCAGGATACTCTCAGCTTCTGCGAACAGCTTGATATGGTCACTGTTTGATAGTGATTCATAATCACATGCTTACGATATAGATGGATTTGAGCAGCTGACTCGATTTTCAGTGGAGTTTTCTTGTGACAATGGAAACTGTTTTGTCGCTTTAACCAGCTGACAAAAAGCTATCCGCTGTTAATTATAGTCTGGGAATAACAACTTATGCTGTAGTTTGCAGTGCCTCGTATGTAACTCATCGCTCCTCATCGAAGGTTAACAGTCATATGCCCATTTCATTCTACCGGGTACCCATTCACTGCTGGTTGAACAGAGGCAACTGCGAACATGTTCGCTTGCCTAAGATGAGACCACACGTGTTACAGTGCTTCGTAGTGGGGCAGGAGTAAGGTTACAATGGTAGTGCACAGAGTATACAGATGAGATCAAGGGAGGGGTTAGTGCATAGAGTATACAGATGAGATCAAGGGAGGGGTTAGTGCATAGAGTATACAGAGGATCCAAGATGAGATCAATGGGAGGGATTAATCTGTTGTTTAGTGTCTTGTGTCAAGGAAATTTGGGATTAGCTAAATGTTGTTTTAGTTTCATGATGAAAGATAAACCTCTAGTGAGTAGAACAATTTTACAAATTGGATAGTGTTTTGTGTCAAGGAAATTTGGGATTAGCTAAAAGTTGTTTTAGTTTCATGATGAAAGATAAACCTCTAGTGAGTAGAACAATTTTACAAATTGGGTAGTGTGTAGGTTGTTAAATGTTGTTTAGTGCTAGGATGAAAGGTACACAGTAATATTGAAACCCCAGTCTTAGGACCCCTAATGTTCATAATATATATTAATGATTTTGTAGCTGATATTGCTAGTAATATTAGACGACACGTCTCTATACGTTATAATTGATGATCCTGACATAGCTGCAGACTGTTTAAATAAGGACTTATTAGGAATTTCAAATTGGGCCAAAGAATGGAAGGTTTCATTCAATCCTAACAAAACAAATTCAATACAGTGCAGTAGAAAACTAAATAGAAGCATTAAACCTGATCTTACAATGAACGGTGTGATAATCTAGACGTAGATAATCATAATCATCCAGGCTTGACCCTTCAAAATAACTGTTACTGGGATATCCACATAAACTCTATGAAAAGAAAGTTAGCCCACTGATTAAATGTTCAAGAAGTTTAAAATATCGATTATCGCGTAAAAGTTTAGAAATTATCTACAAATCTTTCATCTTACCGACGACATATGCCAGATCATTTCTACCTGATACAATAAAACTATGGAATTCTTTAAGTTCTGAAATTCAAAATATTGATACTTTATCCCGATTCAAAAACTCGATATTAAGACAATATAACAAAACTATTATTTTTGATCTAAACTGATTTGATTTGAATGCTGATAGGTTTGATAGACATCATCGACAGCCCCCGTGCCCATGTGGACATCCAGTCGAAAATGCTGTGCATTATTTCTTTACATGCAATAAATACACGGAATTAAGACAAAAATCATATTTCTATTTAAAGGGGTTTAGTATCAACACTGTACTATGGGTATCAACTCTGTACTATGTACATTGAATGTTAACAATTAATTGTTAATGTTCATCAATTAATCATGATGACAAATTATTGTTAATCCTTATTAAAATTTTGAAGACAAAAATTAATGACAAATGATATCAACCTTCAATAAAATCATTCTCTATCTTTTAGTTGTGTGTTATTATGTCTCTTAAGGGATTAGTCCATTGTATGGAATAGGTAACAGGCAGGGGATTAACAGTGCAACAGACCGTAAACTATGTTGTTATAAGCTGTAGGGGTAGTGGCATGTAGGGGTAATGGGGGTTACCGTTTTTCAATGGTACGATGGTGTATTGCGCTGCCTGGGGATGCACGGCATCATCGAACATGGGAAAGAACCACCACTTTTTCAAAGTGAAATGACAGATTTCGGCAGGAGAAATGCGCCGATCATTCCGAGTCCGACACATATGAAAGAGACATGCACGCATGGGGTATGGAAATCCCCAAGCTAGGCTGATGAAGGAAAAAGTAACAACGAGATTCATTAATTATACTCCACCATTCCCTGTAACAACTTACTGTCTGTGGTATTTTTAACATAAATTAAATCAAGTCCGATTGCCAGTCGAATTGCCCCCGCTACAAAATGACCCAGCAAATTTGGTCAAATTGCCCCAGTGGGGTAGTCAAAATGCCCCAATTTATTTAAAATGAATAAATATAGGCCATAAATGCATAGTTTTGTCAACTTTGATATTATGTTCTTCATATGTAAGTATATACATAGTTATGAGTTTACTGATGAAACATTTATCAGAAATATTACTTCTTAATAACTTTTATATGAAGAACATAATATCATAACAAGTTGACAAAATTTATGCATTTACGGCATATATTCAATCATTATAAATAAATTTGAACAAATTAGAATGAATGACCAAATTTGCTGGGGCATTTTGTAGCTGGGGCAGTTCGACTGGTACACATGAATATATATTGTTTGCAAGAGTTTGTATGCTCCCAGGGAGTTGAGATTGACAATACGATGTGCCGTTGAGATTGACATCCAGTGAACGAGGGAAAACAAAGCGCCTTTGAGCAGCTGAGCGGAGCTGGATATCGGCGCTATACAAATGTATATATGATGATGATGATATTATCAAAATCAGTAAGAGATTTCACTTGAGCCTGAAAATGTTTCGCTATAACGTTCTTTTCGGTTTGATGCAGTCAACTCGAAACATTGCCGAATACAGCGGCAAATCAGGAAGTACTTGTTGCTTTCATTGTTTTCCATTTTGTCCAATTACACACGTCGGCATCAGACTCGCTATTTGTCAGTAGTGTGTGCCGTGAAAGTTGTTCTGTATACTCATTGGCTGACAGGATGTCATTCTAAGGCTATGACCGAGTACCATAACTATTTCCATAACCAAACAAAAGGGAAACATACGTTGTCTTGACTAGTATTTTATAATTCGCCAGTTTTCGGGGAATAACTTATCTGCGTCGCGAATATTATCTCTGCTCGACCAGGCTGGGATCTTGTATCGAGACTTGATACGTTATTAATGAGAACTAGGATCCTAATGTTTTTCAACAAAATAATTCCAGTGTAATGTTTGAAGCAGATAATTTTTTATTTTCCCTCGTCTGAAGCATATTATTTGTTTTTAAATCTCAGACACCCTACAGTCACCCCGTTGACACAAAATGAACTGTAATCACATTTTTAAAAAAATAATTCTTAGTGACTAGTCATATATTTATAGGAGTGAGTTTGCTGGCTGGAACTATGACATTTTGCTGACAAATAGTAATCTTGTTAAATTATATGGTCTATTTTTACATTTATTTTGACCTCAAGCGGTGCCTCCGTTTCGCTTGATTCTTCTTCTTCATCTTCAGTGGAAGATTGTCTTGCAAGATGTAAAATCGGATCGTATTGATACGGTCTAACATCCATTTCAGAAATGACATCAGGAACATCTTTTACTGCTTCAGAATCCACGGACACTGTTAAGTTGTGAGGTAAAATCAAAGAGGAAGCCATCAGCAACAGGCACTTATGACGTCATGTCACGTGATACCCCCTCTGCTCATTAACTG